GCAACAGTCCGAAGGCTCGAAGCTCAGTTGGGACCACGGCCGGCCGTCATTCCCGAGAAAGATATCGAGGTCTTCTGCAAGAACGCTGCTCATATCAAAGTTATTCATGGCCGTGATATCCCTCGGATCAACGGGGACGTGCAGACTCTGAAAGCGATCACGAATAACCTCAGCTCTTCCGAAACACTTATTCCGATCTTCATCGCCTGTCAAATTCTGGATGACATCGTGACCGACATTCAGGAATACAATATCGCTGATGTATCTCTGGATGACAAGTCTCTGTGGAATACCCATATTCAACGAGTCATCAGCAATCTTACCTCCGGAAATCCTGCTGCTATTGACGAAGGAACACGGGAGAAGATCTTGGAAGCTACGCAAGAGTTGAGACGAACGGAAGGTGGAGAGCTACATAACATATCCGCTGTCACGGGTGGGCTAGTGGCGCAGGAAGCACTGAAGGTGATCACAAGGCAGTATGTGCCACTGGACAACACATGCATTTTCGATGGCGTACGGAGTCGCAGCGAGATGTACAAGTTGTGATGGAGCTCCGCAGTCTTTTCTCTTATGGCCCTCTGTCATGACGGACAACAATATGATACGAATGAATGAGTATCCTCAACATATTCAACCTTCTTCTACCCTTATCTAATATTGTTCGCCAGACTGATGAGTACTTCGTCCGGACGCCTTTCTTTGGAGTAGTGGTATTATAGTGCCGTAAATATCACCGTAGGCGCCAATTCAAGCAGAATGACTAGCACAGCTCTGAGCCTGATTGTTTGGAAATAACTATCAGCGCCCATCTTCGATCAGAACATAAAGCAGTCTAATCATCCAAATCGTATTGACAGTTAATTGCTCTCAAAATGTCCCAAGGCACAACAACTGGCCGAGGCACGTGCGCAGACAGTTGGTACTACTACATCCGGTTAGTGTCCCGGCCGGGATTTCGGGGGGAAATCGCAACGATAAGCCCAAATAACCCCGAGAGATCACCGTATCTCCATGTCAACTGGGTCGAGGTCATCGTCCTCACTACCTGTCCATCAAACCACCTTACATCAGCCACGCCGCTGGTACAATGTATCTCACCATCGTTTCTCTTGACTGACTCTTATATGAGCAGAGCCCTTTGTTATGTTTTGTTGAAGATAACCCTTTTGTCTCTTTGTATTGCGAACGGATGATCTCATCTTCTACAAGTGGCCAGTGGTGGGAGGCTTCTTCTGGTTTACAGCGCCTCCTCATTCGGTCAGAATCTGCCTTTTGACAGAGGTCAAACAAACAATATGTCCTTCGTTCAAGATACCGCGACCGTCCTTGCGACTCCTGCCGCCACAGCTTCGTCATCGGCCATGCAATCTGTCAACTCTACGGTAATTACCACTGCCCAATATTCGCTGCTCTCGTCGCCTCGCGAGCTCCTCACTCTCCCATTGCGTGGTCTGCGTCAGGCGGAGAGCCTTGCGTTTTCGACTATTCCGCGACAACTCTCGAGGTTAGTGGGGCTACCGGATATGGCGACACGGATCTCAGGTCATGCCCCTGGAACAGGATCGGAGGCCGATGCAGTGGTAGCAGCAACACAGGCCGTGGCTGGAGCAGCAGGAGAGAGAATGGCTGATGCTGCCGCGCAAACGGAAACAGGTGTTTACTTGGCAGAATTTCTCCAAGCGATGAGGAGATTTAGTGGGTTCTTTTCATATCTGACCAGTCGGTGGTCCTTGGCTTGTTTTACAGTGGTAAGTAATTAAGCACCTGAGACAATCCTGAAGATCCTGACACACTTTAAAGGGTATAATTTTGAATCGAATCACGATCTATGCTTCGACCAGACGACATCTCACTTTAGACTTTCACCGACGCATGGCGCTGCGAATCATTCCCATTGTGTTGTTCATCTCTCAGATCCTCGTCTTACTTCGTGCTATACGCTGTCAGACATCTCCCGATTACCCCCTGATCCGTTACGGTACCCCTGGGAAACGGTTGTCGCTTGATCATGCTGGTGGAGGCGGGTTCCTCTATTCTCTCAGTTCCACACTTTTATCATGGGAATCCGATCAGCAATCTTGCAGCGCGGTGAAGATGGCTCGGCCCGTCAACGAATCGGATGTTCCTTACGGCTCATTCGTTTTCCTGTGGCCTGTTTTCTTGCGGCTATGTCTCAGCCATTTTGTTGAGACCCTCTCTTGCGCTTTGCAGGGAAGAGCAGTCTTGACCGAGGCTGGCATGTCTATTTTTGAGCATTCTCTTGCCTTCGCCGAGGCAGAGTCGATGATAAGCCAGTCCATTGGGCTTGGGTTATTTGGGCTTCCCAAGCACGCCAGCAGCAAGGACAGCTCGTCATCGTCCAGCGAGTCCGCCCACTCCGCTCTCCAGCTGCTTAGCAGAGCGCAGGTCTTGGAACGAATGAATGTTACCCCTGAGTTGCTCTTAATTGCTTTGATCTCTTGTTGCAACAGCTTGACGTCCAACATTTTGGATGTGCTCGGTCAACAAAGCCGGTATCGCCTATTCAATACCACTTTCTGGGGTCTTTGCTTTATGTCTGCTATGGTATGGGGTCTATTGACTGGCTCACCGACGGGAAGCGACACTGGCGTACTGAAGTTTCCAACGGTCTGCATTGTAGACTTTGTGCCTCACCTGTTGGTATTACTAGGCATTGTCATTTGTGCGATTATTTATGTTGTCGCTCTCCTGATCACGGCCTTTTCATTACCAATGGACGCTGGGCAGCCGCTTTCTCTTCGCGAACGATTTTCACTCGCCCACGAAAACATGCAAGGAGCGAACCAGATTCGGAATATCCGCTTCAACCGGCATGAGGATTTCTACACCACGTTGCTCCGGATTGGGTACACTGCTTTAACCGCTGCTAGTGAAGCAGTCTTTTTAAATGAAGGGAAAGCGGTCGTTGCACGTCCGATGACATGGTTGGAGGAGGATAGACTGGCGGAGATCGAAAAGTCCCGACGTTCACGCTCTTTCCAGCGCAGTTCAAGGGCCGACGACCGGGACGTGCCATTTACAGGAGTCGAACCGATCACCTTCGATATTTCGGAACCATCGGCAGAATGGGAAAGTGGGTATGGGAAGGAGAAGCAGATCGAGAAACCTAAAGGCGGATCACGGTCCGTACGATCTCAAACCGACCCTGGCAGTGTTGGCGCATTCCGAGGCGCGACAAGATGCTATCATGGCTTCTCTTTCTTTCGCGGCATTTTCTATCTCATCTTCAAGTGGAGCGCCTATGGATTCGACAGAGTACTCGACCGAATCGGCATCAGTGCGCGACCACAATGGCTGAAGGTTCTACTGGGGTCGCGCCGACGAGCTCTGCAAGAGGGAAATAGTAGCAGCCGGGCAGAATCGCTGGATTTCTGGATCCTGACTGATGAAGGCGAACTTGAGCTTCCTGGAGACTATGAGTTCGACGTAGAAAAGGAAATGCGAAAGAGGGAGCTTTCCATTGCACCGCATTGGGAGGAGTCTGACGAAAAGCGCCTCGATGAAAAGCTTTATGGTTGGTGGAGAGCCGGCGGCTCGTGGGGTAACCAGGACCAAAGTCCCGACTATGTACCCTCTGACAGCGACAATCTTTGTGATACCACCAGTGTCGTATCTATGTCAACAAATGCTGAATCAGAGTGGGAAGACGAATCTGATGGCCGACGTACACCTACCCAACGCAACCCATACCCAGCAGGTGGCTCGCGGGAGAGCAGCCCTGTTGACGAGCCGTTGATGGATGTTGGCTCTTTTGCGCGCCTCCTTGACCCTCGTGACCAAGAAAGCCGACATGAGGCACGTATCCTAGCTGCCCATCTAGCTGCTGGGCGAGATGGGCGCATTATGACGCGACGTCAATTCCAGCAAAAGATGGAGCGCGAGAGAGCGCAGGTTCTTCTATCCTCCCGGTTCTCACGACTTTCTGGCCAGCAGACGGGTAAGGAGAAGCGGAAACCGACTCCGGAGGAAGAGTCCGAGATGCTCGAGAACTTCATTCTGGCCCGTCGATCCGAAGCCAGTCGTGCAGGTCCTGAGGCGCAGACGTGGGAATCGGGCGCCTCGGGCCTTGGACCGGACGGTCCACCCTGCGTCATCTGCCAAACCAACCCACGTTCGATCATAACATGGCCTTGTCGATGCCTTTGTGTATGCGAGGAATGCAGAGTGAGCCTTGCGATGAACAATTTCGGCAGCTGCGTGACGTGTCGCCAGGAGGTTGGAGGGTTTGTGAGGTTATGGGTACCATAGGTTTCATCTTTTGCATTATTTGCATTTGTATCCTATCACAAGTGGCGTCCATTGTGGGTTTTGGATCAGTATAGCGTACTGACATTGGATTACTTCCGCTCTGAAGTGCAACTGATTTGACAGATCAGTGGTTTTTACCATGATGAAGTATAGTAGCTGCATTATGCTGCAAACCTAGACAGCAGCTCCGATAAACGTCAGATCTGGCCTTGCATCAACTGGTTATCCGTGTAGACCAGGCTTGGTCACATTGATTACGATCAATTGTTGCAGGCATTCGAGGGTTTGTGTGGTAGGTACTTCTTATGTCTCAAGGCGTCCCAGAGGGTCATTGAGATTGAGACCAGACAAGGGCTAGTATTCTGTCGAAGTGCGATGTCCCAGTCAATTTTATATTGTCGGGATGGATGTTCTTAGGGCAAGAGCAACATGAGATTGATATCTGGGAGATTCTCCGCTCTATAATCACTCAAATGACTGCAGCACATTGTAGGCAGCATCCAACAACGTCATTGATATTGTTCCCCTATAAAGAGCGTCATTATTGAAGACTTTTGTCAGGACCCTATTCCCTTAGCAGGCAACAAGATACAAAATACTAGAAACTCAACGCAGGAAGAATCATGCAACGATCGAAATGACTATTAAGTATAGATATACATTCGCATACGTTCCTGCATAAGTGGCCCGCCTTAAACCCCATCCACATCGTCCCATCTATGTCTCACCTACAGCAAGAAGAGAGCAGCGGCCGCCACGGCAGCAACACCCGCCACATTGGCCTTGTCGGAACCAGCGTTGCCGGACAGAGTGGTAGTTGCAGAAGCACTGGCGCTGGTAGTAGAGCTTGTTTCTGTGTTCGTCAAGGTGCGCGTGGTCGACGCAGAGCTAGAGGAGTGGTGTGAGCTCGAGGCCGAGGAGGAAGATGGGGTTGAAGAGACCCCTGACGAGGAGGTAGTAGAGCCAGTGGATGAGGTGCCAGTCGTGGTCTGAGTCACAGTCTGGGTTGACGATTCCGTAGTGGTGGTTGCCCCCGAGGCTGTGGTGCTGGCAGCGCTGACCGGGGGCACAGAGATTGGGTGACCGGCGGCAGAGCACTGGGAGACGACGGCAACGGAGACAGCTGTGAAGAGTGTCAGTAGTTATCTCGATGGATGTTTGTGGACTAAGGCAGACTTACAAGACTGGTCGGCAAGGTTGCAGGCGCTCTGCACACAAGGCGTGATATTCGGAACGAGTTCAGACTTCTGGCAGTGGCAGGCGAAATCGGTTAAGGATGAGCATCCATCAGCGGAGAGGGCAGAGACGAAGCAGTCCAGCTAATGAGTAAGGTTAGTATCATGGTCATGTTGATTACTGGTACCCCTTACAGAGCAGCTCGGGACGTCCGGTAGCTGCGCACTGACAAGGCCAGTAGCTAGGAGGGCGAGGGAAGCACGAGAGAAGTGCATATTGATATGAAGTGCTCGAATCAATTCAGAGGACAAGGTTGGACAAAAAAGACCAATTCAGAAACGACAGTATAAATGACAAGATACTGAGCGAGTGAAGATTGTTGAAAGAAACGCCATTGTACATTCCAGCGGGGGAAGCGTTTTATATACCTTAGTCCAAGCCAGGACTGTTGCACCAGACCCTGGACAGCTGCATCACATGTTGCAGTTCATTCTTGAAACTTTGGGGGAACATGGAGAGTGATCGACGCATCCAGAGCCAGTTGACCGCAGCAAGCTTGACGTGTGCATGTCAAACTTCATCTTCTCATTCGTCGCCACTGAGTCCTGTTTGCGGAAGCTTGTGCGACTCCCATTCATTCGAGGACACTGTCCCCTCAATGACTCCTATGTGTTATAAGCCCGAGATGTGTTACATTCCTGTACACTAAGCAAGACGACTCTCTCAGGCAACGCAGCAGGATAGTCCGAAAATCCTCACCTTCTAACATAAGCATTAAGTAGAGCAGAAAATGTTCAGGCTATCCATGAATTGGAAGCATTTACTGGAGCAAAATTTCAGAATAATGCATGGACAGATCCTGGCCAGGAGAATGGCACCGAAAGTTCACAGGGATAGGAAAGCAAGAAACCAGCTATCCAGGGTAAGGTAGCATTGCATGGATTATCGGCCTGTCATCCAAGGTCCAAGACGATCCATCCCACAAATGAGAGAGAAAAACTTCAGCCAGAAAGTCAAGATTGATACTCGATGCAGGAGATTGAGCAGCTAAGGTGCGGGGGAGACCCCGGATGATCGCCTTGAGACGCGAAACCACTTCACAGTCAAGCATTACTTATTAATGTCTCACGTCCGCGTCAAATCGAACAAACTGATGGCACGAGAGTCTAAAAGTACGTTATACCTGGCAGAGCTCTACATGGTGAACTTCAAGGCCAGACTGAGCTGGCTGATATTAACAGTGAGTAAGAATTACTGCCCAGAGTGAGCAAACTTCATCACTAGAGTGGACCCAAAAAAGAAAAAAAGGTTTGAAGAAAAAGCTAAACAGACTTCGTTTGCATCATGATGATAATCCATGATACAGACGGAAAGCAAGTAAATAGGCTTCTTATCCTTGACTTGGTCAGAACTGGACTGGACAATGCATTAGTACTCTGCGGTGCCGATCACTTCTTTGGAAGCCAGTGCACAAGCGTGACCTCAGGTGAGAGTGTTGCTGCGTACGTACTCTGAGTAACAATAAGCTATTGCTTCCCGTCAGCTCAGATTAAAATAAAAAAGGGGTCGTCTACGGATCGGATACAGACAAGGGGAGAAAAGAGCCGAATTCATTCGACGTCTTCAACAGCTTCCAGTGCTACAGCAGGAAGACTCGAAGATACGTTAGCATCAAAATTGGGTACAAATGAAATATCCAACCGAGTGACCTGACTATATGGTTGAGATACCTTGTTACTAGCAGTACAGTCAGTCGACTTAGGCTTAACAGTGTCATCAAAACCAAGTAATTCAGCAAAAGAAAGAACATAAGAAGATTCACGTCATCATTGATTCCTGTCGATGTATAATCTGCACAATAGACCGAACGCCCTGCTTGGAATTATAAACCCAACGCCGATGGAGCACTTCGTTAACCTCCCAGATCATGGTGTGAGTGACAAAAGTTCATAGAAAGGTTCTCAAGACAGCAACTCATCGACATAAGCTCTCTGCTTCACTGTGTCCTTCTCCTTCAGCAAGACGGCAAGGACTTCGATAGGAGGATTGAGGTTCAGCATCTTCGCACGTCTCCAGCGCTTTAGCCGAGCAATTCCGATGCATGGCTACATCATGTTAGCGGAGCTCTCAGCGCAGAAAGCGGCAAGTAGTAAGATATCATAGACATACCCCATACTGACTAGACAGATCAAAATGTCTCAGTATCTTCTCGTGTAATGATAGATCTTCCTGGTGGACTGTTCGTCAGGAGTATCGTCAGCATTTCCTTTCCCCGGCCAAACTGGTTATCGACATCACAATCCAGAAACCCACCTCGAGGCGCCTTCCTTGCCTGCTCTTCCTTCTTCCAATACCTCTGCAGCTCCTGTTCTGTGATCTTGATCGCCTTCTGATCCTCCCCGCTCAGCGGTTGCTGGATCTCCTCCCGGGCTTGCTGTCTGACGGCGAGCTCCGCAACGTGCGGCTGTGACGGCTCCGAGGGAGCGACAGGCACTTGATCTGGATCTGGGACCTCTTCGGTCGAGGAGACAGCAGCTGATATTGGTTCGAGGTCTTTGGTCTTCTGAGATCGCGTCGATGTGGCCGATGGCTTGGTGACTCTGGACTTTCCGCCGAATGAAAGCGTCGACTGACCTGAGCGGGAGGCGGCAGTGTTGCCTCCGCGGCGACGAGTGGTGGGCATATTCAATATATTCCAGGATATGAATGTAATTTCTGTATTAAAATAGGCCGTTTGAGGCTGATAGGTTGTTGCAACTTGCAGTTTGTGAGATCTGGTTCCGGTGGATGTGGAGAAAGCGATGTCATGGTGGGCGTTGCACATGGCAACCGAACCGTCAACTGTCATCCATCAACCACTGGACGGAGGTACATACTTTAATCCTATTTGGCCCCGAGATATGCAACTGAGGATAAATTTGGGCTACAGATGGCCATAGATTGGATAATTTTGGCTAGGGACACATGCTCTTACAATAGGTTTGAAGGGAAATCCCTAAATCAGCTCTTCAATGCAGGTACTGTATCTCCATACCTTAGACCAACCTGCCACTACAAACAGCTCTAGGATCAAAGATAGGGCACTGCATGGTGCCAAAAAGTTCATCTACCATCCCTTTATTCCTTTTATTATTATAATACAAAAGCGAAAGCAAGTTACAAGCTCACGTTGAGTGGTCGCATTAGGAGGAGATTCCGTGCTATCGGAGATGTGAGCATACTAAGATATATTCTCATTCTCCCGGCACTTAAGTGAATACCAATGCCATTATTGACCCAAATCTACACCATATACATCGCCCATTCAGTACCTGACTGAGTCTGGATATAACTAGGATATGTAGAACATGAACAGAACGAATAAATCTTGAGCCGTCTTCGCTTTAGACGGAAGGCCATTAAGACAGCCGCCAGGTCACAGCCTTCATACTGTCAGGAAAGCCTAACGCAATCCCGAGTAAGAATAATTCACAATACTACGGGGTTAAGTTCTGGATATGGTTGGTGATGATATCCAGAAATCATTATGTGTCAAAGAGATGGGCCCCGGCGCTCAGCCGTCGTCGCAAACTGTGGGCTGATGAGCTGTAGTACGTAGATAAGAATTCTCTAGCCATCAGAGTATCTTGGGCTGACGTGGAGTGTCCCAAGTAGAGAGACAACGCTGGGGGCTGAATGTCATGTCGGTGCTGGCGGATCGGTGTCTAGCTGATGCCTGTGGAACTGGTATCCAACAAGGCTATGACGTAGACCGCTGAAATAGGTACCCTGATGGACGACGAGGGTCGGCATGGACAGTGAAGGATTGATTAAGTATCTGAATAGCCTTAATCCCTGGCGGAGTGCAAGGAAACTGTCTGTAGCGGTTAGTATTGCTTGAGGCTCAGTTTGAGTTATCGGTGAGTTCCAGGGTTCCCCGGTCCATAACTCTAGACAAAGGGAACATCAATCAACAATAATGGGTACATATGTTTTCTCCGAGTCGAGTCTGAGGCTGAAAGATAACCGTCCAATACTCTGAGAGGTAAGGTCATGTCATGATCTAGCCCTCGTGTTGGATGCAGATCCTCGCGAATTGTAGCGAAGCGAGGCCTGGGGCAGTTCTGTCGAGTTCGCGCGAGAAGCAGAAGTCCTGAACTTAGCCGCTCCAAATGTTCCCCATCACTCTCTTCCCCCCACATCGGCGCCAATAAACAAACCGCCCTACGACCTCTACAGCCATTCAACTTCATCATCGCTGAAACAGTACGACTATCCGTCCTTCTGCGATTGACTCGCCGTCTCCATACCGAAGCTGCACACCACACACCCCTATCGACGAGCAGCTTTTACCGCCTACTCTTGAATCCGTGACTGCACCTCGTAGAGCCACATCCGTTCAGTGCACCTGCGTCATTGTAAGACCCTTGGCGCAGATGCGATTAAGCGGGACAGCCTGATCGTCCGTGGTCTCTATGAATTATCAGCAGTTAACAACGTCCCTCGAGTCGCATAATCTCCGCAACAACCCCGGAGCGCATCCCTTCCAACCGCCGCGTGCCCATGGTGGTGCGGGTACAGCCCTCTCACTATGGCCGCCTTCGTGCGAGTGTCGGGCCCGCCGAACGGTAATTTTCTGATCGGCTACCCTGGTATCTCTGCGACTATGGTAAGCGCTGGTCAGAATGATGTGAAACCGTGAGAGACTAACATTTTGACGCAGCCGCGAATTGAAGGTAAAGTCGAGATCAGACCCAGCGTCGGCATCACCGCACCTGTCAATGTATCCCTCGTGACCGTATCTCTCCATCGCCGTGAGACAATACACCCGTCAGCGGACTCCGTGACCAAGAAGCATCTTGCGCCCCCTAGGAAGGAATTAACTGATATTGTCGGCAAGGAGATGCTGCTTTTCCGATGTCCGGCCGGTCGAGAATATGAGGAAGTAATATCCATGGATTTGCCTTTTGTCCTCTTCATCCCGTTCGGCCGTGGTGGTTCGGACTCTTCAAGACGTGTCCCTCCGGCCAGCCTGCAGCTCCCCAGTCGCACTGCGGAGACATACTACGAGATTGTCGTGACCGTCCAGCAGGGACAATCGGAACAAAGGAAGTATGCATTTCCAGTCCCGATCTCACGATACGACACATTATCCACGTTTGGAATGTACAATCGCCCTGAATCGGCCGAGCGGGTGACGGATCACTTGGTGACTTTAGGAATCTCGTTACCGCGATGGTCTTACGGGCCTCTCGACCCCGTCAGCGTCTATGTCAAGCTATCACCAAATCCGGACTGGATGACCAAAGCAAGGAAAGTCACAATCAACAAGATTACAATTGGTATCGATGAAGAGATCATCTACAACCACGAAGGCGATGAACCACAGCGCAAGGTCAAAACGCTGGTCAAACGAACAGAACCAATCGGCGTGAAGTTGCCGCCTACCGGCTTCTTGACGAACTTGGGCTTGGTATATCCAGCAAAGGATCTGCGAGATGCAGAGGGAATTCTTCCTAGAGGTAGAGCAGCTTTTCCAACGTATGCTGTGAGCGGTTTTACTACTACAGCTAGTCTCTACAAAATCGAGTACTATTTGACAGTCAAGGTTTGTATTCTTACCCAGCCAACTCAGGGCAATTTTATCGAAACCCGGCTAACCCAAGTGTAGGCGCATTTGACGTCTGCACGAGACATTGCGATTCGACAGCCAATCGTCGTTTGTCCTCTTGACCATGCGGGGTGCAAAGAAGAAATGGAAGCCATCGAACAAGCTGCTCGAGATGCAGTCCACGTGAACCCAGACAACCCTATGTTGCCTCTCCCGTCTATTGTACGGCCCAATGATCCCAATGCCCTGCGACATCTCGGAGTGGCAATTGTTGGAAACCAGAAGAAGCCACTAATCGATTGAGAAATGGCTCGGTTTCCGAATTCACAACATTTTCGAACTAGACCAGAATATCTGTGGTCTGCTTAGAAGTCCTCTACTACCTCAACTGCCAACCACCTGTGACAGAGCCGAAGTTCCAATCACGGCGGTACGCCCTGCTTTAGAAGCAAAGCATGGTCATGTTTTACGAATGCATGGGTCTGGAGTTTGTCTTGTTGCATGTCATTCAGGGTAGCCTTTCCGTTTTGTTGTTTGTTAGGGGCGAGGAAAACGAGGTGTTTGGTCGGCCTTGCTTATATCCTGGGAATGTCGCCGGTGGGACACTCGCTTTCTCATATGGTCCTCTAGCCATATAGTTCAATATAATATGTAAGATTTATGATGCCGGAGTGTCTGAACATTGCCTTACGTCGTCCACTTCAGCCGGCTGCAAGAACCATCTTCATGAATCCACCGGAGTGTTGGGTCGAACGTTCTTTTCATGACGATAATGACGACAGACCTCGCTGGACTCGTCCGTTTGTCGCATGTCGCAGAAATGGAGAGGTTCCAGGTTGTTCATGATCAACCGAAATCCGCAGTCAGGGTCAACAAAACATGAAACATCAGGAATGGTAGATCATCTCCCAAGCTCCAAGAACTTCATCGCCAAGCTCAGGGTATCTGGATCGAGAGCAGCGGACCTCTTTTTCTTATCATTGTCGATATCATCCAGGCACTCCTTTAGTATCTTCAATATATTTTGATACTGTTGGGAGGAGGCCCCGAATGTGTTGAGAGCATTTGCGAGGTTTGTGTAGATCTGGCTGAGGTTAGGAGGTGCTTGATTGATTATGTGGGTAAGATATACCTGATCAAGTATTTCGTTATAATCTATAATAGCAGAATCCATGGCATGTCAGAATTCCCGTCTTCAAGGGGAATGCACATGAAACTCCGTGAAATATTATCGGTCCACGGCTTCTCCGCGATTTGTAGTCACAAGCGGAACTGATAAGCTTGGACCACCGAGATTTTTTTTATCGGAGATTGATATCAGCTCTCACCACTATCCGTGCACAATACACTCACTCGGAGCCAAGGGCTTCATTCACACCGAAAATGGCGGACATGGACGAAGATGTCGCTCGTCTGCCCTCAAACGACGCTTCCACCCATATCGAGACCGACCTGTCGGACGAAACGCAAGACTTCCGCATGCTAAACCACCTTTCCTTGTCAGTATTGCTCCGCGAACCAATTAGCCCTTGGATGTCCAGTCTAGTTACTAAATCAATGCACCATAGTCTTGCAGACCCATCACAGTCTAGCCTCCCTAAACGAGGAGAGAAAGACTTCGAGCCCAACCCGACAGAATTCCAAGCTGATGTCCTAACCGCCTCACGCAGGGCTATGCACAATGCCCTCTCGTACCCCCGACTCCACCACCCAAAGCACAGGATCGTAGGCGTATACGCGCCAGACGGACCTGCGCCGCCGTCGGTAGCGCCCGTCGCGGAAGGCGAATCGCAGAACACCGAGTGGAAACCGGGAAAAGCTCCGGGGACGAAGCTGGGGGTTCATCCGGACGCGTGTGTGTTCGTGACCAATCCCAAGGGCCAGTTCTTCAAGACGATAGGTCAGGGGGACCGGTGGAATAGGGTGTGGTTGCTTCCTGAGGAGGCGCTGTACATGCTTGAAAGAGGGAGTCTGGAGATTCGGTGGCCTGTTTCCGCGACGGGGTGCGGAGATGCTGGGGATGCAGGCGACTCTGGGATTCCGATGAGCTTGCAGGCGGCGTACGCGTGTTTTATTGGGCGCGGTGGGTTGTCCATCGATAGGTTTACGGTTTATACGGGGTTGAAGCGTTTAGGCTATACGCTTACTCGGGCGCCTGGGTGGTATGACGATACGGAGGAATCGAGAGATTCGGAGATGCAGGAACCAGTTCGGGTTGGTGCAGGTTTACTAGGGGTGTATGAGCGGTTCATGAAATGGCTCCAGACTCCGAGTCCTAGGACCGCGACAATACCCCTTGTCGGTGTTGGAATCCATCGCAGCTACAGTGAGTCGGTCCTGGAAGTCTTGATGGACAAGCAAACTAATTTTCCAGGTGATATCTACCGCAAGCTTTCCATTATACCGTGGCATGATCCTACAGTCTCTCAATCTCCAGCTCCACGAACGGAAGCTCCCTTCCAGGTTGTCTTCCATGTCTATAAACCTTCTACGCCCTTCCGCAAGTCTGCTCCTCCCGCTCCCGATTTCAGAATTGCTGTCATCAACTCCCGCACTCATTCTATGCCCACACTCTCACAGCTGGGCGCTTTGCTCGAAAGCACACCTCTGGATCCGCCGCGAGGCGAGAAAATGGACAGACAGCTCTATATGCGGCTACGGCAAGGGTATCGAAACGTCATTCTCGCCGTTATAGACCAAGGTGTTGTGAGTTACCTGCGAGTTGCGGATGCCGCGTTTGGAAAGGAAAAGCTATACGAGAACAGAGGCACTCCTCAAGGAAATAAAGTAGGAGGATTTTCGAAATCGAAATCGAAACCGAAACCTAAGGGGCGATGACAAGACAATGTCACCTGCCTCAGCAACAACTACCCTGAATCACAGATATTGAAGGAGCATGTTTCCCCTGGAATAAAGCTCTATATCCATGGAAATGGACGAGACCTGAATAAAAGGGACATGGCTGCTCTGCCATCATCTTTAGATCGTCCGGCCATTGAGCTAGGACCGGACGGGATGCTCAGATGGCTAAATCGGCGGCCGAGTCCCGCCTCCTAGAGCGAATGCTCCATGACATGGGAAGAAGTAGCATAAGGCTGCCTCTGCCGATAGGTCTGCTTAACGGGCAAAGATGTTCCTTTCGTACGCGTGAAGGATACCTACCGGAACCGAACCAATGGTTATTTCTATAGAAGATACCTAGCCACCAACTCCGGTTGTTGAAACAGTCATAATCCTTGCATCGCAGAAGTCGTTGCCTCATGAATCGTAAAAAATGCAACTAGAGCCATCAGTCAAAAGGTCGAAGAAGAACAGGTCAACGACAACAACATACTCCTAACACATCAAGTATCCAGATAATCAGCCGCCATCAACAACTCTAAGCACAGCTCTGGAGGAATATCCATATCTGGCACATTTGTCTGGTTCTTATTCTTCTCGTTGTAACAGAAGTACTCGCATACTTTCTCGAGAACGACTCCACTGAGGGTTTCGAGGACGCAGCGACCTGTTATTGCCTCGGAGAATTTACCTGCAACATAGTGAAGAACATATCAGTGTCTGTTCCCCGCGTAAGAAAGGTGAACCGATCTGTCTTACTAGAAGGTTCCAGCATGCGTCGTATTGTTCCAGATACGCAGGCCGCACTCCGGGGGATGATGAACTCGAATCCGTCGCCTGATACCAGCGTCACATACTCGGAGGGTGTAGATGATGAAGATGCCATTTTGGAGTACGAGAGTGGTTGCTGTTTGTAACTTTTTAGAATGGTTGATCGGGGAAAAAAGATGAAGGGCGAGTTGTCTTCACAGGTGGTCCGTGCTGAAGCTGTTCCGATAGGTAACGATTCAATCTCACCTTGAACGGATCGCAATCGGTACGAAGTTACGTGATTAGGAGGATACGCTCTAAAAAGCTTCAATTTCCTAGAACTTGACTCATGCTTGTATCACCAATCGAGCTGATCTAGAAGTTGGTCCGAATCCAGTCTACAGATTGAACCGAGTTTGTTCTGGCTCATAAACAGCTCGGTTGTTCATGGAGAAAAGAGGCCGGATTCATCACCATAAATCAAACCATTGAAGAGAGGTCTTTCTTTTGCCTTGACGAAAAGACCATCGCTACTCAGTCATGTACCATACGCATATTCTGCGTTCCCGCTTCCGCGGCGCAGCAGCATCGACATCATGGTCCACATTAGGCCCTCAAGCACAGCCTGCTCATCAAGCTAAGACCAGGTTTCATGCACATTTCCTCAAAACCGCTCCTTTATTATCAAGGCCTCTCAGCGGTTGGTCATGGTCTACCACACGGACTGGCGGTGGTCCTCCCCTCAGGTCTTCGGAAAAATTAGCTGGTCGAACATGTATGATCACAGGCGGCACATCTGGCATTGGATTCGCCATTGCAGAGCGATTCCTCCAAGAAGGTGCCAAGCGCATCATTCTCGTTGGCAGATCCCATGAACGGCTCGTCAAAGCTGCTTCTAGATTAGAGGCGCCTACATCTGGGAACGCGTTCGCTGGCGTCCAGTCAAGCAGTGATAGCATCGTTGGCGAAGTAGCAACTAAAGCCCCAGAAACAGATCAACAACCCCGAAACAAAGATACGCAGGCAAAGTCACATGGTACACTGATCGACTCCTCGAGTAGAATCAGTCTCCTCGTCGGTGATATATCAGAAGCCGGGAAGTGGCTGCGCGAATTGGAGAAGGCAATGGTGAGCTCTCCCGCCCAGTCTCGGATGATAGTATCTAACAAACCCGAACAGCAACCAGTCGACATCCTCGTCAACGCTGCAGGCATCTCCATCTCGAACATCCTCCCCAAACTTGAACCAGATGATATCTCGCGCGTCCTTCGCACGAATCTGGAGGGCGCAATGCTAACCTCGCGAGCTCTCGTGCGCGCCTCGATCCGCAGTCAGATGAAGATTCGCAATACCTCCAGCGCATCTGAAATACCAGTCTCCTCAAAATGCATTATCAACATTTCTTCTCTGCTTGCGGTCAAGGGGGCACCGGCGCGGTACCTTATGCTGCATCCAAGGCTGGCATCCTTGGACTGACGCGCTCATTGGCTGTGGAAGCTGCCCATTCCCTCCGGGGCGTTGTAATTCGTTCCAACGCGATAGTTCCGGGGTATATAGAAACGCCAATGATTGCTGGTGAGTCGACTCCTAGCGGAGACGTCGCTGGTTGTGACCATTCATGACCGAATACTGATGATATAACTGCAGATTTCAGCGAGGGCGAAACCTCCAGACTGAAAGAGAGTATTCCTGTTCGGAGGTTTGGTACTCCGCATGAAATTGCGGATGCGGCTGTGTTCCTGGCGCAGAATGAATACGCGAACAACTGCGTCCTCAATCTGGACGGTGGTTTGAGCGCGTCCTGATGGAATGGCCGCACAATCTCTACGCAACGGAATCAGAAGCTATTTTCTTGCTATGGCAGGGAGGGCTATTTACGGCTCATGAGGATACCATGGTAAACTCGGTCAAACAATGCCAGGCACAAGTGGGCGGTAACTGATATGCTTGACCAATCTATGTTTCATTTCAGACTTTTCCTGTTCGTGAGATATGTTACAAGGACATCATGGGACAAAAGATAGCAGATTCCCAATCCCAAATGCGACATGCAAGCGCTGGCACCTGGGAAATAATATGACAAATATCAACGCCGAGTTCTAATGGTGACATTTGGCGGTCGATCAAAATGCTAATGTCTTCGACTGTTCAGTCGTCGATCAAAATAGCGCCGCCATCTGCCTCATCCAATACAATGGGGTGCTCTCCATCACCCTCGGCGACGGAGGCACTCGCAATACGTTTCGCACGTTCGTCACCGTCGGTGAGGCCAGCTTCCTCCGCTTTGCGCTTGCCAGTAACTGCTGCACCGTTTACAGGTTCTGGGACAGGAGGCTCGCGTTCCTTGGGCTTCCGTGGAATATCGATCATCTTCTCTAGATAGACAGGTTTCTCTGCTTCAGAGGGCTCGGGTCTGAAATATAGTTAGCACAATTACCACTAGACCTTTTGTCCTGTAAACTTACTTCTCAGGTACAAGCACGACAAGTTCAAGATTGACACGCGGTTGTTCATCCTCTTCGTCTACGACAGTGAGAAAACTCTCATTCTTGATACCGAGATCCGACAGTTTCTTGGGCAGGTTGTCTTCAAGATCCGGATCGTAGATAGTTCCCAGCTCATTGCTCAGAGAGAACTCTTCCCCGTAGCCCAATTGCAACCGGAGTACATCCTGCACCAGGTCATTTACAGTCGCACGTTCAGGGTCAATCTTGATTCTGGCAGTGGCAACTGAGCACACAGGGCAGCTCGGATTGGGCGGTTTCAGGGAATCAGAGTTGACGGCGCGCGCGCCAGAGCGTTCAAGGAAGACCTGATCGAGAATGAGAGGTCAGATTACACGAGGATTCAGTTCAACGGTAGCGCGTACCATTTTGGCATTTTTAAAATCATCTTTGAGAACCTTGAAGGCCTGCAACACGCACAGCCCCGCTGTCATCGCGTTCGTTGTCGCAATTGCGGGAATGATATTCCCAGCCATCTCTGATATAACAATCAGCAATAGAAATGAATCAGTGATAGCGTCAAGCTTACGTTTCGTGTCAAATTTTGACTTAGGATCAATTCCAAAGATTGTCGCTCTGAGGTTGGCGCTCGCAGTGACAAAATCGAGAGTGTCGACATCATCCTTGTCAAATATCAGAATCGGCTTCAGACCGTCCTTGCTTGTTTCTTGCAGAGTCTTTAAGCGTTTGCTGAGTCGCTCCAAGCTATTTGACCGTCAGCTATTGCTTGCGAAGAATTGTCTGAAGCGACAGCGTTTCGGACCTATCCTTGAAGACAACAAAGTCCTCAGCTAATGACCACACTTTCTGATCATTGACAGAGACGATGGGCTCGATTGAGGATGATTCTTGCTGCAGTTTTTCGAAATCTAGGGGCTGGGGTGCTGTTCGGGTTTTCCACATGTCCTCCATGCCCCTTAACCGCTCGATGTCTTCTTTGAAGACTTTCTCGAATACCTTCTGGTAGAACTCGGGAGAGCCCATGGACTCACGGATTGTTTTTAGAGCCTGCGCCTCCTTACGTAGATTGGCGATTTCGGCAGCTGCTGCAGGGTTAGAACCGGCATGCGAAACGTGGACGACCAAAGGTCGTTCTTACCGTTATCGGCATCTGCCGAATGATCGAATTCTTCCGATTCATCTTCGCTGGTACCAAAAAGCTCGCTTAATAGTATTAGACATGTTTGAGACCCATGCGCAGATATTATAACACTCACGGGAGCAAGTAACTCTTAGCCCAGACAATGCAATGAATGGGTTGGCTCGGCGTGCTCCTGATGGTGCACACTGGAAATGTCTTGGGTACTTCTTTTGAATTGCAGTCGTAGCACTCGGTTTGATTCTATGATAGTCATCAGAGATGTACTGAACGGAAGGAGCATGCATCAACTGTTACGGGAAAGGCTTACCTTCTTGATAACCTGCACCTGTCCGTTGAACCCTGTTGTTCCGCTCTCAATCAACGGCACATTGGCAGCCAGGCACATTCTATTGACATGTCGCCGGGCGTCAAGGTTGTCAAGCGCATTGAAGACTAAATCGAATGTCGCGAACCAGTCCACATTGAATCGGCTGTCCTTGATGTTTGCATGGTATGCTTCCAGCTTTGCGCTCGGTTGAAACTTATGAGCCACTTCCTTGGCAACCTATATGATTACCCGCATAGGTCAGACCTTGTCCGTCATATCGCGTAACGTAGGAGACCGAACTGCAAAGCGAGCGGACGTGGGAAGGCAGAGGAACCGATCAGACGGCGAAGACGTACCAATGCTTTCGGCTTCTTGATATGTTCGTAGCGGAAGAGAAACTGACGGTTTAAATTGCTCAGATCGATGGTATCAAGGTCAATGATATGTATTTCTCCAAAGCCGGACAACAGAAGGTTTTTGAGCAGCTCGCAGCCGATACCGCCGGCACCGACAAGAAGCACACGCGACTAAGTTGGAAAAGAGGTAGGACGTCAGCATCAAGCTTTATTCAACGGTACAAGCGCATTGCGAAAGTAAGCGTAGGGTGCCATATATCTACCTCTTTGATGCGCCTGGAAAGCGTTCCGAGCGAACGCTTCAGATTAGCGTCCCTTGCCATTTGTTGCGAATTGAAGGAAGATGGGTTGTGACGTAGAGCTTCAGAGTGGTGGGAAGAACATCCCCGAAGTAATTGGTCACTTAGAAGCAGAGTTGATTGAACGAAGGAGGGATATCATAAGGTATGCGACAAACAGTAGGAGGTGTTGGGAGAAAGTGAGTTTAACAAGGTATTCTGAAGAAGCTGGAAGGAAATCCGGGAACAGACGTAACCAGGCGCAAGGTTGAAAGGAAAAAGAGTGCCGGGGGTCAGTTCAGTTCCGACGCAGCTTCAAAAAACACAATGGCGCCTCATCCATTGCAGGACGAAGAGTGAATACGTCTGACGAGACTCTTTGGCGTCAGTCAATCTCATCGGGAGTGTTTTGACTACAGATTTTCCAATCTCAAGAGGGAAGCTCTCAGATGTCGCGCACGGATACGCTCTTATCAGAGTCAAGTGAAGAGAACGCTAGATACGGGCTGATTAGGAAAAAGGGCAGCCTTGTTGCGCCTATTATACCTAATCGGCGTCCAGACGGTTGAGAAACTTAAGGAATTAATTTCTTAGTGTGATAAGGGAGAGGAGACGGAGACCAAGCAGTATGCATGCATGGCTCTAATCAAATCTCCTGACTGGAGAGGCTGCTGCATCTGCCCGAGCCTCGACTGAGCGACCTCACATTCCTCTCATTCTCTCATTTCCGTACCAGCTAGACCGGTATCTATGCATATATGCGTCATCTGTTATGCAATTTACTCAGTACCTTTGCCCCTAAGGATTCGCGGAGAATATGATCTTGCGCTATGAAATCCTCCATCTATCTATGGAGTAGCTGGTTTCCAATGATCTGGAGATGATCCAATACCGAGGGGTACTCCCAACGTCATCACAGTAGCGGCAGTTCAATGGAGGAACATCCCTTCACATCAGCATCAGGCCGTGGAGTCAACAAATACTGGAACTCTGTCGCTTCCCTTCCATTTATTGGGATCAAACAATCCATGCATCCGCGCCCTAGCCTCAGTTCAAAGGGGTGAGGCTTGTGGTCAGAGACATTCGGCGGACTTTAATGGCGGACCCCTTTGTGCCTGAAGAATGTGGCATGAATCTCGGTCGCTTACCTAACCGCCCAAAAAAAGTTCCCCGAAATTCCCCCGATAAGATAAAGAAGCCAATTTTCGGGGTCAGACATTGAGGTTAGGCAGCTGAATCATTATTCTCAATCCTTCTCCTACAATTCTAACATCCTCTCTGGTTTGTCTACAGGCTCTTTCTTGCTCAAAGCATCCTTGGTCGTCCCCATAGGACTCGCAACAGACCGGCTTTGTAGGGTCCCTTCTTTGCGGCGAACTGATCAGCCGTCGCTGAGTCAAAGGCAATCTGGCGATATCTGCAACTATACGTCCGCACTCGAAAAGGAACTTTTGCTCCGTTGTTCACTGGCATCAATCTTGGATTTCTATCTGGTGGATATATACCTTCAGTTATAGCCTACAATTTGGACAATTGTGTAAGGACTCCTGGAAATAGACCAGAATGATAGCACGCGCCATGTCGGACGACGAAGCCGATCCCGAGCTCCTGGCCCTTCTTCGCAAGTCACTTGGACTAGATGGCGGGCCTGCCAACCCACGGACTGCGGAGACGAAAGTCCTCGAAAATGCGCAATTTGTTTTCGATAATGCCATTGACGTCGCCCTGAGTCCGGCGAGGGTTAAGGAAGCGGCGGAGACAATATGGCGGCTGATGCAGAAGAAGAATTACTCAACCGAGACATGGGCAGATCATGAGTTGCACCCCAAGGCGAAAGACGGAAGCACAGTTGACTTCATATTTACGATGGATCTTTTGAACTTCAGCTTCTGGTCGGACCAAACAGAACCGTCCAAGCGATTCTGCATTGAGTATCGGGGGAAGAAGTGGACAGGATATTGGAGTCTGGTAGCCGCATTGCAGAGGGCTCTAGATGAGGGTAAGTCCTCTGTCAAATCCTTCACTTCAAGGAGAGACTCACACCGCTCTACTTTCAGGGATTCAGATCACCACACCAGAATTCTGGGTCAACGAAGAGGAATGCACAGACACTCTTTTGAGACATGTTTTTCGATCAGCGAGTGAGGAGGAGATTCCACTACTCGATGAACGTCTCCAGTGCCTGCGTGAAGCAGGCAGGGTCCTTTGCTCGGTACGTCGATGCCCATGTCATAATTTCTTATCATTCGGAACTAATTTAGTGCGATTATAGGATTTCGACGGCAGCTTTGTAAACTGCATTTATAGCGCCAATTACTCGGCCGCAGCTCTTGTCAATCTTCTTGTAGAAAGCTTTCCCTGCTTCCGAGACGAGACGGTTTTCCAAGGCCGGCGAGTACGATTATACAAACGCGCACAGATTCTCGTGGCAGACCTCTGGGCGTGTTTCAATGGGGAGAGTTATGGAGAGTTTCACGATATTGACAAAATCACGATGTTTGCCGGTAGGTTTATTTCCCACCCAATAAATATATCATGATATAACTGACAAGTGACGTCTGGAAGATTACCGAATTCCGCAGATGCTCCATCAACTTGGTTGTCTTCTATACTCGCCATCGTTAGAGGGCCACATCAGGAGTAAAAAGCTCATTCCCAGTGGCTCCAACTGGGAAATTGAGCTGCGCGCAACCAGCATCTGGTGCGTCGAGTTGATTCGGCGTGAAATTGAACGCCAACACCCGGAAGTGAAGAAGCAGAAATTATTAAAAGGGGCTCCAACTGAAAGCCCAGTGGATGGAGCCACTTCATCCGAAAACGAGACAAATCCTGCCACACAAAATCACATCCGACAGGCCAGTATCCACGATACATCCGGCTCGGGGATAAATGCTATCTTGATCGACTTCTTCTTGTATGATACAGCAAAAGAGTTGGAGAGGGACGGCCGCGAGACCATTCCGCATCACAGGACGAGGAGCATTTGGTATTAACCCATATGCAGCACATGAACCGATTGGCACTTACCATGATACCCAAATAATTTTGTTCCCTTTTGCATATTCATGGCGATGCATTCGGCGTACATATCGTCCGGAGTCGTACTTTGCCCTCCAGTATACTGGGATTTTCTTTGCTGTCGCTTCTGGGAGTTTGGTGACCTTTTATGGCCCTGTCTGATTGCCATCTACTGCACTATTGGTTTTATAGAGGATAGAGACGATTTTGGCATGTTTCAGGTTGGTACGGCATGGATAGTTAGAGGAACATTTAGAGATGTTTATTCAGGTCAAGGGTATCATAATTCATATCATGCAAATGAGAATGGTGAGACAGGACTCTCGCTATTCATCTAGCAGAGGTCAATTGCTGAATGCGCGCCATTATATCGGACTTCCATTCAATGTAATCCTCGCGGCGATCCGCGCTCAACCAGTCGACCCGGTCCTGCATCATTGTCCCCAAACCAGGCAGAAGACCTTTCTTTTTCGACGAGTCCTTCAGAAGAAAACCGTGGCCTGCACCCGTTGTCTTCTGGCGCTTTCTCTCACTGTCACGGCCGTCGTACTCATCCGATAGGTACTCATCATCTCCGTCCACTTCCCCAGCCTGCGGGATATTCTCGAACCACTCCTGACCGTTCGTCCAGCCTTGCTCCATGATTAACGCAATCCACTGATCGACATCGTCGCGGTGCCGCCGCTCCGTGGACGGTAAGCCAAGGCTGACAAGGGCAGTCTGCCGCATCTCCGAAAACGTCTTCTTGTCCATTTTCCGTGCCTCGCCTGCCTCCGAAGAGCCATCGTCTGGTGCATTGCGCCGGCGCGCAAGCACAATGAAATAAACTGCTACCACCAATGCGTACACGACTTCCTTGAAATCCTCGTCCTTCTCTGTATTCTTGACCGTGATGATTGGCTCGAGGAACTCCATCATTTCATCGTCCAGATCCTCGTCATTCTTTGCTGAGACGTTCGAGATGAGGTAGAGGATCGATGATACTCCGGCGAAAATATGTGGTGGCAGAGTTCGGGAGATTGGGGGCCGAGACCAGGTGCTCGTGCGCGGTGCTGGAGTGGAAAGTGTCTTGCACACTGTCCGGATTGAATCCATGACCCACGCAGGTGCATCGGGGATGATCGTAGAGCTGGACAGACCATCGGGACGGACCTTGGTGGTTTTATGAGGAGTGAGCAATGGAACAGCCGGTCTGTCCGAGGCATTGACAGCTAGTTTGAGAGGCGTCGACTTGCTCGGGGTATTTTGAAGGCCTCGCGGCGTCGCAGCGGTTTTTGCAAGTGCTTGTGTCTTTGTAGGTGTTGAAGGTGCAGAGCCGGAGCGTGAAGGCGTCCCCGGGGCCGAACTGTCTCTTGCGCGTTTTGAGGGGCTAGTACTAGTTGATAACGACCGTTCCAGAAAAGAGTATAGTTTCTTGTATGCTCGTGGAGGGCATGGAGGATGGCCAAGTAACGGAGGAAGTTTGAGGGCCCTGGTCAGCCTAGTGTAGAGCTCGTTCAGCCAAGGTCAATCAGTCGGGTCTGAAATAGCTGTACCTTCTGCATGCGATCTCGGCACAGGCATAGGGCCGTGCAATCTCCTCTTCGGGCTTCAAGCTTGCTGCAAAACTCCGGGATTGCGCGACTAAGGACAGGGCTAAGCTGACGAGCTCTGGAGGTAGGTCATTGGCGTGCGTTGGCACTAACGTAGCCAGAGCTTGCTCCACGGGTCTGTTGTTCATCTTGTGGGCTTACCAGATGAACGGAGATATGTCAATGAAACGTTCGTACCTGGTCAAGGGATCCGTCGAAAGGCTGCGGGCTCCAGCTATTATTGTGAACTTGTTACCATTTCTAGACTAGCGTTATCGCGCGTTATCATCTATATGGACCGAAAAGGAATAGCGTGGAAGCCTGTCACGTGCTTTGACGGAATGAAGCTGCCAAAGCGAAGGTCTGATGATGCTCGATCACTCAGATTTACTTCGAATTGAGATACTGGCGCTAGACGAGTCACCATGTCTGTTACTGTAGGTTTTTCTCCATTTGCCTTTGGCATTCCGAGCCTCGCGCAGATTCCTTGGTTGGGAGAATGACGATGCTGACTTCAATCGGCAGCTTCATACCACGCATGGAGATCTCAAGGTCGAGCTCTTTTGCGAGGCCGTGCCTCAGACAGCCGAAGTGAGTATTTTCCATAGCCTTATGTTCACATACTGTGATACAGGTTGTCTTACTTTCCGAGACCCATCGAGGCTGACCCGAACACTACTTGTGACAGAACTTCCTCGCCCTCTGCGCTTGCGGCGCATACAACAATACCCCCTTCCACCGTATCTTCCCCGGCTTCATGATTCAGGGCGGTGATATTTCGCTCGGGCCAGCACCAGGAACTTTGAATACACTAAAACCTATGCTACCCGTCAACGAAATCCCCAAGGGCGGCACCTCAATCTACCACCCTCGTGCACTAAATCAGGAGATTCACCTGCCAGCCCTCCGTCACAATGCGCGCGGAATCCTGTCAATGGCGTCAAGGCCAGTTAAAGACCGGACGGCACCGGGGTCACAAGGTGCGACGGGTGCGACGGTCAATGGGAGTCAGTTCTTCATCACCTTCGCTGCGGCTCCCCATTTGGACGGGGCGAGTACCGTGTTTGGGAAGGTTCTGAACCTGAGTCCGCAGGATGAGGGAGGAGATGTCCTGAGCAAATTGGAGAAGGCGAAACTAAAGGTGGACAAGAAGGGGAGAGTGACTCGGCCGAAAGAAGGGGAGGAGGGTGAATATGAAGCGATTGGTGTCAACAGCGTGACGATCCACGCCAACCCGTTTGCGAAGTGAGATGAGGTCCTACTGTTCACAGGTAGAAGATGACTTCATGAGAGAGAGTTCTCGGACCGCAGTCCACTCCTGCAGCCTCGAGGAGGACCTGCAAGTCCTTGCCGGCGGTATTAGATCCAACCCACCGAGATCCGTGAAATTGAGCCGGATATTCTAACCGCTGGGCCAACGACCGGCGATATTAACCCCTGGAGCATGGATTACAGTCATTCATGTTGACTGCTCAATGCCGGTGATATGGCTCTGCTGGACGATTCTGAGTCACGCTTCCAGCAAGATTTGCGCGGCAACGGTGAGATACGGCGGTCATCGCAACCCCAGAAGGTTTGCAGGCATTTTAGTACCAAGCAAAGTGACCCTGACAAAGTTACGAAAAGATACAAGAGATACTAGACTGAGTGCATTATAAGCCAGGAAATATGATTTCGCTAAATTCTTTTCCACATCCCCATAAACAGTAGAACACCATGGAGATCTGCACATAGTGATATGACGGACAAAGCTCATCCCACATCAGGAATCTTAATGCAAGAACTCATCCCCGAACTCATCTCCGAGCAAGCAGCATAAGCGCCAGAATGCAAACTCGACAAATCATCGAAAGGTAGAAACTCGACAAGAAAAGATCATGAGCAAACCCAAAGAGAGTCGTAAATCAACAAAGGAAACAAAACCGTCTTCTAATTGGTATCGAAAATCATGACTTGCGTTCATCAGCATCCTCAGTGGGCTTCTATTCCTTCTGCTCTTGCTCGTACCCCTCAACCTTCATGTCTCTCAGGCCGAGCTCCTCTTCCTCCTCTTCCGTACGAGTGTATTCTTCAGTTGCGATTTGAGGGTCGGGGGCGGGAGCACACAGATCCTGAACGTAGCTGTTGGCCATGGGATCCTCAAGAGTAATAACGAACTTCATCTTTCCGCTGATCGCATCGTCGAGACGGCTGAAGAAGCGCTCCCACTTGTCCTTGTCAGACGTTGCCATACTGTCACCACCGGAGTTGGTGGTGTCGTCAACATCGAAGATCTGGCCGTGCAACTGATCGCGAATCTCCGTGAGCAGACCCTCAACGGTGGTGAAGCGGCCGCCAAGGGTACCGGGCTGAACAGTCACCTCAAGCTCGTCGCTGTGAAGCGCGCAGGTGTCGGACTTGAGGATATCGCGCGACAGATCGACCTCGTTCTCGACACGCAGGGTAATGCGCTTGCCCTTCTCGGGAACCTCACCACCGGTCTTGACCTCGCTAGTGCGGTAGCCGCAGTGATCGCAAACTGTACCCCAGATGAAGACCTCCTTGAAGTAGGGAATGCTGACTTTCTTCATGTTGACAAAGCATGCCTTTGTGCAGCCGGGGCACTCTGTGGGCAGACTGTAAACCTGCCCTTCGACAATTTCCGAGTCGTCAATCTCGCCCTCCACGTTGATGCCTTCATTCTTCTGGGCCTCGGGGTCGGCAGCAATACCGAGCTCTTCGTTTTGCTCGTGTGTACGGGGGTAGTCGCGACGTCTGTACTTGTTTGTCTTGTCATTTGTATTGGGCGCAATCCACGAGTTTCCGGTCGGATCATCCAGCGAGATGGTGAAAGGAAAGCCTTCGCGCTTCAGAATTTTCTCCAGCTTCTCGATGATGTGCACGAGCGCATCGTGCAGCTCGGGCGCTTGCTCTTTGCGCAATGGCTGGTCACCGGACAAGTTCTCGTAGATGCGCTGAATAACTCCCTCCACTGTGGTTAGCTGGCTCTCGCCCTTGGGCATCTCGATACCGAGCGATTCGACTTTGAAAATCGAGACATCGCTTCGAATGACTTGGCGCTGGAAATCTTCCTCGTTCTCAACGTCCAGCGTGTATTTCGTTCCCTTCTCTTGAATCTGACCTGCGGATTTGACGGAGTTGTCTCGGTGGCCGCAGTGTTCACATTCGAAAGATTCGAGGATAATGTCGCGGAAGAAAGGCACTCGGAGGAGGAGAAGTCTGGTGACACCCTAAAGTTTTGTTACTAAATGTCGCCTCGGCGCAGAAAAACGCAAATATCTATCGATATAACTTACATTTTCATGGCAGTTCATGCAGAGACTCTCCAGTGACATGACACCGGTATCTTCATTTCTCTCCACCAAGTCGCCGGGTTTCTGAAATTGCGACTCAACCACAACATTGCCCTGAGGGGCAGCGCTTTCTTCTTCTGTTGACATGGTGCGTGATTTGCAGAGACCAATTGATTTTTGTAAGTGAAAAGAGAAGAAACAAGAACTTGTAAATAGAGGGGCTACAATATATTACAAAGCCATTGGGCCCAAAGAAAAAATATTAGCCGGCAACCACGGGAACGTTCCTTTGCCTTCCACTATCGCGGTGGCGGGGCATCCTTTTTTTGGAGGGGCAGCTCTTATTATGCACAGACGCTCAGGTGGATTACTCAGCAATGCGGATTTATGCAATAAGCAACGAAGAGCGAAGAATATTAACAACTTTGGAATGATGATGCTGGTTTGTGATGAGAGCCATGCGGCGAATTGATCGCCATTCGCCTTCACTCGGACCTAGTCTACCGACAGCTACATAATCCATGGGGGTAGAATGACGACCGGACATGTCATCGCAGTCCGAATCACATCTCGAAGGCAATACAGATCCGATCGGCCCAAGCCTGTCGAACTGATCGTTTGGTGTTCATTGTTCCATCCTGGAGCGATAGTTAGCTCAGCCAATCTCTGAGTGTTGTGGGTTACTTATAGAAAAAATAGGGGCCGCCTCCCCGAGGAGAGGCGGCGGTTCACGAGCGGAAATCGACCTGCAGATGTTCGGCACCTTTTGATCCAGAACTCGCAACAAGCTTCTCGCACAATAGCCCGATGCTGGTGCCCACGCACAAATGCCCTTTACCGATCGAAGCATATATACGTTCTCTTCGTTGATGTCCTACACGCCCAGGACCAGCTGCCCAGCCGCCAAAGTCTCCGCAGAAGCAAACGTGAACAGTATAGAGGCCAAGTAGACAAGCCTGAGCTTTGATCCCCACCATTGTAAGGTCCCACAAACGCCTCCTGTCAACAACTGCATTGTATGCAAGAGATATGTTGAACGGGCAGCCGGGTCGCATGATGGACGAAGCAAGAAAACCCAAACGAGAGGAGAGCGTTGATGAGCTTCAATCGAGGCAAATGCCGGCTTCCAAGACATAGAATGGCCATGGCAAGTTACCAAGATTGCAAGATGATAGAGCATAGACTGTTGAACAGCAGTACAAAGTCGAAGCTCGATGAACGCAGCGTGCGACATCGGACAGTCTCACACCCTTCGCGAAGTTCATCCGACCCCATGTTTTCCCGCGTTACTCGGCCTGACCATAATCAAAGCTTTCCATCTCCCAATTTGCTCTCGAACATGCCATCCGTGTGGTCATAAGGACAACCTCGGTCGCTAAGACCTAAACCTCGTGCGGGGTACAGTACTCTCTGAGACAAGTTTTTGTTTCCTCTCCGCGTCGAACAGACATTGGAGGGCGTTGTAGAAGCGAACAAAGAACATCCGCAAAAACCGCTTCCTTCTCCCCGAAGGGAGGGACGACGAAGGGAGGCCCATCGTCATTGTCGGCGCCCATCAATCTATTTGCAATCTACATTGCAAAGAGATGGTTAACACGGTCGACCTGGATCTTTGAGTCAAGTTCGAGTCGGTGGCTGGTGCCGGGACTCGAGGCTTGCAAGCCAAGATATGGCAAGAGATAAGAGTTCGAAAGTAGGTACGGGTTGCCCAGGCTCCCCGAGTTGGGAGCATGCACGGGATAGCAGAACGGATAGCAGAAGGAATAGGTAGGCGACCATTGCAGAGGCTAGACCATTACTCATTGATGGTGAATCATGCACCGGAACTAGACAACAAGCCAAGGTTTCTGACAGCATCACTCAAAGAGCAATCTGATCAACTCAGTCCATCCAGGAGTGCGGAAGAACCTCGCTACAATGTGATTTCTCAGGTAGCACCTGGGCGCCCTCAAGACATCACAATGATTCCGACGAGTGGATTGCTTCCGACGTACTGACTTCATGAGTGTTTGTAGGCGCGTCCGAGGACTAATTGTTGCGTTCAAGATGCTCACCGAGCAATAGTAATGAATTCCGCCGCAATTTGGGGGTGGCTCCAGACATCCCATGCATTGCCGTTCATAAAAGCTCCCAAAGGCCGTAATCTGTAACGAGAGGCCCGACATGCTCCACCTACTCTCTCCCTAGAATCTCCAGCACTAAGGCATCGACAAACCATCCATCTTGGTCAGCATGTAACGCCCAGCATTGGTAAACCGACGCGTGTCCCATTCTGGAACTTAAAACGCATAGTAAACCGTCTTTTGTTGCCCATGACAGGCTCTGGACATCGGATACCTTTCGTTCATCGATTCCTCCAGGAATCAATAAACTAATCAATAACTCCGCCATGCGAGGCCGTGAAACTTGTGCTGCTGCTAACACTGAACCGACTAGGTTAGGGTTAGATTCCCAATAATCCATCACCTTCTTTAAAAGATATAATCATAGGGTGGGGTGAGCAACGTATGATTATAGGTCTCCTAAGACGCATCGAGATGCAGTGATGGAAATTGGAGAACTATACGGAGAGTAAGGTCTGTACAAATAATGCCCTCGCAGGCAATTGAGGCACGGCCTAGCAAGCCAGAGATGCTTGAGAGACACACGCCGACACGTCTTCGAGCAAGTCAGGTCCGAAAGAGAGCTCGTGAGAATCAAGTTCAGTATTGGCTGAAGGCGCTAGAAAACCGAAGCACGGCTGAGTTCTTCGCAAAGTCGTTTGTGACTGACTGAGGGAGCAGCTGCAATGGGTGTAGGCAGAAGAATAGCGAGAGGAGGGCTGCCAGCGGACCACAAAACAATGCAGCGCGTCGCGACCACACGTGACTTGACGTGGATCCTCCCCTTCCCTAACTCCCAACCTCCCATTTTGACCAGCATTCTACGATAGGGAAAACAGGTCTCTTTAGGAATCAAGATGTGCGAGAAATGACTTTGACTAGCGCAAAATGCTTTTTGCGGACGTTATATTGCATCCCTCTTACATGTAATCAATGGCTCTTACCGATCTAGCATGCAGGCAACTACATCTCGCAGCCACTCACGGATGAATAACTATGGAACTCTCACTATATGGGAATTTTGACCCTTGGGAAGAAAAGTTCATTTGAGGCAGTCCTACTACCTCCGGAAATGCACTTTTTTCCCACAGCTGCCCTTCGCTCCGAGCAATGTGGTGCCCTTTCTTCGCCGTTCTGCAATATCTTGTCCGCAGAGCATTGTTGTCTTCCGTGACCCAGAATTACACTTTACGAAAAAAATCATAGGCGACGCGACAGTTTTAGTTGAAGTTCAAATTTCATCCTGCTCATTATTGCTGTCAATTATGAGTAGCTCAGGTTGTGGCTTATCTGCATGTATGATGTTGGGCTTGTCCATAATAACAATGCTATTGAAATGCGCGGAGTACTCCGTATCTGATCGATCGTCCACTCGCGGGGGCGAAAGCAAACAATCGAGCTTCCCGAGACTCGAGTCCAATAGAAAAGGGCGAGAGCAATTGAAGGGAAGTCAAATCAGAAGAACATAGGTACAACCGTACAAAAAGGGCTTGCGATTGGTGGTGGTTCAAACTGGACGGGGTACCTAGTGGCTGGTGCGGTGGAGTCGGCGGAGAAAATTGAAAACGGGAAAAAAACCCCCTTTGACATCAATATAATCTCAGTTTCAACATCGCAGCAATTTTTCTTCCAGTCTCTCCTTACCTTAACCCCTTCACTGTCCAATTGGTGGCTCCAGGGTCACCTATTCAGCTCCGCTATCTGTTGCTTTTGTCCTTCAGAAGCCAGCCCGCTCAGCGCAGCAAAATACGAGAATTAGTTATTTGTGCGCCTGAGCAATCGATACATTATCGAAACAGTCCAATATCAGCAAGCCCATCATGGCTCGTCCGCGCAAGTCCAGCCATCTGGGAGATATCCCGGGTGATACCACCGCGCCCGCCATGTCGACCATGAACGAGGTCAGCCCTGTGGAGGGAGAAGCTTCAAAATGGGACAAGGTATATCCTTACCGGTGACCTCAATATCTTCCGTCTTCTCAGTCCCGTGCTCACTGCTGTCAGGCCTTGCAGAACCAGGTAAGCTCTGAAAAGGCTCTCAAATCGCAGACCAAGCGGCGCAAAAACCGATCGCCCCTCCGTCGGTTCAAGGACTTATGTTCGAAACACACCTGGGTTCTACCTCTCCTGCTGATGAGCATAATCCTCCTCGCATACGCCGTTAATCCCACGCCGGCCAATCCTTTCCACAGCGCTATCTTCTTGTCTTACCCACAACCTCCCAAGACCCCTGGCGGCCCGGTTATGTACGGAAAAGGTCCCTTGGACTTTGCTTTTGTCGGCTTCTACACTATTGTCCTGTCTTTCACACGGGAGTTTTTGATGCAATGCGTGATTCGCCCATGGGCTGGATACTGTGGCATTCGCAGCAGAGGAAAGACTGCTAGATTCATGGAGCAGGTCTACACAGCCATGTACTTTGCGATCTTTGGACCTTTCGGTTTGTACGTGATGAAACAGACGGATATCTGGTACTTCAACACCACCGCCATGTTTGAGGGTTTCCCTCACCGGGAGCACGTCGCCATCTTCAAGGCCTATTACCTGCTCCAGGCTAGTTACTGGGCTCAGCAAGCGATTGTGTTGCTGCTGCAGCTCGAAAAGCCCCGGAAGGATTTCAAGGAGCTTGTCGGTCATCACATCATCACTTTGGCGCTGATCGGGTTGAGTTACCGCTTCCACTTCACCTATATGGGCATTGCGGTCTATATCACCCACGACATCTCAGATTTCTTCCTAGCGGTATGCCTGCAAGGACCCTCCTTAATTGAACGAGAGCTAACTGATTCTTCTTGTAGACCTCAAAAACCCTCAACTACCTCGACTCCATCATCACTATACCATACTTTGGCACCTTCGTCGTTATGTGGATCTACCTCCGCCATGTCCTCAACCTGAAGATCCTCTGGGCCGTGCTGACCGAATTCCGCACTGTCGGACCCTACGAGCTCAACTGGGAGACCCAACAATACAAGTGCTGGATCAGTCAGGTCATCACCTTCGTCCTGCTGGCCAGTCTGCAAGCTGTCAATCTCTTCTGGCTCTTCTTGATCCTTCGCATTCTCAAGAACTACATCTTCAACAGCGTGAAGAAGGACGAGAGAAGCGACGACGAGACCGAAGAGGAACTCGAGCAGGAGGCAGAGAGCCATGCTGCCCTTGCCACTGGAGCTGAGCAACCTTTTCTCACCGCTCGCAATACAAACAAGGCCCCTCAGGTCTTCGTCAACGGCGAGCCTCTTGGCGCAAAAGCCAACTCTTAGTGCTTGATGCTGAGAGCCAACCGAGTATTTCCTTACTGTCACTTTGGGCATGAATAGCTCGCTGAGCTTTGTCTATATCACGAATTTGACTTGTCTGGCGATGCTTGACAAGCTTTTTTTTTATTCTCTGTTATATTGCGACGGTTCCATGGTGAATGACAAATTACAAATTTCTCTTTCTGCAAAGATACTTTTTCAACCCCTTTCTGTGACTGACGTTGTGCATGGCGAAGCTGAATGGATATAGTAACGATTTTTCTTGAGTGGGCAGTTCATTGTACTTTTTTAGTGGATGGCCTTGAAGACCACCTTCTGCCAAGCTAATGATAATCATAATAATAGATTTGCGCTGGTGATTTTGCAATGGCTGAGTTCACTTTCCCTCCATAGTAGCCGTTCTGAAACTGCTCAAGGACCTTGGCTGTTTAGGACACTTACGGCGGCGGAGATCTTCGTTATGTGAAACTATTGTGCTATGTAATATATTACACGTTGAGTCTCTTGGGCATACAGAGATATCAATATCTGACAGAGCCGACTGCGGACATGTTCGCATACTGAGTTACTTCCCATCAAAAGCAGAGTGCAATCACCGCTGTGGTCGAGTAGGGTCAACAGTTCCCTTCAGCTTGACAGAATCCGTCTCGCCCTCACCCTTTACGCTCTTTCCCGGTTCTGCAACGTAAGGGTTGGAAGTGTCCGAACTGTCAAGGCCCTCCTGCTTGGCAGAAATGGTGTTGGCTCCTGAAGGTGCCTTCCTACCGGCAGGCTGCGGAATCTTCAGCATACGTTTGACATGGTGAATGGGTGCAGACCGAATAGCGAGTTACTTACCGCATCGACCTCAGAAGGCTTCACATCCGGGCCAACAGTCTCACGCTCCGGGGGAATCTCGGCTTCCTTCCTCTCAGTCATTCTTGTTTCGCCGTGGTGGTTGTGTGACGCGATCTTGGAGGGGCTGGACTGAAGCAAGTAGAATGCAGCGGGGACGCCGAGGCCAACCGATGCCAGCATCCTGGAAATCGATTCGTTAGTCGTCTGGCATACGGAGTGCGATGGCTCGTGGGCATAAGGGATGAAGGTGGCTTACCATGGGAGGTCGCTGGATTTCTTGGTGCTTTGTTGTGCAGAAGCGTACGTCCGGCGTCCAGCCTGCTGTATGGGTCGTCGAGCAGTGTCTCCGGCGGCACGAAGGGATGCACGAATCATCTGAGGGCGTATGAGAGCCATGGTGGGTTGTACGTATATAGATCGAAAATGAGGTCAAGAATTGGAGATTAGAGATGCTGATTGAATATTTGTGGTGCAATTGGGATGAGATGACAAGTTAACGAGAAAGGTAGGAAGAAGTGACATGACATGCCCTTGTTCTTACGTATGCAGGCCTTGGGCCGCAGCCCCCAGCCTCCAAGCAAGGAGTGGGAGCACAACCAAGAAGCTCGAAGAAGCTCGGAGCGGGAGCAACCGGCATGATCCAAGCGTTCGTTATTGGTGGTGATGTAATTTTGGCGTGCGGGGAGAAAGTAACTGTTATGGCCGAGTTTGGCATAGTCATGATATGCTATGTAACTGCAATTAAAATGCCATTGAAAGTAAATACCATGTTAGATGTCTAGCAGTTCAATGTCATCATTTGACGAACGTGATCTTGTCCTCCTCTATTCCATCCTCGATCGTCTTGATGGAAACCTGCACAAGTGGCCGTTGTGGTCCCCCGTTGGAGCTCAAAGTCTGGATCCAGCCATTACTGTAGCCTTAGGCAGTATTATGCGCCCCGCGTTTAGTTCATCTCCCCTGCTTCCAGTGAGCATGAGCTTTATCCACATCTCTCAAAACTGTGATCTACGAGTCTCCCTATCTTAGTTTACCCTTTATTCTTCCTGCCACAGTACGCTTTTTCAAACTTCACTTCCCCCATGGCGGACAGGCAGGCCATTCAGCAGAATCTCAACAGTCTGTTGTTGAAGCTCGACGACCCAGATGCAGATCTGAGATATATGTCCTTGAATGATTTACTAGGCATCCTGAATAATCCCAACTCTTCATTTCTTGCCCACGATCAACACTCGGCTTCGAGACTCGTCGACGGATTGCTCAAAGCTCTAGATGACCAACATGGCGATGTTCAGAATCAAGCGCTGAAATGGTTCGTATTAGGAGCACCACCTTTGGTGCATACATCACTCACTCATATCTTACTCCAGTCTCGGTCCGCTTGCGCTTCGGCTGCCCTTTGAAAGCCTCATGCCTCTTCTCGAGAAACTGTCGACCTTAACCGCCTCACAATCCATCGATGCCTCAGTTCCCAACACTGCCCTCCGAGTCATTGTCACAGCACTTCCTCGTCCTCAACCAGGGCAAGCACCCAGCAAAGAAGCCACCATGGCATACTCCGCTGTCTCGAGGGTTCTCATTCCCCGCTTAATCGGTCCCACGCCGTCGCCTTCCAACCGAAGGGGTAGTGTTGTAAAGGGAATGCTGGAAAAGGATCCTGCTAAAGGCTTCAGTAGCGACGCAGTTGATGTCCTGATCCAAGTGGTCACATGCTTTGGACCTCTTCTCAAGGAAGAGGAGTTGAGCGCACTGCAGAAGTCTGTCATGTCCATCATTGACAACGACACGGCTGGTACCGTTGTCACCAAAAGAGCATTGGCCGCTATCTCAGTGCTTGTGCTCCACTTCTCGGACAACCAACTAAACGCCTTTGTGGCCGAACTCGTCGAGAGATTCAATTCCTCACAGTTGACGACCGTTCACCGGCGGCATCTGATTGCTACAGTGGGCAGCATAGCCAAAAGTGCTCCGACCAAGTTCGGGCCCCATCTTCAGACATTAGCGCCTTTTGTGTTCTCGGCGGTGGGAGAGGAGAGTCTTGGTCAGGTAGCTTGAGTATACCCATTGAATGGCGTGTCTACGAAAATGCTCCGACCAGTGCAGTAGCAGCATAAGATCCCCAAATCAGATACCCTGTCCATGGTAGCCTTGGCCTTTCTCAATGCTGTATATCGTATGTTACCCATGAGCTTTTCTCATCATGGCATCTCTCAATGATATTCTAAGTAGATACTGCTTTGCGCCTATGGACTCGTTGTCACTGATGCTTTCGAGGAGCGTGACGTTAGAATCTGCTGCTCTGATCAGAGAGATTCCAAGGTGTCCACAAAATCCTCGAGCTGGGATTCACGGCACAGTCCTGTCAACCTGTCTTCGCAGCTGTGCGACAGCGTCCTAACTCGTTCAACCGTCATTAAAACTCCCATGGTATTGTAGATCCGTCCATCTGAGCATGTAATAACGTCGTCTGTTCTTTCCTCCTTATGCTCTTTCCGAATCACTATTCGTTGTTTTCTTCCTTCCTGTCTTTTCTGTTCTCTGTGTTGCTGCCCTCTCTGAAAGGGAAGCAACCTGCCGCCCGTCTCTTCAGCTCCTCGACTCAGAGTCCTGTTGTCTTCCTCGTCCCATCTTCTCAATCACACATAACTGCACCTCCATCTTATCCTGCATATTAGGTCTGGCATCCTTCCCCGAACACATCTCCAAGATGCATATGCGTCACTTGCTGCTCTTACCCGTCCTCGGGCTCGGGGCACACACAGTTGCTCGCAATATCGTCAAATTGCAGCCTGGTCACCACACCTCCCAGTCGCGGCCATTGTCCGACGGCAATGTCACTCCACACCTGTTGATAAGAAACGGTGACGGTGTGCGATGTGGTCCTGGTGTGGGAACTTGCTCGGATGGCAAATGCTGTTCAACTGCTGGTACGTTGTCGTGACCTCTCGTCCAGCCGTGTGCTCAAACTAACCGTTGTTTCCAGGCTATTGTGGTACTACCCAGGCTCATTGTCGCTCTCCAGACTGCCAGCTTGACTTCGGTCATTGCGACGCTCATGAAACCCCAGAGGGCCCTCCCGTCGAAGATATACCTCGACCACATGTCGGTGCCGTACCATATGGCCCGCACGTCATCCGCTCGTGTGCCAGATCAGGCACTATTGCCCTGACTTATGATGACGGTCCGAACAGATACACGGCTGACCTTCTCGACCTGTTGGATCGGTATGACGCCAAGGCGACGTTCTTTATCTCTGGAATCAATAATTCCAAGGGCCCGATAGATCATCCCGATCTACCGTGGGCCTCTTTGATTCAACGCATGCAATACACTGGACACCAGATTGCGAGTCACACCTGGTCGCACCAAGATCTCAGCAAAGTTACGCCAGAGCAACGACGACAGCAAATGCTGAAGAATGAAGCAGCGTTCCGCAACGTTTTGGGCAGAATTCCGACCTATATGCGTCCTCCGTACTCGAGCTGCCTCCCCGAAACGGGCTGCTTGGACGACATGGGCACGATGGGATACCATATCATTCTTTATGACATTGACACGAAGGACTATAGTCATGATAGTCCTAGCGCCATTCAAGTCTCCAAGGATACGTTTGACGCTGCCTTGTCGCCATGGAAAGCTTCAGAGAAGTCCTGGCTGGTTATTGCTCACGACGTGCACGAGCAAACAGTCCACAACCTCACAGAGCACATGCTAAGGAGAATGGCGGAATATGGCTACAAAGCTGTGACAGTTGGTGAATGCTTGAACGATCCTCAAGAATTCTGGTATCGCGAAGCCGGCGAGCCTCTTAGCAATACCGCTGTCAGAAAGTCTTCATCACCAGATGCTCATGACGCTCCTCCAACTGCCTCTAAACCGGTCTCCCCTGATGGCAAATGTGGAAAGGACTATACGTGCGCTGGATCAAGCTTTGGCCCTTGCTGTAGTAGTTCCGACTACTGTGGTACCTCTAATCTACACTGCGGATTTGGTTGCCAGCCAGAAGCTGGAAATTGCTTCTCTTTGGACAAGCCGTCGCACAATGACACCGATGGCTCTATAAGAAAACCAACGCCCCGGCCGGGTTCGGGTCCGAACGATCATTCCAATGACGGCGGTCTTCCTGGGGGTGGATCAGTGAGGAAGCCCGTGAAATCGGGGGCAAATCCGGCGGTCCCTGCCTTGTCGGCTGCGGCATGCCTGATGTTGTTTATCTGCGTGATGGCAATCACCTAGATGGAAAGGTTCCTTTTCTGATGCTTGCGATCAACTTCCTGTCTTTCCCAATACCTTCTTATAGCGAGGGAGACCTTCGAGACAAGTGCAGATCATGTTAGGCGCTCATTGTCACTGAGCCACGGACTGTCCGATGAACTAAATGAGCTACTCTTTGATGCTTTTATCAATTATTATTCCTTTCGCACCTGAGCGGCCTGATAGGCACCAAGTTAGAAGAATTCATGATATTTCAATTCCTCTTCTTGCCGTAGCAATACTATGATACCGAAGTAGATATAGATGAACGTATACAAGAGCGAGACATCCCCATCGCCATAAGAGGATGCCCGGCTACTAATTAGATGGATCTCGTTTAGTGACTGTGTAGCGTTCCATTTCACGGCTGTACGGATGAAGTAGCTTGGGCTTTTGTAGATGAGTTGTTTCCTTATCGTCGCAACTATATATTCTAATTCTCGTTAGAGACAATGTGGCCTAAACAATGGAGTGACGTCCTTGGTAGGAGCATGCGGTGGTTCCATAAACAATTCTCTGAATCAGTCAGGTCTCGTCTTGCTCTGAGTTTGTCTACCAGGTCATATCGATAAAGAATACGCTAAACCTCAGAAGCTGGGCATTCCACAAGATGCGCGAGTACATGAGTGTACATCTTATAATTAATTCTCCGGATTGAAGTCTACCATCGGAAAACTTCAAGCTGATCATAGCAGAGACATCTACAAACGCGAGAAATGGCAGTCATTGGAAAAAGAAGGAGAGAAAAATCTGAGTATGCTCCTTAGCACAAAACGCCATCGCTTTCACTCTGGGCAGGAATCACGAAATCGTAAAAATACAATGTATGGTATACAGGCTGAAAGTCATTGACAGGTCGTGACGAGCATTAAAAGAGAAAGATCGATAATAGATATACAGGAAAAGGAATGATGGCCGAAAAAGAGTCGTCTAGACATAAAATAGGGTGGTAGGCATGGTGATGTTATCGTCGGATGATCTTCAGCAGAGGCGCAATTCTGGCCCTGCGGCTCAGTCCGACTCGATAGGGCACTTTGCTTGTTCCTGCGATCGGGCTGTGCTTGTCGGGGCCTTTTCCGGGGTCTTTTGTCTGGGGACATGTACTCAAGTTTACCTCGTTAGACGTTGAGTCTGGTTTCTTTGGGGTCTCAGGTGCGGTTGCCTCTGTGGTTGGTGAGGGTTCGAAGGGCGGGAGTGATTCTGGGTGTGTTGTTGCTTCTTTTTCTGAAGGAGACCTGTCTCCCACGGTTTCAGTCTCCTGCTGATTGATGTCTTGGTCCGGAGGCTGCTCGAGCATGACAGACACGCCAATGTCTGATTGCTGCGGTGGTGGTGCTTGATTATCGTCTCGGCTGCCTGCGAGTCCATTGACATTCTCGGAGGGAGACTCTTCGCTGTTTTGTAGCTCAGATGTCTTCTTCCTCTTGCGTCCTCGCTTCTTGGGCGTTGGAGGTGCAGGTTTTGGTTCGTCTTTCCATGTCTCGAGCGAAGGTTTGGGTTCGGTCACCTCAGGCGCAGAGGGTGGGAGAGGTCTTGGTATCCGGACTTGAAACAATTCTGCGTCCTTTGAATTGACAGATGTTGGGTCATTGCTGGGTTTCTGAGCGGTCTGTTCGTCTTGTAGGATATGATTTGAGGGTCTTTCATCAATCCAGATCACATCGTCTTCGACATCTGATTCGTAGGTTTTCTTCAATGTCACTGATGTCGTCTTTCCACGCTTCAGCTTCTTCTTCCTGGATTCTTTCGCCTTTTTCGAGGGCTTCACCGGCGGGATATCCATGTCTGCGGACGGGTCGTTCGAGACGTCTGTCCGATTTTCTTTTGAATCGTTGGCAACTTCGACTCGCAAGTTGTTTTTTTCTAGGGCATACGATACTCCGTTGGCTATTGGGTTCGATGCAATTTCATTAAGAGGTAGCGGATTATCACCATGCTCTTGAATCTCTTCCAAACTAGGAACAGGCTGGTCTTGTGGCTGATTGTTGGCCACCCCGGCGTCATCGGATTCGTTCAACGTCCGTACGATCTTCGGTGGCCGACCCGGCTTTCTCTTGACTGGTTCGGCACTTTCAGGGATGCCTTGATCATTTGAAAGAGCAAGTTCATCATCTTCGTCGTCTTCCGGTATGTCTTGCTTTCTTTTGCGTCCGCGCTTCTTTTTAACCGCCAGTATCTCGATTGTAACAGGGGCAGCGAGCTCATCGCATGCGCTTCTTGGCGAGTGCGATGCAGCGTATCGGCAAGTGCTGTCGCTTTGGACTCTAGGGACCTTCGGCGTCACTAGTGACGAGATGGGCTCGGTGTCGTGGGGAGAGTACGATGTAGCTTGCACGGAGTGTGACCTTCCTGGGGTTTTATGAGCTTCCTCCGTCTGCACTGTGTCGCTGGACCTCAGGTGGCTCTGAAGATCGTCATTCAACTGTGCTGGTGGATTCAGAGATGATTCAAAGAAATTGTATGACCTTGAGGATTGCGCCAAGTTATGAGTCGACGAACCGTTCTGCGGCCCGACATGTCGTATATGATCTCCATAAAACCCAGTAAGGTCATTGTTGGAGTAACCGTGACCGTGGTTTTTGCCATTGAGGAGAGCCATGTCTTGCGACGTGGGAGTAACGAATGCGCCAGGCTGCAGAGCGCCAGGACTCTCCTCGCGGTGATTGTAATCGTCATAATTCAACACTGCCATGTTCAGAGGAACAAGAGACTCGGCAGTTGTTGAGCCATTGTCTGGCTGGTCGTCACAAGCCGCTGTCTGGGCCGCGCGGATAGCTGCAAGTTGAGCATCATCGTCGTCGAAAAGCCGTTGCTGCGCAAGTCCAATTTCCGTCATTACTGAACCTGCATTAATTGAACACGGCCATTAGTCACCAGTGTATTCACGAGTACTCTCATGGGATTGACGTCTAAGACTCACCAATTGACCCCGCCCCAGCATCTGACGGAATCCACCTCTCCTCCCTCCGTTGCTGAGAGGCAGAGAAGCCATTTGGCGCTGTTTCCTGTGATTGTAGGAATGCATCAAAGTCAATGGCAAAATGATTTCCATGATCTATATCTTGCGCTTCTCCGCCCGCTGTTACAATTTCAGATTGCTCGCTGCAAGTCGTGATACTATCAACATGATTCTTTGGCTGCTTCGGTGCCCGCTTGACTGGAGGCGGCATCTCCGACAAAGGATCGTCCTCATCGTCAGAGTCTTGAATAACTCTATCAAAGGACATTTTTTGAAAGATATGTATATACTCTTGTAGAGGTACAGGGATATCGACAATTGTTAAGAGGGGAGAATCGGCTTATCAGTCTACGTTTATGTTCGTTATCTCACGCGTCAAGTGGGCGGATCGTGGAACGGAACGACGCGCGAGCACGTGCTGATAAGCATCGATAAGGAAATTCTACTGCAGGCATTAAGGCATCAAAACAGCATGCATTGGTATCAACTGTAATCAGCGCCGGAAGTCATCATAAGCTCAAGCAAAGGGTCACGATTCCATGGTGCTCTGCGGCCGCATCACACCCCGACCGAAGAACTCACTAACAACGCCGAATCGATCCTTGGCTCGTTGAAGTTCTCCCTTGAAGAGATCATGTTGATCTGCTGACTCCACTTGTCTCCTCCTGATAGCCTTGATAGTAGAGTTTTCTTGCGCACACATTGGGCATTCTGCATCTTCATCCACCTTATTGAGACAGCGTTGATGAAATGAGTGCTTGCAGAGGAAGTGCACAGTAGGAAGGTCCAGAGCCCCACCGCACGCGTTGCACCGACGGGCCTGGAAAACGACGGGCTTAGTACCCAGTTGCTCGATTTCTTGCCTTTTCTTCTCGGTTTCCGAGCTGTAGCTGGATATCAGGCGGCGATTCTAGGGCATATATTAGCTCGAACTAGGTAGAAGATCGACGGAACGCAACCTACAGTGGAGATCTCTTTTCGCTCGCGCTCAATGTTGTCGCTAAGATACTTCTTAACTCGGCCCATGGTAACCACGGAGTTGTTGCTCAATGCTTGTATTACTTGTAGTGGCGACATTAATCCGTCATCGTGGATCCTTTTGAGTACCACGTCGAGTTCGTCGCCAGCTTCCTCAAGGATGGCCGGACTTGAGGCGAAGTATGTCAGAGCGTCCACATATAGCTGAGGCTCTTCTGGTCCATACTTCCGCAGAGCTCTGATAGCTCCGTGGGTGTCCTTTGCCGAGGTAAAAGACCGGAAGATGTCAGACCGAAGCCCTTCTTGCTCAAGTACGAGAGTTGATCCCTCTCGAAAATTAGACAGATCTGACAAGAGAAGGACGTTTGAAGTCGAGATCGGAATCTACATGCCAATGAGAGACGAAGATACAACTGGGGCAAAGGGCACTCACGTCTTTTCCTTCGATGAGAGTTTTGGCTTTGTTTCCCCACTCTTCCTTTTCAGCAGAACCCTTCTTGCGATTTGCTGTATCCAGGTACATCTCAAAGAGTGTTGTGTAGATGTCGACTTTGTCCTCCTCCTTCAGAGTTTCCAGGTCGATCAGCGACTCCAGGAAAGCAATGAATTCTTGCGGGCGGCCCACAAAAGCCGAGAAAGCTGTCCTTGGTCTCGGAATTTCATAGCTTGGTGTCGGTTCTTCAATTTTCGTCTCCTCATCAACAATATCCTTGGGCTTTTCAGCCTTCGTTCCGGAACCCGCGTTAATCAAAGACAAGGGAAGGAAACCCGCCAAGCTTTGCAAAGTACTGGTCGGTTGTGTCTGGGGTGCAGCTGGGACCTCCACCTCTGTTCTTGGCCTATACTGCCCCTTGTAGTACGCCATGAAAAGTTCCGTAGTCTCTTGAGGGCAATTTGCCAGCAATACCCTGGCATATTTCATCAGGTTATGGTAAGCCTTGATTGGGTTAGCCCTGGAAAATCACAAGGGTACAACTGCCATTACGAACCAAGTCCGGCTCAAGTCTCCAGATGTATTCCACGGCTTCAGCGTACTTCTTCGAATCCTCAATCAGGATATCAATGACCATGTCATTTTCACCGTATTTTGTAGCCAAATAGGCTGCCTGCTCATAATAACCTCCTTGTCGGCACATAGCGATGGCCGTCTCCAGGTCAAACTTGAGCTCTCCTGGAGCTTTGATAAAGGAATTCAGCTTATCCGTATCTTTGAGCTTGGCGTAACAGTTCAGAAGGAGCGTAGTGTGATCGACGGTAGCTCGATCGTGATCGTGGAGTTCTTCAAGATACTCAATTAAATTATGGATACGCTGCGTATCAAGGTACTGCGATCAATTCAGTCAGATATAAGCTTATTAACCAAATGCTGACAGTAATACCTTCCGTATAACCTGCGACGGTTCAGTATTGTCAATAGCCCGGAGGTATTGCTGCATGGCCGTGTCGTAATCGCCTTTCTGGTAGAGGAAGTCACCATACTTGCGATAGATGGCATTCTGCTGTAGAGTATCAATGCCTTTTTTCTGCGCAAGATTGATGGCCAGTATGTAAAGATTGCGTTGGTAGAGTATCTCCAGCTTCTGCTGGAGGCTCTTTTCTCGGTAACGGTATACCTGTCCGTCTATCAGCTATAGCAATACTCATTCTCATCATTGGATAATACCTTTCCATCTGTCGAAAGGAGGAACAGGTCGCCCCATTCTATGAAAACATGCTTGACAGACGCCGCCAGAGATTCGGAATGAGCTATAAATTTGAGATCCGTATCAAGCAGGGTGAAAGTCGTTGTGCTGAAGATCTCGTCTGCCTGGCTGCGAAGGTTTCCCAAGGCAGCCCTTGGAGGACATACCAAGGCCACATAGTCTCTGAATACGTTGATCGAGTTCTTCGGGCTGTCAAATGCATAGCTCGGGCCACGTCCATGCGGCCCATAGGTGTATATAGCGTCCTCTCTAGCAACAACAATATCTCCGGTGTCATTGTCAAGCGCCATGCAGCCAACGCCGCAGCCTGAGTCATCCAATACACGCGCTGGGTGACCTTGCCCTCTGCCGGAGATGACCAAGGTCAATATTCGACTCGTTGTCGAGATAAAGAGTGTTGATAACGCCCCGCTTTGTACCTCGAGCCCAGTAATCGGCTCCTCCGACTCGAAGACAATGCGTTGTCTGGCACCACGGTCATGGATCAAGTCGCCGCGAATGATTGTGACCGATCCGTTGCCAAATCCCACCGCTACCTGCGACAAATCTTCCAGAGCCGCGAAGGCAGATATCTATAACCTCGTCCAATGATCAGTTATCTGAGCCGTACGTCCAACCTAGGGAAGACAAACAGGAAACGGCCTTCGCGCATTCTGTATCGACGTCGTAGACAAGCAACGCGGGACTCCGGTTTTCTTCTCAGGTTTGTCGAGCGCCCACACTTTCAGCACGGGCTCGTTGGGGAGGTCTTCCGCAATGGTTATAAGCAGTGACGTGCCTTCTATCTGTTTGATATGCGTAATGGAGCCATTGTCCGCTGCCTTGAAAGATCGCACGATCTTGAATCCGGCGGAGACGATGTGTACTACGCCATCGGTAGATGCGATGAAGAGATTAGAGGAGCCGGCGCTGAGAGACGTGAGATCGGACTAAGTAGAATCGGCTATTGTTAGAACTTAGGCTGCGAATAGAGGAGTAATTTAGAGGAAGCCAATCGTGTACCTTTAATATTGACGAGGAGTCTTCTGGAAGTTTGACCGAGGAGACGTCAAAGAAGTTGAACGCTTTCCACTGCGAAGGGCTGGTCAGTATCCTCTGAGAGCTTCACTTCAGTAATCAGACGAGCATACTGATGTCAGAGCCATTTGAATTAAGTCAAGTCCGCGCCATCAACAGGGTGCGGTAAGCAAAGGGAGTGGAGGACGGTTGATCATTCTGTATCTCGATACCCGGCCGCAAGCGCAATCGCGGAGCTGCGCCGCGCTAGTACCGTATCCCGCACAGACCACAGCTCGACCCAACGTCATCTTTCCCTGATCACAGTAGTTGACAATGCAACTCACGTGCTCTGATACGAATGATCAAATAGACATAGTTTTATTCTGCTCGGTTGTTGCATTTAGCATCGTTATCGATAGATGTATTTACATTAATTAATCATATAGAATGCCCAAAGTTGTCAAAAGCAATGTACAAATCATGTATGGTGCTGAATATGGCAAAATATATCTATGTGTACGGCCGCCATATTCCCAGAAGGAACCACACCAAGCTCTGGTAATTAACAATAGCCGGGTATACTCAGCAATTGTTTGCATTGGCGCTCAAAGTAGAGCACGACGCTCTGCAGGCAAAGGAGGTCGCGCGCTACTACACTGTTGAAGATCTCGGTTTATCTCAAAGCTCTGTTGCAACCAGCTTCCTGCATCTGCAATGGCTTGACTGAGGCTAAAGCTATCTGCACCTGCGATTACCCCTTGTCCGTCCTGGGCGGTGGGCGGGGTCGTTCCTGTCAACGTCATTGGCAAGACACTATTTTGGCTCTGAGGCTGGGAATCACGCAGCATAGACATCTGGGGCCTGGAGTCATCGTCGATGTTCCTCTCGGCATCTGGATTCCTGAGCTCCGAGTGATCCCTTACGCTCGGTGATGGCGCTGAGTGCGTGGATGGCGCAATGCCAGCAGCAAGATTGACATCCTCTGATTTCCTTCTCCCCGAACGACTCTTTGCCGATGAAATAACACGGTAGTTACTCTTCTTCTCTGTACTAAAAGTGAAAGGAGTGACTGCGTCGATGATGCACTGCGTGCTCATCACTGGCAATCCGGTAGCTGGAGGTCCAAATAACTTATTTGTGATCTCTACCTTGCCGGGAGTATTCACTTGGTAGAACGGTGTGATTTCGTTTGCGGGAGATGTATTGAGGCTAGGGGTTCGGTGCAAAGGGAGCTCCTCGGGTTCCGGGCTTTCCAAGTCCTTCTGGAAAGATCTCTGAGCGAGCAAAACAGCTGCCTGCGTGGAAAATTGGGCCTCTGGGATAGTATCACCATCATACTCTGTATCTTCTTTTGACACAGCGATGGTATGCAGCGACGTAACGCAATCCATCATGGCTGAGTTTCCAGGTACTCGTTGGGCAGAATGTAACCTTTCGCTAGTATTGCCCTGCATCGATCTGGCTGCCTTAGGATTCTGGGCTGTATCGATACCGGGAGGATTGGACATCGTGGCATCATCTTTTGTCAGAGTATGTGATGCCTGCGAGCTTTCCGATTGGCAAAGATCCGCTGCGTCTGCGAATGAGACGTTTCGCAGCGCAGACGCTTGAGGCGGACGATCGGCCGTGATATTAGGCGCCTTCTCCCCCTCAGCTACTACTGGCGGCTTTCTCTTGTCCAGGATCATTGGGGAACTGGCATGGTCCTCTCCAGAAGCAGCACGCACCTTCCGCCGACGGTACTCAAACTTAGGTAGTTGTGACGACGACGAAACGATCTGAAGTGAGCTGCTCGTATTTTCGTCAGGAACAGTGCCATGTTTGTTCGAACCGTTTACTGATTGATTATGCATCGATTCCGTTTCATTCTTCTTCGATCCATCCGTGCCAGCAATGGATCCCTGGCGCGAGACCATACGGCCGGGAGATTCCACGCTATTGGACGAATCCATGCTGGAACGACGTTGAGACGGAATTGTATAGCCCAGAAATCGCCGTTTCGATGAGCGAACCGTGGCCGCACGAGCTCTCATATCGGATTGACGACTGGAGACAGTGGTTGTAGGGGATGTGGGAGGATCAACATTCCGGGAATTGATCCAGGCACGATCCTTCCTCAACCAAGGAGCATCATTGCTCACAAACGGGCTCGGTTCTTGATCTTGCCCTTGTAGACCGGATAGCCTTGCCCAAGGTGTTGGCCTCTTCGGAGATTGCTGAGAGGCCATCGAGACCCCGGGTCGTTTCTCAGTCGGTGCTCTCGACGACAATGGGCTTCTCGATTTTGTTCGAAGATCCTCATTGCGAAGAGAGGGTGGAACATGCAAGTGCGAGAGACCGACGGGAGAGTCTGACCCACGGATGTCTTGCAACTCATGGTACCGTCTCCGCTTCCGAGAGTTGGTCTCCTGTATCACAACCTGTTCCACTGCGGCTGTATCCCTCGTCGGCCGACTGTCTTGATGCCCAATGCTAGGCACTCTCCTTCTTGACTTCTTCCAAGGGTTCACCCAGTCCCTGTCGAATGGCCCCCGGAGCGAAGCAGAGAGTATGAATAGCGGAGTGCCATTCAAGTACGACTCTGCGAGCCTCTCAATCCTTTGTCGTCGAGCAGACCACTCCGCTTCGTCTAGGTCTTCATCGGAGCCGAGTACTCCATCGATATCCATGTCGGAAGCGGAAGGCGAGCATATTTCCAGAGAAAGCGGGGAGGTGGGTGGACGAGGTGGCATCTGGTTGAGATGCGGAGGTCATCAACGGAGCTGATCGCTTGAAGTGCTGCTGCAGTTCGGTCCTGCATCTGAGCAACTGAATAGGGAAGCACGTCTGCGTATATTTCCTCATATCTTCTGGACCAGGGTATGGTGGTGCCTCATGGCTGACAGCTGTGAATTGTCCTGGATAAGTTCATTAAGGTCACATGCGAAAAAGTACTTAACGCGTGTAAATAATGCCACAGCAACCAGACATGGCGGCTTATGTAATGCTACCCCTCTCGGTAGTCAAAACACTGACATATAGAGAGGTACCTCTGTAGAGAGGATATCGCAAGAACACCAGAGGTAGCACATTGTGATATTAGAAAAATATAATGGTACCTGGTAAAGATCAATTTACAGCACGGCAATTCTGCCTCAACGGACTTTGCGCTGGCACCATATACCAATATTTGACGAAGGGCTCAAGAGCTGCCCGTTTGCTTACTGCCAACAGATGATGCCTTGCTTCTGCTACAACCAGTAGACGTAGTCCCTCCCCATATTGTATCCACTACGTCGCTGGACCCCTCGCTTCTGGGTCGTTTCAAGGCAGTGTGCACGTATTATCCGTAGACAGATCTTAGTGACTTATTAGTTTCCCGAAAGAGTACCTTAATAGATCCGACGATTGCTTGACAGGCACGTAGCGAGAAGTGGGGATTTGCAGACTCAATGTTATCGCCTATGTAGGTAGAAAGAAGCCCAGCAAGTCTTTCTTGGGAGCAACAAGCATATGCTGAAGGATCAAGATGTTCTAACCACCTCACTACACTGAAATGGGATATTTGTAATTTGCTTCTCGAGCAATGCGTTTCATGATCTGTGAGGAGAGCCTTTGCAGTAATATTAAAGGTCAAAAAACCTGCTGGGGTTGCCCCGACCACCCTTAAACTTATCGATCTCAACCGTGTTCCAGCTCCACTTTCATAACATTATCCTCCGGACTGATAATCAAACATACAGCTTTACTGCTACACTTTTTGATTGCTCAAGAGCAATTTCATACTCAATCTCATTTGAATATGCCCCTTCTTCCGACTTCCGCGGTGGTAATTGGTTGATATTGTTGTGGATCCATCTAATGTTTTGTTTGTATTGCTTACCACTGGTTGTGCAATTCACTGCAGCTTTGTGATTGCGAAACGCGCCTGGCTCGCTCAGCGCAAAACCATCAATAGAAATGGGCAACACACCATGGCTGGACAATCTCTCGGACGACTGGGCCTCGACACCAGGCAGTCCAACCAGCCCCGTTCCTTCTCGATCTCCCAACCACTCCCGCCGTTCTAGTATCCAGAACACTCCAAGTCGCATTCCGATCCCCGCGCGTCGCTTGGCCGAACAACAGTCGCCCGCTGATGGAAAGAAGAAAGTGACTCGACCCTGCCATTTTTACAAGAGAGAGCCCCGACGCCTAAAACTCCCAGAACGCCGAAGACTCCGTCGAAGTTGAGATCACCGGTACCGGACAAAACAAGGAAAAGCCCCAGGCCCAGTCTGCCTTCTGGGCGTAAACAACAGCCGGCCATGGATGCTAGATCGCCGTTGCGGTCTGTCTCTAATGTCTCCAACCAGTCGGGCCAGCAGGATACCGTTCAAGTGAGACCAAAAAAACCGAAGGCGAAGGACACGACACCGGAATGGCGGAAACGACTTGTCCATGGAGAACTGCCTTCTGGCGAGCAGCGCGATTTGTTTGCGCCGATAGGACTGGAAAGCGTTTTCAAGCCTCCAACACCAGGCTCAGATACAAAACAGAAAGATGCCTTCGCAAAGATGAAACCAGCCGATGATATGTGGGATTTTACAAATAACAGCTCCGCGCGCAAACACACCAGAAAGCCCAGCAAGCTTTCGATCGAGACGTCCGGAGCGAATAGCGAAGATTCTCTGGACCAGGATTCTGGGCAGTCAGAAGGAGCAGCGACAGTGCAGCGTGATAACCTAGAACCAATCGGAAGCCCTACACCGTCTTCAAATGGAACTCTGGAGATCAAGAAAGCGCCTGACAAGGACGCACACCATTTCAATAAAAGCGGTCATGGTGCATCCCGGAATGAGAACCAGATACGCACTGCAAGCGGATTGGAGGATCTTCGCAATGAAGGTATTACGCCGATCGTGTTCTCACGGGTCAACACTGTGGAAGGACAGGCAACGTCGGAGGTCATAAAGTCAGCCCTGAAACAAGTGACGAACAAGCTTGAAAGACTTTCGGTGGGTGCACGGGAGCGACCGGATTCTAGAGCCAGCGATAGCGTCTTGCTCCATCAACCAAGTGAGCTCTTGGACTCTCTTCCAGAAGATGACCTACTGGATACCACAAGTCATTCTTTACCTCAGGACCTTTCCACTGGCACTCTGGACTACCGAGGACGCGGCGCCTTTGCGAACCTGCGCGGAGAGCAAAATCTAACCGACGGTCTCTTTCCGCAGCGACGGTTTTCTCCATCCTCCTTTCTCTCTCAACGTCTTTCTCCATATTTGCCCTCAAACTCAAGAATCCGCAGCTCGCCTCCATTTTATAACAAGATCTCTCGTGCTACAGAACCCCCACTTTACCAAGACCTTCTTCTGCGTACGCTAGAGCACCCAGTGGTGACGGCAACCTCATTGCCATGCCCTCTTCTGGGAGCCCTCTCAAACTTTTTGGAAACCATGATACCTTCACCAACAACAGGCTTCTGCGCCGAATGAGCCAGTTTGAAGAAACGTTTGGCGATCTGTCCGAGGAAGACGAGCCGGTTTCGCCTTCCGAAGAGGCCAGGCGTAAAGGAGAGAGCCGAAGTTTCTTGCATGTGAGGCAGGAAACGCCTGGCGATCGCTCCACGAGAAGACAAGAACGTCCACGCTCCCGCAACATGATGAAGCCTAGAATTAGCCGATTTGGTGATGGCGAACTCGATCATTTTGATTTCTCGGACACAAGCCCGTATGAACCCAAATTCTTGAATAATGACGTCGAAGAGTCCAACTTCCACCCCTCTTCTCGCCGAAAACCTTCTGGTAGACGACAACATCCTCGACATAGTGCTTTTGGAAACCACAACCGCGACTCTGAGATACATAGGCCTAGCTCCAGCCGAGCACCAAGAATGAGGCCGCAGCCCAGCGTTGATCAGATGGACAATCCAGACGACTGGGAAAACCAATGGACAAGGGACACCCCAGCCAAGGATCCGAACCCGAAAAGGCGCAGAACCATTCTAAGCCTTGATATCTCGGGAGGTGAAGTTTACGGGGCAACGGAGGGCAACGGTCAGCCGACTGATAATTTGTCCCTACTGCAGAGAAGCTTGATCCAACATGGCATGGATCATGGTAACGAGGACTCACTTCTTCCACAAGAATCCACACCGAGACCCAGAACTCCAACCCCAAGTCAAACAAGGTCGTCGTTGAGGAAGAGATCTTCGTCTAACAGAGACGGTGATTTAAACGCCCGCATAGGCGCAATGTCTCCCCAGGAGGCGAAAATACCGATGGTGAGGGTGACGGGCGTCAATGAACAGATCCGAAAGGGATCAATCACAACGCAAGATTTCTTGAACGAAGCCACGAAAATTATGGACATAATCAGAGCAAAGGGCAAACCCGCTGGCGGCCTCTCGAGCGTCGAGGAGTCTGATTCCGAGGGAGATGATGCCGAGACTTATGAAGATGAGTCGACTCGAGAAGAATTCTCGCGCCCTCCAAGTCGTGAAGGTGTAGATATACGCAAATTACGAGAGCCTAAAGAGCCTAATCCCCGAATCTTGAGCCATCTCAAGAGATTCCAGGAACATGATGACCCGGAATTTGGTGTCAACTCTTCCGTCATGTCTCTGCACCTGGAGAAAGGTGACAGTAAAGGAGGAGAGAACCTTGAGCACCCGAAACGGAAACACCCAAGCAATCCGAATGAGGAACGAAATACTGATGTGGACCCTCCCCTGACGATGGACACCCATGTTTCCTCCAAAAGCCTGAGCTCACGCTCGATACCCACTGCCTCTTCTTTCAGCTCACATGCGAAGGGAGTGTTGTCTTCTGATATTGTATCGCGTTTGATCCCCGAACAGGTGAACGGGTTTACCTATGATCGTTCCAAGCACCAATGGGTCAAAGAGAAGCATGAACAGTCCCAAGAGAAGCCGAAGGGTGACGATAGCGAAGAGGACCCTTTCAAGGATATCCCTGACCTCAGCGTGGATGAACTACAGGAAATGATGAGGGTACACAGTTTATCCTCGCCCGACAAAACAAAAAGTCTTCCGAGTCAAAGAGGGGAAAACCTTGCAAGTTCTGTCGGTACCAGAATATCCGACTCGAAGTCTGGCTCTGGCTCAAAGCCGGCTGTTGTCGAGGCGCCGGCTAGCGGTAGTACTCTTCGTTCCAAGTTGACTCGTTTTACTTCTAGCGCCCCGAATACAGCAACGGGAGCCACTTCATGGGGTACGGACGAGCAGAAAGACACTGAAACTTCAAGTGAAGTCGAGCACGAGATCCAACTCCATGAAGGGCGCTTGTCAAAGCCTCCGCGACATGACCGAGACATTCATCATCAGGCCCGGGTCGTAACAATCAGTTTCTCTTCTCCTCTAGTTTCCCATATTGTCTACAACGATGGCAGCCAAACAGGATCCGTACGTCATGCGGCAAATACGATCGAACAGGGTGCTGGAACTACAGCACAAGGGCCATACGGCCGCCCAGGGCCTAGCCGACCTTCTCAACTTATCGCAAACCGTGGCCCTCCGGGAGGACATACTTTCCTACAGCATTTCCTCTCCAAAACAGAAGATAAGAGTGAGTTCGCGGACAATGATCTAAGCATACTCCGTGGAGACTCCGGGGACATAGAGTCTACTCCTGACAAGGATCATCCAGAGACCTCCATGATGTACCTCACACAAACTGGCTCAGATACAACATATAGTTTCCATCTCAGTCCTCTACCTGACTTCACCGCCGACGGGATTGACCAGCCATTACACCTGGAATTGAGTTACGTCGCTCAGCGCACGCGCTCTACATCCTTGCGCCAAGTCCATGGGACTTTTGCTCTGGCGACTGAGGATCTGGTCAAGCACTTGACCGAAGCAGAACCTTTTGAGCCGTACTGGGATCATGTACGACGCTTGGTCCTTCGAGACAAAGGGCTGATAACGCTACACAAATTGAACGAGTTTTGTCCGCGTCTAGAGGACCTTGACGTCTCGGATAATGAGATAGGCCAGCTGGGTGGTGTGCCCAGGAGTTTGAGGACTCTCAGAATACCACGGAATTGTCTTTCGAACTTGACTGCGTGGGGCCATTTGGTTAACCTACAGTATCTGGATGTATCCAACAACGAGCTGGACAGCCTGAATGGCTTCGGTAGTCTTATTCATCTGAGAGAGCTCAAAGCAGACAGAAACAATATCCGGAATATTGATGGTATACTCGATCTGAACGGCCTTTTGACGTTGAAGCTGAGTAACAACTCACTCGCGGCGATTGATTTTGGCACTGGAGAATTGTGAGTTGATCTGTTATTGTGGCTTTACTGGACGTACCCTGCAATGCTAACTATTGTTTTCTCCCTTTCCGAGCAGGACCCGCTTGCAAGAATTAGACCTGGGTCACAACCGGCTGGTATCCGTTCGGCACCTCGACTCCCTCCCATCCTTGTCAAAGCTTGACCTCAGCTCCAACCAGCTGAAGCAGATCGATGTATCAGCGCCCTTGCGGATGCTACGATCACTGAAGCTTGCAAGTAATCAGCTTGAGACTCTCGATGTCAGCATGTTCCCGTCTTTGAACCTTCTCTATATTGATCAGAATTTTCTGTCTACGGTATTCGGTCTAGAACGGTGCCGCGCCTTGGAGATTCTATCAGTTCGTGAGCAAAAGTCGAGCAGTCAGAAAAATGCATACCTGGACATCGACCTAGGAAAACTCAAAGACATCCGCAAGGTATTTCTTTCTTCGAATAAACTATCAGCGCGGACTCTCTCACCCTCCGCCCCACTCCTGGGCTTACAACTTCTCGACGCTGCCTCATGCAATCTGCAGACTCTACCTGCAGATTTCTCCTCGAACTTCCCCAACCTGAAAGTTCTGAACCTCAACTTCAATTCGTTAAGCAGTATCACTGAATTGGTGGGCTTGAACTGCCTTTCCCGGCTGGTTATTGCTGGCAATTCTATTGTACGAATGAGAAAGCTATGCCAGGTTCTGAGTCGCATCGGACGAACCAAGCAAGGACAAGGTTGCTCTCTTCACAAGGTCGATCTCAGGGGAAATCCCCTCACATTGCGGTTCTATCCACCGGCTCTGACTGGGAACGGCAAAGGTGCTGACAAAAGGAGGATAAGAGCAATCCCGGAAGAACGCAAGAAGACAAAGGGTGGCTTAGATCTTACCTCTGCCCTAGCTGATGTAGGGCCACGTGAGACTGATATACGTCCCACGCTTTGGGAGACACCTGCCGAAACAGAGCTGGACATCGACGATCCATACACTCTGCCAACTGCAGATGCGCAGGCAGACCAGAAATACCTATCCCATCTGGATGATGCGACACGTCTTCGTCGCAGAATATTTGAGCTCATGCTGTACGCCGGAACCGGCGGTTCGATCAAGCTCCTGGACGGATTGGAATTTCGACCTGTACTAACCGAAGGTTCTGATATGGATCATGCATGGTCGAAACTGGAGCAACTCGGTGTGCTGAAGAAAAAGGCTATCACCCAATAATAATTTTCTTTCTCTTCCCAGTTGCTGTCAAAATCCTGGCAACAATCATTTTGTCTTGGGGTCCGTTGGTTATCTGTTATATTGCAGGAACGGAGTTTGGCAATTGCATTCACGGCGTGACTACTCTGAGCGTATTATTACATCGACCTCTTTTCTATTCCTCCGTTTTCATTGTTTCCATGTTGGAGTACTTAATTTCTTCCGATGAGGGTTCGGCGTTATATGGCGGCAGACATTTGCATATTTGGAGTTCAGGTTCATGAGGAATCGTTGAGCGATACCATTTAGCATTAATGACAAACAAGCATATTTTCATCTTTGACAGATCTGTATTCGTCAGTCAATCCTTGATTACCCTCAACATGGTCCATTGCAATGTTGCATGTTCTTGCTCCAGCTGCTCCCGATTATGCTGTGCCACGTTGTTGAGGCGTCTATTTCGATCCTCAGCTCGTGTCACAGACGATATCGAAATGTGTTACTGGTCCTGACTGATGAACATGGCTACAGTTGGCATTCAGTCATTATTATTTGTCAAGCCAGTAGGAGTCAAGTCGAGACAAACGAGTATCCATCTCGACTCCTCCAAGGACTTTTTTTAAGCTCCTAAGAACAAATGCACAGTACAGCGCGCCTTGATCGGTACCATTGCTAAGCTCTCCCTTGCATCATGACGGCGTTCTTTCGCCTAAAAAGCACACCTAGAATTCCGTCTCGAGGCTCTTGAGCTGCGTAGCAAACGTCTTTCGAACCCATTCCATGTACGCTTTCCACTTGTGATGATCACCAGAGACCTCAGCATTGGGAAACGCCTTGCTTAGCTCTCGCGTCACCTTGAGGATACCCATGGAGGCCTCCTGTGCTTTCTCGAGTTCCTGCTTCACTGCATTATCCTTGGGCTTGAAGGACAATACGGCAGAGTAACGTTCCGAAAGTTGGTCGAGGTAGCGTTGTGTTTCATCTGGTGCGATTGGGATGAGTTTCGAGGTCATCAGATTGCATATGGTGCGGATGTCTTGCTCGTCCTCGAGTCCAGCTAGGATACGGTCAAAAAACTCGGAAACATGCGCGACAGAGAACGCGGTGTCCAACGACGCGTAGAGTGTTTCGTAGGCGCTCTAATGGATGTTAGTTCGGTGAAGCTGAAACGACGCATCAATATGCAGGACGGGCACATCACGTACCTTACGCAGCTCTAGGCCATCGTCAACCTTGTGCTTGAATGGACCCATCTGGACCTCGCGGATTAGTTCAGGTTTGACCTGGGTGTCGCCAAAGACCGCCGGAAGCAGTTCGCTAAGGTGAGGCAGAATGATATTCATCTTGTTGTGGATGGCGGAATTGAGCGTTGTCAGAGCGAGGCGGTGGTTGCCAAGATCACGGTCACTGAGCATGTTGACCAGAAGCGGGACAATCAGAGGTCTCAATACATCGTTGTAACTGCCCCGCGAATCTGTAAGAGTGTAACGGAATGCAGATATGACAACACCTCGAATGTTTGGATCGGAACTGGAGAGATAATCCTAGAGAGATGAAATCAGAAAAGGGGAAAGAGATGCGGACAAGGACTCAAAGCTACCTGGAAATGCGGGATGTAAGCCACCGGATCAATCAATGCCAGGCGACCTATGCATTCTGCTCCCACGGCACGATTGTCCTCTTCTTCCGACACCAGAAGGAGAGCCTGCCATAACTTGACAGCAATAGGAGCTACATCAGGGCGAACAATCTCGGGATGTTGGAGTAATTCCTTAACGGAGTGCAGAAGCAGATAGCTTCGAGGGTTTGATTTCGTAAGGCCATCCAGGATGATCGGCATGTATGTCTTCACGTTACCTGCGGCTGCGTTCCCGAGAGCAGTAGCAGCAGCCAGCCTGACCTTATCAGACTTTGAATCGAAGTGGGTGATAAAAAGATCTGGAGTTAAAGAGCACGCGGAGCCCATACGGAGACCGATCTCACCAATGATGGCGAGTGCAAGGCATTTCCGTTGAGCATCCTGCGCAGTTTGCAATTCGGTCAAGAAGTCCTCCATCCTAACGCCTAATTTGGGACCGCCATGGACAAGCAGAGTTCCAATCGCTCTACCAACCACGGAGGTGTCGCCGTTGATACCCACGTCCCGGAGAAGCTTCTGCATCAATTCAGCTCCAGCACCTTCCTCTCCGATAACCTTCACCAGGAGAAGTAATGCCTTGAGCACCGTGCCAACGAGTGGAGCGAGCACAATAGAGCATAGACCAGAGACCAAGCTTTCATTGACAAGAAGCTGGGCATTACCCGGGATGAGCTTTGCCAATATAATGAGGGAGGGTGCAAGAAAATGAAAGTCATCAGCGCTGATTAAAGGTAGAAGGCAGTCCTCCAGCTCCTTCATTGTCTTTCCGTCATAATGGATCCTTGTACTGGGGTTCATGGCTAAGCTACGCAAAGTTTCCAGGCTCGCACCACGCAGAACCCGGTCCGACTTGCGTAGCTGGGCACCAAGTTCCACAGTCACCTCACTGACCCAAGCTGCGGTAACGTCTGTTTCCTTCGTGCAGAGGACAGCTACATCATCCACGGCACGGACAGAGGCAAGACGTGTAGTTTCATTCCTCAAGCGATCTACCAAGACAGAAAGGCCCTTTGATCGCCGATCTGACGACAGGAAATCAGCGCCCTTCTCCCCAGACGTACGTGCCAGAAGGACACCAAAGACATGAATGGCTCGCTGCCGAACTTCAAGGTCGGCACTCGTATCTGTGATACGGGAGAGGATCTCATCGTACAGCTTCTCTAATTGCGACGCGAGATCACGAGAATTTGCGGAGACACGAGGTGGGGTCAGAGCTTTGATGATTTGCTCGACAGCTCCAAGAGCTTCGCTGCTGACCTTGTAGTTCCGGTCGTTGACAGCACCGATCACGCCCGGAATCAACGCAATCAGGAAGGGCAGAAGTGCATCTGATGTGTGAGTTTCGGCAATGGCAGCGATGAGGCTCAGTGTTTCGGTTTGTAGGGTTCCGGCACTGACAGCGGGGCCAGCGGTCGCAGTCGCGCTGCCTGTAGATGAAGACTTCAGGACATCAGCAATGGGATCTTCGATCTGCTGCAGATGATCTGCTAGACCCCCATAGCGCACGAGAGCTAAGCTCTTCAGTAGGACAATGATAGCTTGTTTCAAAGGCACCGTAGCCGACTTCCACATCTTCACCAAACTCTGGACGATAACTGGAACCGACCTGCTTAGCTCAGCCTGAGGACCGGTCTTAGGCGACGATGGAGTGATAACTGGCGTGCTGATTGCGGAAGAAGTACCAATACTGGGCTCAAAATCAATCATACTAGCATCGCTGTCTTGTCGTCTCCTCTTTCTCGAATTTTTCGATCCTCCGACTGATTCAAGAAACCCATTAGAGGTTATAATCATAGCTCCTTCACTGGTCTTTCGGACGAGAGCAGTCATGGTTGAGACGACCTCAAGCTTCACACTCTCTTCTCTCTCCTTCTTGAACCGAGCAATGAGAGCGGGAGCAATTTGCTGATACAAAGACGTGTCGTCCAAAGTCCGAGTACGCCCATAAGTTGAGATGACAGTGTAAAGCAACTTTGCTGCGCAGCGTCGAACCTTCCAGCTCATATCATCGATATCACTGTAGCCTCCTTCATCTTCAAAGTCACCGAATTCGTCGTCTTCCAAGTCGGGCTCCTCTGTTGCGTCATCCTCGGAGCCATCATCCTGAGTGCCTCCCATTTCCTCATCGTCTTCGACATCGGCCACATTAGGATCGTACTTGAGGAAGCGAAGGGAGGATTTGACGGCGTTGGCCAGGTAAGGTTGCATTTGCTGACTGCAGGAGCTTATGAGAGTTTCCAGCGTCACTAGAGCTGTCTCGCGGAGCTCATCCGCCTGGGGGTCGTGCTCCTCATCGTGGGAATAGTCGGACATCGAGTCGGAGGACATCTGTCTAGCTGATTGTGCTTGCACAATATAGAACGGGATGATGTGCCGTAGCCGAATCAATGAGGAAAACGAGAGCGAGATCGTTGTTGCGATCTACGGCAATACAACTGGAGCTGGAGAAGCTTCCCCAATGATGTTAGTAGCAGCCCCGCGCTAGTCCCAAAACACCTCGGAGGCGAAGTAGCGCCGAATGCCCGGGCTTGGCATCAAAGGCTGTAGAATCCCCCAGGTTGGTCACTGCTGTAGAAAATCAAATAGATCAAGAGACTGAGATGATTTTGATTGAGATTGTTGCTTTGATGCAAGAAGAGCCTGTAGTCCGCCTTGCTTTCTCGCTTTCGCACGTTTCTTGCTACTGGCGTTGTCGGCTGTTTTACTGCTTCGGTCCGCCTCACCAGATTGTGCAGCTGGAGAAACGGATTTTGCAGTGGTAGATGTTGTGGACTGAGTAGTAGAAACAGGAGCCGCTGTTGTGTCAGGCTTAGACGTTATATTGGGGCGTGCTGCTGGTTTAACTGTTCTTCGATGGCAACGAAGACATTTGTAGACCGTAGCTCCTAGAGCGGAAGCTTTCTTGGAAGCAGAAGAACTAGATGATTTTGCTTTTCTCTTTCTAATTTCAATAGTTTTGGTCCTCTCAGGTTTTCTGATACTACCACATGCACCACATGCGAAGTCAAGTTGCCGTTGAGTCAGAGGTTTGAACTCGTCATGAAGAATTCGATTATGGACCATTAACAAGTGAGATGCTGTCGAAAGGCTGAGCGAGTCCAGCATGCAGGCAGAGTCCTTGAGAAAATTCAAGCGAGGAGTATGATCACTGATAGGCATATTGTCAAGAGTAAAAGGGCTTCTTCAGATATGCGAATAGAGGTTCTTGTGAATATCAGCCCATAGGGAAGGAAGTAATAGTTGGTTTTCTTGTTCTGTTGTGCCACAGGAAAAAGTGACGGAGAACGGGATTCTCACAACCCCAACTAAATCTTCCTCATCCGTTAAACATTCATTCACTTCTGAGTAAATCACGCTGCAAACCTCCTTCTACTCGCCTCCCTGAATCACTCACTTTCCTCTCTTTTTCCATATCTCTTCATCCCCCCGACTTGCTTTTGCTTTATTTCCTTCTTCCATCTCCCTCTTTCTCCATCTCCATTTCCTTTCACCATTTGCCTCCATCTTTGCACGTTTTTGAATCATAGCATACGGCGTTTGTCTATCTCAAATTCTGTCTCTTCTGGCGCTATCCAAAATAATGGAAATGTCTACAGCGAATCCTGCCCCGCTCAGGGTCGCTTTTGAGGGTTGCGTAAGTTTCGCGCCTATTCTCCAAATCTGAAGCCTACCTACTCATGCTAAAACAATGTTAGGGGCACGGTCGACTTGATGACATCTACGACTCTGTCGCAAGGTCAGCTACTCGCAGGGGCTGGGATGGCGTCGATCTGGTGGTGATCGGAGGTGACTTTCAAGTAAGACTGATTCCTAACTCAAGTCTCCGTTCTGCCTCTAACTTTCCAAACCAGGCCGTCCGCAACTCAAACGATCTCGCTTGTATGTCAGTGCCTCAGAAATACAAGGAGATTGGCGACTTCCATGAATACTACAGCGGAAAGAAGACCGCCCCTTACTTAACTGTCTTCATTGGGGGTAACCATGAAGCAAGCAACTACCTGTTCGAGCTTTACTACGGTGGTTGGGTGGCACCCAACATCTATTACTTGGGGGCAGCAAATGTCATCCGTTGTGGCCCTCTTCGCATTGCAGGCTTGTCTGGCATATGGAAAGGCTACGACTACCGAAAGCCACATTTTGAGCGTCTCCCCTACAACAATGATGACGTGCAGAGCATTTATCATGTGAGAGAGTTAGATGTACGCAAGCTTCTGCAAATTCGTACTCAGGTCGATCTTGGCTTGTCCCATGACTGGCCCAACCGAGTGGAGCTTTGCGGTGACCACGAGACGCTTTTCGCAAAGAAGCACGGCTTCCGAGAGGATTCCAACAATGGCCGACTTGGAAGCATTGCCGCCAGATTTGTTCTTGACCGTCTGCGCCCTGCCTTCTGGTTCTCAGCCCACTTGCATGTGAAATTTAATGCAGTGGTTCAGCATGGGGACAACTTGCAGCCAGACTCTCTCGGCCCAACAAGACATATTGCGTCTTCTCAGAGAACCCCTTCCAACACATCTACTCTCACAACCTCTTTTGGGATGGACGGTGCCGTTGTCACCTCGCTCGTACTCGGTGATGAAGACTTGCCGACCGAGCAGGCCCAGGTTCCACATGATCTTGCTGAGAACAACGGGCATGCCGCCACCACCCATGGAGAAGACGAGCGCCTCGAAGAGCCTCCAAGGGAACTACCTGCCGCTCAAGACACCCAACAGAGCGACCCCGTTGGCTTGTCCCGTACCAGTTCACCGCTTAAACGCGTTCACGACGATAACCAAACCCGAATTTCGGCGTGGAATAACTTCCATGCAGTGGCTGCGAGAGACGAAGCAGCGGAAGACGCTCGTCGCTTGGAAGAACCACAAGACAATTCAGCTTCACAACTGCCACATAGTCTTACTTGGCGCAAGATAAGCGTTGACGAGGATGATCCGGTGCGAAAGGTCACGAAAGTTGAGAAACCCGCTGACGAGAACGAATCGGAAACCAAGAAGCAAAAAACAGGCCATGCCGTGAGCGCTACAAAGAATTCCGACGAGATCCCGCTCGACCTCGATAGTGATTCCGATCAGGAAATATCTACGACGACTGAGACCCAGGGAGCAACTCAGAAGCAGGTCACAGTTGTTGCCCAGCCCGCCACCCCAGGTGTTACTGGCGATGGTGCACCAAAGCCTTCAGGCACCACCCAACAGGACAAGCCTCAGGTTGGAACTCTAGTCTCTCAAGACGTTCGTAGTCTACTCCCTACCAGCTTCTCTCGACCTGAAGGTTTTGTGTCTCAGGACGTTCGCAACCAACTTCCCGCTAGCTTTTCTCGGGTGGACGGTCCAGTCTCCCAGGATGTTCGCAACCAGCTCCCTTCAAGCTTCTCACGTCCCCAAGCCACCCCAAAACCCGACCCGTCCGTCAGTGAAGTTGTTCCAGAAACAATTACCAACAAGACCACACAATTCCTCGCATTGGACAAGTGTGAGCCAAAGCGCCATTTCCTCGAATTGCTCGAGATTCCGATTGTTTCTGAGCAGAATGGTAGCCAATGCGCTCGTCCTTTCCGCCTTGAATATGACAAAGAATGGCTGGCTATCACTCGCGTCTTCGCCGACGAGCTGCAGCTGGGAGATCCCGCCGTTCAAATGCAGCCGGACCGTGGCCAAGCATTCTACAAGCCCCTTATTGAAGAGGCGGAGCAGTGGGTTGAAGAAAACGTCGTCAAGGCTGGCAAGATGATGGTTCCAGAGAACTTCACCCCCACTGCACCTTTCTTCGATCCCACCGTCCCGATCACGACCGACGAGTCGCCCCCTGAATTCACCAACCCTCAGACTGCTCAGTTCTGCGAACTCATCGGAATCGAAAACAAGTTCCACCTGTCGGACGAAGAACGTCAAGCAAGGGTTGAGGCTGGCCCTCGTCCCAACAAGCCCAAGCCCGAAGGTGGATGGAACCGTGGCCGCCGTCGTAACTACAACAATAACAACCGCGGCGGCGGTAGTCAGTGGCGCGGAAGGGAGCAGGGCGCGGTCAGGGACGAGGTGGTGGGAATCAGCGCTGGTAAATTGACATCTGACGGTTTCGCAGTACACATGTTTTTTTTTTCTCTAACCTCACGGCCAAATTTGTGTTGATCAAGGACTTGCCCGTCATGTATGAGGACTGGGATGGGATGGCTGTAATGGCCTGGAACGTTCACTGGGTATCTGATTGATAGCTTAGGTGTTCCAATGGGATGGCGCGGCTATCGGTGGGATTTACTGGCTTTGTTGTTCATATTGAAATGATTTTATGAGAATGGTGTGCAAAATGGCTCCTAGCTTATTGATAACTGAATTGATGAGTTTAAAAGCAATTCATGTTTCAGATGGTCATCTTATTTTCGAAATCGGAGAGTGAACAATCACGCGTTAGTAATCCATGGATGATTTTACACACATTAGAGGCCATTCTATATCGCGTTGCGCACAAAGTGATTCTGAAATGCTCTTGACTAGTTACAGGATGGAGAGATCACTCAATTTCTTCAATCCGCGGTCGTGCACCTTGTCTATCAGCCATCGGATCGATGCTTAGACCGGCTATCCTATCACCCAACTCCAATCTCGGTTGGATCTCGTCTGCATCTCCGCCCTGCGCCCCAATGCCCCATAGCAGCGACTTCTCCAGCCACGCTTCCAAGTTCTCAATCAGCACGCGGATGTGACCACGAACAATGCTGTCTGTTTCTTTGCTTTCCACGAAGGTCAAAACGCGAAGCATATGAGGGATATTGCCTATTGTAGCGGGACCACGGGTTTCTTCATTTTGATTATCCCAGCGGCGTCGGGTACTTTCGTCGGAGAGGGAGAAGCCGAATCCCAGCCCTTGACTTCCTCGTGTTTCTCTCGCGGTATCAACTGCTTTGAGGATGTCGAGGAGAAGGACGACGCTTGCGCGGCGGAGGATTGCTGATTCAGGACCAGTCTCTAAGGTGAGGGTGTCGAGGACTAGATTAACTGCGGATGAGGCTATCGATGGGCCCAGGCCTGTGATATTAGTTTGAACTGCGGAAGCCAGTACGGAGAGCGCAGACGCCCTGACTCGGAGGTCGTCTGGTTCTTCATCTGGGTGAGTACCTGCGGCCCAGGCGGACAGGATGTTTGCGTGATGAGCAGCCTGCTCTGGAGTCTCGGCATCGGAATCGTCCTCTTCGGCTGTTTCGACCTTTGAGCTGGTTGGCATTGTGGTGATGGTCCATCCTGGAGGCATGGCGGGCTCCTTATTTCGGCGCTCTTCGCGCTCTCTCGCTCGTCTTTCCTTCTCGAGCTCTTCTTTCTGACGCTTGTGAGTCTGCGCTTTGCGCGCTCGCCGTCCTGCAACGGTGATCATACCCTCGCCGAGAAACTTTGCTGTTTCGCCTGTCAAGGCCTCTCCGAGATCCTGAACTGTTCGCAGTAAGGACTCTCCGATTTTGAGTCTCTGGTCGAGACCGATAGTTTCGGCTCTGTCGATGTAGCGGTCCACAAGTGTTTTCACGACAGTGCGTGGGTGCCTCGATGCTAGTGTCCCGATCAACTTGATTGCGTTTAGATATATGAATTCGTCGTCGGCGGACGATCCAGATTGCTCAGTAATAACCGACAAAAGCAGGGTTAATGTGGAGGGTATGTCAAGAACTGGCGAGGATCCTTTGATAAGATCAGAGAGGAGCGAGAACCCCTCAGCTTGCACGGGTGGGAGATCAGAATTGAGATTGGCCAATGCTCGGCGATGCGTTTCGAAATCAGAGATCTGAGCAGGCGATTTTGCCGGGCCACCTTCGGGTGATGTGATATGGATTTCCAACAGCATCGACGAGGTTGTGCCTGGCTTGGCAAGAGATGATGGTAGATGCGGTATCAGCTCATCGAGCACTAACTTCAGCTCTTGAAGAACGGGTAACATCCCCTCTGTCGCAGAAAACTCAGGGGAGGCCAGCACGGTGGAAAGTAGACTGAACACGGCCGGCAGTGACTCGGCTGCGTCAGTGCCGGCCACAGTTACCTCTTGCCCGCGCGTGTCGTTCGAAACAATGTTTGCTAAGGATGAAAGTGACACCCCTTGGGAGTCTTGAGGTTTGATCTTCTGAGATACCTTGACCCTGTTCAATTCGCCTTCGACGACTTGCTTTATAAGCTCAAGCACTCGAAGGGGCCGCCGTGAAAGCGTGTCCTTGAAGTTTTCCAGGAGTACTTCCGCCAGCTTTGCGCTTACTAATTTCTGAATGATATTGGTTGAATCTTCGGTATCCAAAGGCAACTGCAGTCGGTCCAAGGGGGTCTCTTGTGCTGGTTGGACAAGCCAACTCTGGCTCACATATAGAAAGATATCGCCAGTCCGTTCTTCGCTGCTCGGGTCAGCTCCCAGTAAAGTGACAAAGAGCTTGGCCCGAGATTGTAGTGTATCAACTAGTCGCACGATATTCGATCTTTCCGATTCCGCGCTTTTACGCTTTTCTAACACCAAGAGGTTGTTGGAATCCAGACCGTAAGTCCACGTCGCACCACCTTCCCATAGCAAATTATCGACCAGCTTCTTCAAAGGTTGGATTCCGACCGATACGCCAAAATATGTCTGTAAGATGGCCATGACTTTTTCGTGGAGCTTTGGTCTTTGTTGCTCCAGGGAAAAACAAGCCAATCCCCAGAGTGGTAGAAGAATGGGATACACGAGCCTCTTGACAAGACCAGGATTCGGATGTTGGAGTGTCAGGCTAGTCAGTCTTCCGATTGCCAACAGCAAGGTTGGTTCACACATGATTGTCGGACTCTGAAAGTCCTTGGCTGAATTGCCACACACCTTCATCCATAGCTGTGTGGAAGCGTCATGCTCCCCAACAAGTACCTTATAGATCGGTTCCACAAAGATTGAGTGACCTATAGTTCCAGGGGCCCCATAAGCTCGCTTACCAAGTATACCGTTGCCAATAACATATGCCGCGGTCTTCTTGAAGTCGGGATCCTCGCCGTCCAGCAATGCTAAAAGCTGCGGAGCAATCCTTGTAAAGTAGGACTTCGGATCCATCCCTTCCGGTACTGAAGAAAGTAATCGCGATGTCTGCATGATGCCTTGTACGGTGAAATGCGGCCCATTTGACAGCTGGGTCTGAGACTCTTGTCCTAACGAAGGCGCAAACTGGGAGGCTAAAAAGACGATTGTCTGCAACACTCCGTCCTCACGCAGAGGAGCCCGCGAAAGTCGACTAGATACTAGACTTTTGAACCAGGGAGCAGGATTGGACTGAAGAAAGCTTGACAGTGTCGATAATAGGACCGAGCTGGGTGTTCTGTTTCCCGTTAGTGGGCGAAGTATGAGCGCGGGCTTTAGACATACTCATCAATCAATCTAGAAAGTATCTCGCCGTATTTTTTCTTTGTATTAAGATGCGGGATGCTCGGATTATAGGCCAAGTCTGCCGCAGCACTGATTAAATCGCTCAGAATACGACCGCGAATAACAGGCTGTATGCTGGGTCTCTCATCGAAAAGAATATCCGATAGGATATCCATGATGCGCTCAAGAAGGGACTCATACTGAGGCTTGTCATGCGCAATTCTGTGTGGTTGCTGAGCAATCACACCAGCGGGCAACACAGAAATAACTCTCTGCTGGAGGGGTATGCCTACTCCTGAAGAGAGAGAGGGGTAGACACCCTCAAGAGATATCAAGTCGAGCATTGCATGCAGCGCTCTTCTTCTCTTTGCATCCTCGAGAGCAGCGTCTTCCGACACATGATCGGGCCGGGGTGAGTCGTGGGCTTGATCTACTGGCGTTACAAAGGCAACATGGATGCGAAAGAGTATGTCCAACGCTCTTTCAACAACGATTGTCCTTTTGGACGCATCATCTTCAGTCCTGGCAGGTAAATGCTGGCTTAAAATCTCCAGAAGGGATTTCCCGCGATATTTCTGAATTTCCTCTTGCAGTTAGTCAGCATCAAAGTTCAAAAAATCGCCTCAACTGCTGAGTGGTTTGCGTGCCTCGCTGAAGGACTGGATTCAAGAACTCATAAGCAGCATCAAAAGCCGTTTTGATACTTGTTGATTCTCCCATTATCTATATTTCATGTCTTGCTCGGCTAGCGTCATGGACTCTTGTTCGCTGGCGGCTGATGCAATCCGGCAGATCGATACCTTAATAATACGGCGTATCAACACGTGAGGCGCAATGTACGCTACCCGAATATAGATTAGCGCCACTGGCCCTGATCTATTCCCTTTTAGAGAGTACAGTCACCTCATGACAGTCAATTGAGTATCATATGGACTATGGCGCAAGGATAAGCAGTCATGGTATTTTTTTCAACTGAAGAAGCAGGAGAAGACGGTAAAGGTATGTTCTAGGGGAGGTGACATCCTCAATCTGAATCATCGTAAGCATATCTCACGTAGCGTAACTCAACCTTCATAATTCAACCGACGTCTCATTAAGCTTCACTGTTGACCAATGCAGGCATCGGCAAAATGGCATTTCGCCGACCGAGTCCACAGAACTTTATTTTTGCCACTGCACGCTTCTGTATTCCGGAAATATATCTTAGACAACTTTTCTAGATAAGGTGCTTACTATCTAATATTCCATACTCGTCGAGTATTCATTGGCATGTCATGTCTCTCACTTGCACGACGATCCCGCTCCAGGTCAAGGGCGTCAACCTTGACCTGTCCACGATCCACAGCCTTACCTCCCGGCCGCCAATTCTATTTCTGCATGGTTTCGGCTCCTGCAAAGAAGATCTAGCCGACCTACTCCTCCACCCGGCCTTACAACAGTCTGGGTTCATCGCCTACGACGCGCCGGGTTGCGGGCAGTCAACAAGCGACAAACTGTCTGGTATAGACATTCCTTTCCTTGTGGCAACAGCAGAAGCGCTCCTCGCCCATTTCAATATCACCAGATTTCACCTCATCGGCCACTCAATGGGCGGACTGACCGCGCTCCTCCTCGCACATCGCTACCCGGACCGAGTCCTGAGCTTTGTAGATATCAAGGGCAACCTCGCGCCGGAGGACTGTTTCCTGAGCCGCCAGATCTTCACTTTCCGCTCAGACGACCCAGAGGCATTCTTCGATGAATTTATCGACCGCACTCGCAAGTCAAAGTCCTTCGTTAGCGCTTTGTATGCCAGCACCCTGCGCGCGCGGGTGCGCCCACCGGCCATACGACCCATCTTTGAGTCGATGGTTCGCCTGTCCGACGAGGAGGACCTGCTGGGCATGTTCCTAACGTTGCCGTGCCCGAAGATGTTCATGTTCGGCGAGGAGAATCGGGGTCTGTCGTATCTGGGGAGGTTGGAGAAGCAAGGTGTGGAGCTCGCTGAGATCTCCGAGAGCGGGCACTTTCCCATGTACTCCAATCCCGTCGAGATGTACCGTCGGATTGCGCTATTCCTGCGCAATATTAGTTTAGACTAGGTAAATATGCTGTAGATATAGAGCCAAATGAGAATAATAGAAACGAGCGACGAACGAATTGGTCGAAGTGTGCAACGGGGTTCCGTGGGCACCCTTTTCAACATAAAGTGCTGGCAGCCTGAATAGTCGTAGCAAGGTGAGTCTAATGTTTGCATCTTCTTTTTCATCATTCTAGGGCGGCTTGATTGGCTACTTCGCCTGTCCCCTTTGCAGAACAGCGTCCGAGGCTCAAAGTCGTCAGAGCCGACGACAGTGAATGCAGCCGCTCTCGGTAATGGGAGCTTCTTTCAGGCATATTGCTAATGGCGACTACCCTCGTGCAGAGGAGATCTGAGAAAGACAGGAATGATACCAATGCCAGGCACAAGTGTGATTTCGGGCAGTGTAGCCTACAGGAGAGCCAGATCTACACCCACTCATATACGAAGCTGCTACCTAAACGACCTAAATTCTATTACGCAGAGATTGAGAATCTCCCCGTTGCAATTTAACTACCCTGCATTCAACCAAATCAACGATTGGAAGCGTTGGTGTTGAGTTGGAATCCCGACTCTCGAAAGACCCCTCTTTCCCATCGAATGGTTCTCCTCCCATATAAGCTGTGTTACTCGGGTTTGGCAGCAACAATGACGTTGTGAAAAGCCTGCGCAACATATTCCACGTTATGCTCAGTCACTATATGTGAATTAGCTTGCGAGTGAAGGAGCTGTAGAAAAGTCTTTGTACGAACAGCCTGTCATGGAAATTCTTCCCGAAGGAAGAAGATATACATGATACTCTTCCTTCAGTGACCGGATCTGTCCTGGCTGCAAGCATGTCATTGAGAACATTCCAATCTGCCGAGCGTTAGCGAATGTAAGGTAAAGTAGGACAAATGAAAGAAGCGCAAGAACTCACATCCGTCAATATGTGATCCCAAGAACCCGGTGTCTGACGCTTCCGAAGTGCATTCACTAATCTTTCTCGCATTAACCTCATACGGTCACTCATATGGAACAGATCATTTTGCCACTGCTGCTTCAAGTCTTTGTCTCCAAGTACTTTTGCCACAATTCTAGCGCCGTTGATAGGGGCTGTTGTTATCTCAGCGCGAGATAGGCGTGTGAGCATGTTGTGCACCTTCGATCTAGTGACCTCCGTCCGGCATACAACATGGAGCACGCCGACACGTTCGCCGTATAGACCAAAGTTCTTTGAAAATGATTGCGCCACTAAAATTTCCAGCGACGTGTTGCGGAAGAAATGCCGTACGGACCACGCATCTTCAGCCAAATCTCCAGTGGCAAACCCCTGGCTACAGGTGAACTTTAGCTTACTGAGGCCGTTTCGGATTAGGGAAGCACCACTCACTAGGCCAGATCAAAGAAAGGAACAAGCTTTTTCTGTTCGCAAACATTGGCAATGGCCTTCCACTGATTCTTGGTGAAGTCGAGTCCAGTAGGATTATGTGCGCAGCCGTGCAAGACCACAACGTCACCCTCAGTGGCCTTCAGCTGGAGGATAGATATTATCCCGTTGAAATCGATAGTAAATGATCTCTTATCGAAGTAGGGATATGTCTGACGCTTGATGCCGCTGTCTACTACCCGCCAGATTTCGTGATGATTGATCCACGTGGGGTCCGAGATCCAGACTGTCCGAGGGCTGCTAGACTTGGCCAAAAGCAAGGCACCGAGATGATTTGCCCCGGTCCCCGCAATAGTCTGGATGGAAGCAATGGTCCTGGCTTCCTCGGAAGTTGCACCGAATACGAGTCTTTGGGCACTATCGAGCAGTCCAGCATGGCCGAGGATCGGCAAATGTTCGTGATCCGCAGTCGGATCGCTTTGCAAGGCTTGCTTGGCCTATCCAGACATATTTAGTACAAGAGCGATAAGTCAAGGCTGCAGTGATTAACGTTACTTTTTGTACAGACGGCAAGACCCAAGGCTTTGCATCTTCGTCACGGTAGAACCCCGGAGTGAGATCAACTTTGCAAGGTGATGGATCTTCCTTGTACGCCTCAATCAAGGCGAAGGCAACATCGGACGTTTCCTCAGCGCTTTTAAAGTAGGGCTGTATGCTACGTGCATTTATAGCCAGTGCGGGTGAGCTACATTCCGTCATGCGTATCACAACACTCTACTCGCCCTCGCCCAGTCGAGTCTCGGGCACACTTCCAATGTACCGATCTGTCTTCCGCAACACATACGGGGCGGTAATGGGGCCCCGGACGTTGCTATCGGCTGGAGACTTCCAGCGATCGGGATCGGCATAGTTCGCCGACCCCCGATATAATGGTGAAGCTTTGATTACTTTGTTCGTGAATAAAAGCCCTGCCACTACTCACTCGAGGCATTTCCATATCGATGACTTTCGTGACTTCGACTACCAACCGAAGTCGACACTATGAGTCAAGCCAGCATATTGGACCGACTTTCGGCACTCGACACCAATACAGTGTCCGATGCCTTGGATTTCCTGGGCCTTCAAGGAGCCACATACGGCCTGCAGCCACTCTGGGACTGTCCGAAGATTGTTGGACGCGCAAGCACAGTGAAAGTGGGCGCAAAGACTGATGCTACTCCCACGGCCCATCTTCTCACCCCAGTCATAGATGCGGTAACGACGGATGATCGCATTCTCGTCATCTCCGGAGGCATAGATGGCATCTCGTGCTGGGGCGATATCCTCGCCAATGCCTCGAAAGCGAAACGCATCCGTGGAACCATTATCGATGGCATGAGTCGTGACATCGACGGCAGCCGAGGTCGGCTATCCCGTTTACGGTCGTGGCGTGACTATGATCAGCGCGCGCAATCGACTGGTGCAAGTTGACTCGGGTACACCGCTGCAGATACGCGGCATCATGGTCAACCAAGACGACTATGTTCTCGCCGATAGATGTGGGACAGTGTTCGTCCCGGCGCAGCGCATTGAAGAAGTCCTGGAATTGGGCGAGCGAATCGACCGTCGCCAGAGCCTTATGATCCAGGCTGTTCGAAATGGTCACCCCGTGTCCGAGGTCATGCATGACACGCAATTTGAAGCCATCTACAGTACTCCATCATCGACAGTCGCGACAGCCGCGCGATCTTCCACCCGAAATCCCAAGAAAGCTAGTGCCGAGGATCAAGAGTTGGTAGCGCTGTTCGCCGATTCAGACACCCCTGGGGTCTCCGACGCGCTTGACAAGCTTGGGATTCCGGGACAGGCGTTCGGTATTATGCCTCTGACTGACTACAAAAAGGTTACCGTCGGGCCGGCCTTCACTGTTCGTTATGTACCCGCCAGCGAGCCGCCAGGAAGCGTTGGCGATTTCATCGACGACGTTGCCATAGGCGATGTGGTAGTCATTGACAACGGTGGTCGCTCCGATTGTACCGTTTGGGGCGACATAATGACTCAGTACGCCGGCATACGAGGCGTTGCTGGAGCTGTTATCGACGGTGTGTGCCGCGATGTGAACCGTGCGATCGAAGATGACTACCCGCTTTTCACCGCTGGACGTTGGATGCGAACCGGCAAGGACCGGGTTCAAGTGGGAGGGGTCAACGAGTCGATCGGCACCGGCAAGGTACGTGTCAACCCTCGCGATATCGTTGTCGCCGATGCAAACGGTGTCGTTATTGTTCCGCGCGATCGAGCGCGCGAGGTGGCCGAAATCGCACGAAGGATCGAGAAAAGTGAAGCCGGCATCCGAGAAATGATCGCTGGCGGGGCTTCAATCTCAGAGGCGCGAGAGAAACTCGGTTATCACACGCTGCAGCGTAAGGGATAAGGGCTAGCAGAGAAAGGCTTCTGGCGAAGAGACATTGGGAACATAAGCTGCTTCCTCTGGATTAGTTAACAACTCTTTTAAATCAAAAAATTGATGTCAAGAGAAGCAGCTATTTTCAGTACCTGATTTACCATCACTTAACCTTGGTTAATAACATCCAAGACTATTCATTCCAGAATGTGGCTGTGACGGTGATGAGATGAGAGCTGTTGAACATTATTCTTTCACCCAGGCTTTGTTGTGATCCATCTTTCATAACCTTTACAGACCTCCATTGAAGTACGATCTTTGTTGATGATAATTGGATAATTGGAACATCATGTATCTAGTTGACCTTGAATGGCATGCGCTTGTCCAGCACAGACGATACATCCACTGATGTAGTACTGGCATGGTTGGATTCCCTACAGTCGCTTACTGAGCATGCTAACTCCTAAGATGGCACTGAGCGGGTTCTAAGTGGAAATAAGGCTTAGGTTCAATGTCTTGCGCCCCAAGTCCCGTTCCTTGTGGGACTGGGTCTCTGGTTTCGGCGTCGGCGTTGAGCTCAACTCGGGATAAATCTGTTTCCCCGATACTGAGTAGGGTGACTCGATTGCTCTCCCATTGCCCCATTGCGACTGTTTACGGATGTAATTTACAAGTCGTTCTTCCTGACATAATATCGCTGCTATCATGTCAGCCGTCTTCATTGCTCCTTTCTTTGTATTCCAGCGCGGTCTTCACTATACGTCTCCATAAATCTACCGGAGGAAGCTCCCAAAGCAGAATGTTATACTCGTCAGCCATGACAACCTCGATTTACAACCCACGGTTGCGCCTGCTGAATGCTCTTCGAGCCACTTCGAAGCCTATTATAACGTTTTTAGGGGTTCCATCCTTTCGCACAGCCCAAATTGTAGCTCAGACCGGCGTTGATGTCAGCGTTTCCCTCACTCCTATAGTTCATATTCTCACTAATGATTCGTAAAGGGCATTATCATCGATTGTGAGCATGGCCATATCAGCGACAATTCCATGCACAGCTCAACTGCCGCTATCGCTGCTTTGGGAGTGTCGCCGCTTGTTCGTCTTAGAATGACTCACGCGGATTTGATTAAACGAGCTTTGGATGCTGGTGCACAGTAAGCGCCACCAATTTTTCTTACCATTCCAGTTACTAAAAGTGTTACAAGCGGCGTCGTTGTACCTCAGATCAATACTGCCGAAGAAGCCAGGACAGTTGTCTCTCATTCAAAATTCCCTCCGCAAGGACTTCGAGGACAAGGCTCAGCGTTTCCAGCCATCGCTCATGGCACCGACCTGCCGACATACCTGAAAACAGCGAACGAAACGCTCATTACGTGTGTTCAAATTGAATCGAAAGCGGGGGTCGAGAATGTTGACGCTATCTGTGCTGTCCCTGGTGTCGGTTAGTGATTGCCACAAACCTGAAGAATGGTTTCGCTAATCAATCTCTCTTCAAGATATGATTTTTATTGGGCCGAATGATCTTGCCCTATCTTCCTGCAAAAGAGACAGAGCCTGAATTTGTCGACGCCATAGAAAAGATCGTGGCAGCAGCCAGGAAGCATGGGAAATGGGTTGGTCGCTTATCAAACAACGGGGCTTTGTGCAGGGAGCATCTGAAAGTGTTTGATACTGTGGCGATGAGTTACGATATTCGGGCGATTCAAAACTGGTATACAACCGAGTTGCAAGTTGCGCGCTCGTGATGCCTTTACGGGATAGACGAGAGTATGCATCTGCCTGAATGGCTGTGCTATATGTACGTGGAGAGTGCACCACTTCCTAGAAATGAATATAGATCCTCGTCGAGGCCCTACCCAAGAGATAACTTATAGTGCAACGATGCGATTTCTTTTAGCATATCTGGACTGGAACAGTCTAGGACAGCGTCCTCGACGCTGACCATCGACTGCAAGGTTCAAAAAGAGATCCAGCCTTTATGAGTATGTCTTAGAAACAAGACATGAGTGAAGGGCAGGTGGAAAACTTGGCTCGTCCGGGAAAATTATCGGCAAATCAAGAACCCCAGTATATACTCCGGTCGGCATGCCGTCGTCCTGAATCGAATCCCTCTTCCAAAGTATCCTTTGTGCTGATAGACATGACACACTGACGGCCTTGATATAGTGGGCATAATGCGCGTTTAAATCAGCTGGGGCCATCAAATTGGGGTGATTGGACCAGGGCTCAACAGCAAACGATGTGATTGCGTTAATTCTTGCATACAGACCAAGCTACAAGACACATTGTCGGCATTTTGGTATTTTCCCGAACCTATGTATTCCCTTAGCTCACTGCCTCTCAAAACAGCGAGCAGAAATTGGCCCAGAACGATCTAATTATTCGATGAATGATCGTCATGTGCAAAGAGCTTCTCCTGCAAAAACCATCAAGAGCCATTTGGCTCATGATGGCTTGATCATTATCCCAGAACGCCGTATCCCCTCAAACCAAACTCGTTTTACCTGTCATCAATTTCCCGGCATACTTCGGCCCAAGCTGTAGTTCTCTCCGAGAGCCTACCGAACATCGAAGTTCAGTGGCCTCAGTGGCGAATGCTCACCATTTTCCTGTTGAAACGACCCAAAGTTTCGTCCGGGTCGTGCCCCCTCGGCAAACTTACAAGATGCCGAGTGTGGTTTTTCGCCCCTTTGAGACTTCCATCTCCCTTTGTTTCCATATACACGTTCCCTAAATATAGTAATAATAAAGGGACTTTATTAACTGAAGACTTCAGTTCTCACAGACGATGCCTATTCATAAATATCAGCCCAAGCGGCAGAAGAAAAAGCCTGTCGCGTGCGTCACAAGCGTCCCCTTCCATCTGCTTGCTACCATCTCTTCTGCTCTGCTCTAACCTCTGCATACCAGTTGCAATCGATGTCATACTCACAAAGTTAGATGTTCCGGCGAAAAGCCATGTGCCCGATGTCGTCAAGCTGGCTGTGGTGATCTGTGTGAATATCAGCAACGTGACAGGAAGCTCAAGGTCAATGAGAGGTAACACCTCCTGCTCTTGCAGCGGACTCTTATCCAATATACTATTCTCACTCTTTCGCCTAGCTATATTGATCAGATCCTCCTTGAGAACGCTCATCTCAAAGAACGATTGGAAACCCTCACTTCTTCTCGCCCATCACCTGCCAATTCAGACCTCAGCTCATCTTATCCTCAAGGCCCTTATCACATAGTCCAAAATCCACTGCTAGGAGAGCGTGCTTGGTTCTATCCTTACGATCCCTCAGCTCCCCTATATATATGGGAGCTGCTGCCTGTACGGCCTTCGCGACGCGACTGCGGCAATTTCTTACCGGGAACCCGAATGTAGCTCACATTGCTCGAACTCAATACACACCAGAAGCATTACTGCTCGAAGGGGAGACCCAATGGCCGTCGCTTCCACAAGCTCGGTTACTCCGTCCGCATTGTCTTCAACCAGTTAAGCCGCGTATATCATCTATTCCTGCGCAAATCTACCCTGGAGCAATTGGAGTCAATCTATCGAGACCCACCCAAACATGATGACCCGTCTTTGACATGCAAATTTTTCGCTCTTTTCGCCTTAGGGGAGGTATACTCCTGTCGGTCTGATTCTTCGACTCAAGGTCGTGTGCCAGGTACCAAATACTATGTGCGAGCAATGAATTTGACACCCATTCTACCAGAACGGCCTGCGTTGATTCATATCGAAAGTCTGTTGCTCTTGGTTTGTATCCCCGTCACTAGACAATGCCTTTGCACGTTCAACTAAATACTAACGCGCAGCGTCCCTAGTCTCTTTTTTCATACTTTCTCAATCGACGTCATGCAGCGTACACGTTGATTGGCAATGCCATGCGTCTTGGTCTGATACTGGGATTGAACCATAACATCTCTGAACGCCAATGCACGGACCCCACAGAGCGACAGCATCGAATTCGGCTCTGGTGGGCTATATATGTTTATGATCGTATGTGGGGTTCCAAAATTGGTTTCCCACTTCAGATCCGAGATGATGATATTCATGTTGACATGCCGTCCCAAGTCTCTTGCCCTGCGTATGAGGAGCAGTTCTCCGATACCGCATACTTAGTCGCCAGTATTCAGCTAGCTCGAATCGTCGGTCAAGTCATCGATAAAATCTACAGCCACAAGCAGCATCCAGAGTCGTTCTTGCAGAGAGAACAGCAACTGTTGCTAGCTCAGCAGGAGTGGCTGCAGTCACTCCCAGCACACATCAAGCTACACACTGATGGAGGGCCCCCACCGAAGCATATCGTCTCTCTTCATCTGCAGTTCAATCAGGTCAGTTTACTCGGATCAGCAAGCCTATTAATTTTTTTACTGAAGACTTGCAGTGTGTCATCTTGGCTACACGCCCTATTATTCTTCACGCTCTTCTCCATCAACGAGGCCATCGAGAAAATAGTGAAGACCTCCCCCGGCCTGCCATTACCCTGAGTGAAGCCTGTATCCATGCTGCACGGCATTCGCATGCTCTCATCGTCGAAGAATGGGTCAATGGCTCTCTGCCAATGTACGGATACTTCTATGCTCAGTACTTGTTCTCTTCTGCCACAGTTCTTGTCATATCCGGGCTTCTGCCAGCTTTCGGCAACCCCGCGGATCTCGACTCCATTGAGGTAGCGATCGAAATATTGTCTCGTATGAGCGATCATGGAAACCTTGCGGCGGCGGAGTTCCACGACAATCTCAAGCAAGTCAAACATTCTTTACCAGGCAATGTCGGCAAAAGTGTCGAGAAAGCCGGCGAGTTACCCCGACAATCGCTGCAAAGGTCCTTCTCGCTCCCTCCGACAGGAGACCAGGCCATCGAAAATGGTGGCGTTTCACCTCTCCCTGTTGCAGGTTTCACTACTGAAATGGCCTTCTTGGAGCCAATGATGCAGGACTTTCTCGGTATTCCAGATAATGAGATTGAAGCCATCCATCCTGATTTACTAACTATCGGAGAGACAACCGGGGAGGATTTTTGCCCAACAACATTTTGGACGTCGTAGTCACGTTGCCATACACTTATAATTATAAAAACCCTTCCAGATTGAGTCACTATAGCTGAAAGCCAGATAAGAAAGGGCACCCTGACTGACATCCCAGCCCCGACTGGTACAACCACCGCCTCTGCCACTGCGTCTATCACTGTCTCTGCGACTATAGTAGAATGAGGTTGTCGAGATTGAGCCTAAATCTCGAGAAGAGGGACAATTATAATGCCATCTGACCGGGGGTTCTCCAGGTGCCGCCGAGGCCGTCACCCGAATAGGAGCCAAAGTAGATGTCTTCGAAGCCGGCAACAAGGGTAGGGGCCACCATGAGGGAGAGGCCGAGAGTGGATCTGAGGGTAAACATCCTGTTGTAGTTGTTGTGGTGGGAGTTTGTTGAGGTCACTGAGATGAGATGGAAAGGCAGATGGAGATGGTGTTGCTTGTCTGGAAGAGACTGAACTCCAGGTGGATGGTGGTCCTTTTATGTTGATTCCTGGCTCATGCTATATACTGCATTAGGAATTTCGTGGAAGCTCCTGCCGCCGTCCAAAGCAACAAGGCACCTCTCTTGGCAGACAGGCCCCTATTCCAAAACAAATGTATCACCTGGGCCGTCGTCATGGTAGTCTCTCATCCAACAGATCTGCCACCATTCCAGCATCCCATTCGTGAAGCTATCACAATCCCAGTCGCCAAGGGACATCACTTATGGAGCCGTCGCCAACCCCGAGTTATCGATTGCGCAGTGGAGCAGGATACCCTGTGGGTGGTCATTGTACGCACTCCGTAGACACAAGCATTGTCCTATAGAGGGAACGAAGACGAAGATCTTTTATAAGCGTAGTAGGACCTTGATCCAACCGCCGCGCTCCACATCCGTCGGGTGGATCGGAGATGTCTTGCAGCGGGTGGCTGTCGTTAGAGACTTCGGGTGCCGCTAAGGAGATGATAGGCAGGTAAGACGAGAGGGAAGATGTTTCCAGCCGCAGCGGACGGGCAGCTAACATGAGACGCAAGTTAGATAATACATAATAGATATCTTGAAGTTGTCATCGAGACCCAGATTGACCTTTGTGGATCAGACAAATTGGGCGTCATTGGAGGAAACGTTGCCAGAAGGAAAATCCCACCAATCTGACGACTGTTTTCGAGTCAGTGCCCTTCTCACCTGCACTGCGTACCATAGCGGGGGGCGGTCTAAGCTGGGCCCGTCGGGGGAGACTCCATCATTCAAAAGCCGGGTGGCTTCTGTAAATGTCGTTGCGCTGGATTGCTTCGACAAGCGCGCGTTCTTCTTCCAGTTCTCTGCGAGGGTGTGACATTGTAGGTGGTCGGGAGCTGCCTGGGGACATGATATATGGTTCCAGTCTGGGGAAGCGGGGAAAGTGGGGCGAGGTCTCTAAGGAGGTACAGAACCATAGATAGACTTTATCAGACTCATAGTATGTCAAATGGGGAAATAGTACCTATCGACATACTACACTGTTTATAAAGAATTAGTGGCTCAAAGATGAAAGAGAGTAAGCTCTCCCAGCGAGATTAGAGTAAGTTTGCAAAGAAGAGACGAGTCCTCTACTTGGATTCGGCTGCGACAGCATGATTTCATCTGATTATCATGACTATCTACTATCGATGCACAGAAGATGGAGGGGGGTGGGGGGCGGGTGATATAAACAAGTCCGGGTATAAGTAGAATAACAACGAGACGTTTATTCCCGTCCTCAAACTAAGGCCCATTCGGCAACAAACGAAAACGCCATACGAACCCGTCCAACATTCGCCTTATATTCGTCCACAGAGATCCCCCTGCAGTCTTTCCGATCTCCAAACTCAGTCAGGGCCGCTAGTTGGAGCTTCTGCCCAGGCGCACCCAGTATCCTGGGATCCTGGAGATCGATGTACCAGCACTCAGGCCCACTGCCCCGAACATAGGTAAAAGGAATAAGTTCGTCTTTCCGTCCATCAAGGCCGTGGGTCCACAGAAGAAACAAGCTAGGCCTGATCTTTCCGTGACGCTCCAGCGTGAAATGCTCACAGATGAGCCCGAACTGAAAGCGAAGAGGTCCCGGCTGGTAAACCGAGATCTGCTTGGCAGCCGGTAAGAAGCTGCGTTCGCTAATGAAATGGCTTTGTACGTCGAAAGTCCTTGGCCGCTCAATGCCAAACGGGACCTCCGGGTCCATGGTGATATACTGCTCCCAGCTCATCCCCGGTCGACCATCATCTCGAAAGTGGTGTTCAGGATTCTCTGGATAGTGCTTTACACTGAATTCTTCATTAGTGATGGTGAACATGCTCGGGTTGAAGAGTTTCTTGTATGGTTGTCCTGGTCCTTGAACTACTCCAGCTCCCCAGCACACATCGATCAACTTCCATTGCCCATTGTCGATCCGGACTGCATTCCACGCATGGCCTGCGCTGTAAGGAGGAATACTCTGGCCGCGTCCCAGAGCGTGATAGCCATAGCCCTTGCCGTGGCCACCAACCACAATCGCCTCCAATCCAGCATGGGTTGCGAGGGCTGCAAAGAGCCCGGCATAGCCCTCACACACGGCGACACCAGAAGCAAGAGTACTGGCCGGTGTCGATGGCTTCACGCAATTGTTGAAAAATGCATCGGCATCGTAGCAAATATTATGATGACACCAGGTGAACAAGGCTCTCGCTTTGTCGGTCGGTGAAGGGAATGGTGCTGTAAGCTCTCGGGCCAGCCAGGCAAGATCATGTGTTGGAAGATTCTCCCGCGGAAACTTAGCGGCGTGCGAGTCGGGGCCGGAAAAGTCTCGGCATTTCAAGCACATCGCTGTCGGCTCTGTAATTGTAGTATTTGGCTGAACACGCGGTTTGGTTGCTAGTAATTTGGAAAGGTCCGGCTTCTCTGGCTTTGACGCGATAGGAATCGGAGGCGGCGCACCATTGGGCGTGGAGTGCGCAGTCTTGTTCAATCCTCCAAAACCTGACTGATGCAATTTGCCCAGAGCAGAGCCCGAAGGGGGAGGCGGAGGCAGCTTTCTCGCCGGTTTGCTTTCGCCTTCTGCGCTCGGCGGCTGGTCCTGACTGTCTCGCGACAGGACCCGCGGGGGCGGCCGCGGCGCTGCATCCCCATTTTTCAGGTTGACGTTGCTTGACGCTCGACGAATGGGCAATGCAGGTCGAGTAGAGGGAAGAGACGGCGGTTCTCTTATCGATGGCAATGGAGGCGGTAGACTATCTCTGCTCTGTGTCGTGGTCGGTTTCGGCCGTGGAGGCGCCTTGGGACTTTTCGCTTCCTCTCTTCTCGGAGGGAGGACAGGCAACTCTGCCTCATCATATCGAGGTGCGCGCACCGTACGAACGTTCCCTGATTCACTTGAGGAAGATGATCGACCTGGTACAGGTCTCCCCACACTTGTCGATACGGTTGACCGGGACGTATCAGATGCAGCTGATTCAATAGAATTCACAGATGGTCTGCGAGGTGGCAGCGAAGGTGCAAGTTGCTGATTGGAAGCTTTCCGTGTTGGCAGCGGCGGCGGCGCTTTGGATTTCTGGGTGATCGACGGCCTTGTCGATGGCGATCGTGGAGCCAGTGTAGGTGGTGCTGCTGGCTCATTGCCGATCACCGAGTGCTCAATGACAGAACCATGACCGTTGACCGGAGGATTGTTGATTGTTTGGGCTCGTAAGAACGGAGTCGGCTGTGATCCTGCTAGTTTGAGCGCCTTGATCCTCTCCTGAATCGTCAGGACTGGAGTTTCTTCCGCCATGTCCTCAGTTTTAAAAGATGCGATTACTGCATATATCCAACAGCGAGGATAAAACAACAAGTGCTAGTAAGCTAACGCGCCCTCAAGAACGCATCCAACAACGACATCAAAAGACCCCTAGGCGAACGGGAAGAAAAAAGAATGAATAATGTGTTGAAGAAGCGGAAGTAAGGCCACTAATTTATAGGCCGCCCATACTTGCGGCCCCCGCGCTCTTGAAACAAGGCTGTGAGCCTGTGACTGTTTTCTAAGGCTCGCAAGGCTGACTACCTAGAGTCTGAGGTGCAGGTGGTTATTTCCTCGAGGCGACCAGGTGTTATTTCTTTGGCTGCATCTGAACGAAGAACCAGAGCAACTGGTTCCTGGCGCTTATGGGCGAATCACATGTGTTTTCCCCCACCTCAAGGCCCTGACCCCACAAGGCTTGAGAACTGGTGCCTGAGGTGTCAATAGCAACCAAAGGACGAATTTGATGCTACCGAGGGTTGAGAGGATTCATGTAATTAACCTATTTAAACACAGAGGAACCATTGACTAGAAAGACTACCGAGAAGGAAGAGAAAAGCCGGCTCCGATGATTGTACCCCAGAACAGGCCTGCGTTTCAGCAACAGTCAAGGAAGACACAAGCGCCATATTCGAGCACAAGAAGAGAAAAGAAGTTTAGACACGAGATGAAGGCAAGGATTGAAAACCATGAGCACAATACGCAACCCAATGCTGTGGACAAGAGGAAACAAGAAAGAACAAAAGAAAAAGGGCAGAATATGCAGAGAAAGTAGGATAAGTCGACTGGCAGATTCGGTCTGACCCTTCCAGACTCAACGGATCCCTCTGGGTCCCAAGAGTGACGAGCAAAGGTATTTCAGGTCGTTGTCAACATCACTTCATCCCAATATACATGACAATCGTACCACTTCTGTGTTGCCGTCATTATGTTCAAACGTTCTTATAGAGTAAGAGAGGCTCGCCAATGTTTTCGATCTCGGGAATGGTGCATTTCAGATCAAAGGCTTTGGCAAGGACAATCTTAAATATCTACATTGTCGGTTAGCACGGCCCGGGCTCATGTCCACGCGATCATACCTTTTGCACGTTGATGCTGTGACTGGTACTGCTGAAGATCAAGCTCGCTTTCATCGCCTTGGCGAATCTCTTGGCCTGAGGAATCATCAGCACATTCCCGGTCATCATTCATGGCCAGCGTTCCTACCTGAATGGAAATCTCTTCTTGATCTTCTCGAGGAAAATTGACAAAGTGGTCATACTTGGTGCCGACCAGGAAAGGAATAGCTGTCTTGTTGAATCCACGGCCCTGCCGGTACCATTCCTTGATGGAATTCAATGTGCTCTTGCGGGTGAGGTCAAACATAAACAGAATCGCGACGGCATCATTGCACACGAGCGGAAGCATATTGACGAATTCGCGTTGACCGCCCAGATCCCAGATCGAGAAAGTGATCTCCGTGTTTCTGATGGAGATTGTTTTTTCCATGAAATTTACCCCTGTTGATAACGTCAGAATACGTGCAGCACGAGTCTAAAAGAGTAACAAACCCAAAGTCTGGATATAATCTTCGTCCCAGCTGCCCTCCACGTACTTGACCATCAAACTTGTCTTGCCAATTTGAGCATCCCCAACCATTCCAACCTTGATCACCACGCTATTCTTCGTCGGTTGGGATGGTTGTTTCTGAGTGACATCTTGAGAGGCTTGCGAAATTCCTTGTCGCTGTTCAGGGCCGCTAGACAATCCGGAACCCGGCCTCGATGATGACGGCGGGCGTGGTTGTTGGGTTAATGTCGGAGATTCGGTAAATCGAGACTGATCATTCTCTTGGTTGCGAGATACATGTGCGGATGGGGAATCGAAACCGCCAGTGTGTGAGGTGTAGTGAGCGCGAGAGTCGCTGCTGTATCCATTGTGAAACTCTGGAGGTCCCATTGCCTCCTCCGTAGCCGCCAGTCCGGGACCAGACATCTCAAGGTTATGTTGATGACCGGTTTCTGCGACATCCGGGACATCAGGCACAGGCTGCGGTACATCCATGTCGCAAATTGTAAGCTGGTTAGGAATGACTCCACGACCTGAAATGATACGTCTTCCGTTAATTCTCCGATCGCCTGCCCGAGCGGGGAGCACGAGGGAAGCTGAAACTGACCTAATTGCGGAAATGCCGGTAGAAGGCAGGCTTTCTCAAGGCCGCATGAGATGCGGTTCGGCAATTAAAGATCGAAAATACTTCGGCGATCTGAATTTGAGGTTTGATAAGAATGACTTGAAACGAAGGAGGAAGAAGGTCACTCGATGGAGCTTCTGTTTGTTTTTGTTATGCCTTTGCTGGAACAAATGACGTGGGCGGTAGCTGAACCAGCAGACGAGTAAGCAAGGGAACAGACGGCTGAAAAAATGATGACCAAGCGCTCGGATCACAAATTAGCAGGCGACAAGAACAGCAGGACTTGATCGCGAGGCACAAGGTTATGCGAGACCCTTATGGGCATCGGCATCAAGTCAAGCAAGTCAACACAGCCGCATCCAGACGAAGCGGCCCGATCTACGCTAATCCGCGATAGGCTTAGCACACATCCCACCTCAATCTCTGGATGAGAAAAAAAAGTTCCTGAGCCCTAATCACTGATCCCCATCAAGCAACAAGCGCCTTTTTTCATCCTGTCGCACGACTGGCTCGTGGACACTTATACCGGGATATTCACATCGTAACTACGACACAATGTCCAAAAGAGCTGCCGACGCGTCCGAGGAGCACTCCGCTGCTCTCAAGGCCGGAGAGCGGCCGGTCGCCGATGACATTCCAGACGAGGCAGGGGAGTTCGAAGATGAGTTCGAGGACGAGTTCGAGAGTGAGGACGAGATTTTGGAAGCAGGTGTCGATGGAAGACCTGATGCGGAGCGCGAGGAAGAGGAAAAAGGTTTTTCAGCCGATTTTCTGTCGCTCGAATTGTTACTGACAGGAATGCGATCACAACAGACGCTATGGAGGTTGACAAACAGACATTCATCCCTGGAAGAACAAAACTGGCTCCTGGAGAGGTACTGTCTCCGGATCCGTCTACATATGACATGTTACACACGCTCAGCACACCATGGCCTTGTCTCTCATTTGACATTGTGCGCGATTCCCTTGGCGACAACCGAAAGACATACCCCGCGACGGTCTACGCTGTTTCTGGTACACAAGCGGCGGGAGGAAGAGCAAAGGAGAACGAACTGCTGGTGATCAAGATGAGCGGTCTCAGCAAGATGGAGAAAGAGAACGAGACAGATTCGGAGAGTGATTCAGATTCAGACGATGATTCCGACGAGCCGATTCTCGAGTCGAAGAGCATTCCCCTCGGATCAACAACGAACAGAATCCGCGCACACCAAACCCCTTCCCAGTCTGCCGACTACTCCAGGCCGCCACAGACGATCACAGCGACCATGCTCGAAAACTCCCAGGTCGTCATCCACGATGTGACTCCTCATCTGACCAGCTTCGACGTCCCCGGCACAGTATTGCCGCCGTCAGCCTCCAAGCCGCTTTCGACCCTGCGCATGCACAAATCCGAGGGTTACGCTCTGGATTGGTCCCCACTCCAGCCCCTTGGAAAGCTGTTGACCGGTGACAATGACGGATTGATCTACGTTACCACCCGCACAGAAGGCGGAGGCTGGGTTACAGACACCCGGCCATTCACCGGCCACACATCTTCTGTCGAAGAACTACAATGGTCACCAAATGAGCGCAATGTGTTTGCTTCCGCCAGCAGCGACGGAAGCGTGAAAGTCTGGGACGTCCGGTCAAAGTCACGCAAGCCCGCCGTTGACGTCAAGGTCTCCAACACAGACGTCAATGTCATGAGCTGGTCAAAGCAGACGTTCCATCTCCTGGCCACTGGTGCTGATGATGGACAATGGGCTGTCTGGGATTTGAGACACTGGAAGCCGAATGCGTCCGCCCCCTCGTCACAGATCAAAGCATCGCCAGTCGCAGCTTTCGACTTCCATCGTGAGCCCGTCACCAGTATCGAATGGCACCCCACAGATGACAGTGTTGTTGCCGTTGGTTCTGCCGACAATACCGTCACCCTCTGGGATCTGGCTGTGGAGCTTGATGAAGAAGAGAGCCGCGAGGCTGGCCTGGCCGAAGTGCCTCCCCAGCTGTTGTTCGTTCATTACATGGAGTCTGTCAAGGAGATTCATTGGCAGGCTCAGATGCCTGGTACCATCATGGCAACGGGCGGATCCGGATTCGGGTAAGTCCTTCAGTGGAAATTGTTCTATGTTCGATGAGCTAATGCTGACTCCTTGCAATAGTGTCTTCAAGACTATCAGTGTGTAAATAATCGGCATGCGCATGCGGCACTTGACCTTCTTGAAACGACGATACCAACAGCTTCTACGCTGTCATTTGATGAACATATTATAGATTCTTACATAGGGTAGTACAGCTCGGAATTGAATGAATGATTATGAAGTGCGACGAATTTCACCGTGGATTGACTACCCTGTCTTAGCAATGGCGCTAAAAGGAGTAAACTTGGGAACGTATCTCAGCCATTTACAGCTACAGCTGCGAACTGCTCTACCTTTTGAGTAACTGTAAATTTCTAGTTAGGATGAGCAATTCTGAACATTCGATGCGATAGTAGTATATATATACGTATGGATGGGCTGCTTCACTCTTCATGAGCTAAGTAATATAGGATTATAACGACGGCTGACAACTGACTAGATTAAATCGCCTACAATTTCTATCTTATGATAATCCCATAGCAGAGTGTGTGCAATCCATTGATGCGACTGCCCATAGCCGAAACAACTTTGCAGTCGAAACAACTTTGGAGTGGATTTCTGGGGAAATGCGGGCGAACCAATCATTGGCAGGGTATTCTACTCTAGATGCGGGGAAGGCTGCGACTCCAAAACGTGCCCCCGTGATTCCTGTAGCTGCTTGGTGTATGCTTTTCGTTGATGCGTCGAAAGAGTTATCAGACGGCAAATCTTCATATTTTCCCTGCAGACTGACAACCAGGTCTTGTCCATGTTGCCGTCCGCCCTTTGTCTTTCCCCCGCAGAGCTCGGCGCTCAACGTCATTCACCCCGCAATTGGCCATGAGGATCGGAAGGGGCTGCGAGCGCTGTCGCCATCGTCATATCCGGTGCACAATTCGGAAAGGAGCATCGTCTTGTAATCCCTGTTCGCGCTTGGGACGGGTCTGTCGGCTCGATCCACCATTTCGGTTTAGAACTGTTCATCACGTCTATCAGAAGAGCCATGGCACAGCGTCGAAATTCGACCTTGTGTGGGATCCGCATCAGACTTGGGTGAAGACTCCTACGTCATGTATGTTCATTCTCCTCTGTCATCTAGTCATCGACGATGTGCTAATGATTCCAGTGACGTTCGTACTTGAATCGGCAGATGATTCTGCGGAATGGGAGACAGAAGCACCGCAAGACTCTCAGGATGAAGCACCGCATTCAGAACAGATTCCAGCAACACCAAGAGCTGTATTTCCGGACATATCATCTCTACTCATACCAGGACCGACAAAGTCTTACGATGCAGTGATCGAAAACCACCCGTTAGACCTCCCGGCACCGACCCCATCGATACCTGACGAAACCCAACTGATACTTCCCTCATCTACTGCCATCTCGCCAAGTGCACTCAATAGCATAGTATCTCCTTTGGCATCAACAGCCTGGACAGAGCCGACGTCCTCGTGGAGCCCGATAAGCCCGCGGGCAATCAATTCGCCAAAGTTGTCCTCTCGCGAGGCATACTTGTTACGTTCATTCATCTCCAAGATAGCTCCTTGGGTATAAAAGCTCCCCTCATGGCTGGTACAGTGGTAGTACATTCTGACTTTGACAGACCGACATCTGCGACTCACGCTCTCATTTTTCGACCGAGGTACCACGCCGGGCACTGGAAGTGCCTATGGTGCTGAAGGCCGTTCTAGCTCTCGCAGCCAGACACGACGCCATCCTATCAGATGCTAGCGACTGGGAAGCCGCCGAATATCACGGCCAATGCCTGGAACTCTTGATCGCTGCGCTGGCGCAGCCGGAGGATACGTACGATGACAACCTCCTTATCACGGTGGTGATTCTACGCATCTACGAGGAACTGGAAAGCAACAATGACGAGAAGTACCATTTGTTCGGCTCAAACCGTCTCCTCAACACCATGTCCAGGTCGGCGTCATCCGGGGCCTAGCCGAAGCCGTGAGCTGGCAGTTCCTGCGGCAGGCGATTTATGCATCTGTCGTCCAGTATCAACCAATGCAGCTGGACCTGGAGAACTATGAGCGCTCGGCTGTCTTTCACCGGCGCGACGACGCTGCGTATGCAAATGTCATCATTTACCTGTGTGCTCGCATTCTTCAGTGTGGAGGAGCGTATACGCGTGGCATGGACGAGGAGACATGGCGCCAACTCTCCGATAGCGTTGAGCAGTGGCATCGAGGGAAGCCAATTAGTTGGCAACCGTTGAAGTACAAGCCGGCGAACGTTGCAGAGAGTCGACCGTTCCCTGAGATCTGGATGATGTCTCCGCCAGCAGGTATGCATCTGAGCCCGTGGACCGCAATGGCGCTGACACCTCGCAGTGGTCGGAATGCAGTACTATCACACCTCATGTATATTCCTCACTCTGTCAAATCGACACTGGCAAGCTGCTAGTGACTTCGAGCTGGCCCGTTCGCAACGCATAGTAGAGGTAAGATCGTGCAAATATTGGAAGAAGACCGCTACTAACGGGCCAGAATACAATCGCATCACACCTAAACATGGTCATTGGCTTGTCCATGTCAAATGAGACGGTCGAGAATGCATACTTTATGGCATGCCATTTATTACACCGCTGTAAGTTTCTTGTTTTGAGCTTTCTCGACCACCCTGACGGTGTTAGATGGGTACTGCCTGCGACATCCTCTCGAACAACGCGGGTCATTGCGCTTCTTGGCCCATGTGGAAAAGACAGTGGGCTGGCGGACGCGATGGATGATATGCGAGCTGGAGAAACAGTGGAGTGAGCTGCGGGGACTGGACACGTGGGGAGAGTCGGCTAGTTAATGGAGTCTGCAAGACTACATTGTCTGGATTTTGGAGGATTGTCAAAACTTCTATGCGATGTATTATTTGAATACCTGATTGGAGCGAAATGTACGATGATATATAAGACACCGGTTTCTGTCAGCCGTATTGGATACTTAATCTCATTCCTAGAGAATAGTTCCGCTTGCATTGCGTCGTCGATATCGCTCGATAAAAGCATAATGCATCCATATATGATGTTGTGGACAAGAGCACCGCGCTACGCAGACATACTCTTAATCATCTCCTCCAACTCCCTCACATTCCCCCAACAACCCTCTTCTCCAGAGGCTGCCCATCCTTATACAGCACAAATGTCGGCATCGCCCGGATATTCATCTCCTGCGCCACAGAGCGCACCTTGTCGACATCGACCTGGATGAATCGCACATTGGGGTACGTCTCGCTCAGCTTCCCGATAGTAGGCGCAATGGCCTTACAGGGACCGCACCAGGTGGCGAAGAAATCGACGACGACGGGACCGGACGACGTAAGGGCCTTGTAGATGACGGGACTTCATATATAGTCAGTGATTCTGCTTCTAAACTGGAGTTATAAGGGGACCTACTTATCGACAGCTATAACTTTGCCGTGAGACATGGTTGCGGCGGGGCTGGAGAAGAAGCGGTTGTAGATAAGGCGGATGGCTATCAGATTAGTGAGAAGGGTTGTGTTGCGAGGGGAAAGAGGGGCAGGAGTGCTTACCGATGTAGACGGCGAGAGCGAGGATAATGCGGGTGTAGTCCATGATGCTGATAGAAAGGTTGTTAAGCAAAGATGGGTCTGTTGTCTTGAGGGGAAGACGCCGATGTGTTATATTGATTAGTAAGCAATTCAATTCAGCATAAAATAGTTATGCCACAGGTACGGGTAGTGAAGGACTGTCCACAGCAACTGTGTTTCAGACAGTTATCGAGATCGATTCTCCTACACTACAAAAGACAGTGTCATCATTGTGACACGGCCAGATTCCACCGATGATAACCCATGCAGGAATATGAGCATCAGCACTCAAATTTGATAGCAGCCGACGAACGGAGGGTTGACAATTCTGTTGCCTGTTAAGCCTGTTGGCCTGATCCCCTCATCCATCGACATTCCCGTCACAGCTGTCCTCTAATCTCTTGCTATTAATAGCGCCAGACATGTCAAGGATATGCATTGCTTCATAAGTGCCTTCTGTTGACTAGCTCATTTGTTGAATAATTTGAGCGCCTCTTCGGCACTATATCTAGTAGTGTCTATCTATCTCTCCTACCATGCGTTCTTGATTGAATTACACAGGCCAGACTCGGCACCGAAATGGACCGGGACAGTGTCTTGACGAGATACTCCGATAGGCTGTGAGAGTCTGAGAGATATCATTTGCTGTGGAGTCACACAGGTACCTGGCGAGAGTGGAACGCAAGAGCATTGCAGATTTCTTCATCGATATGTTCAGTGGCAATGCAACTAGTACTCAAGGGTCAGGCATCAGTATAATGCTCAGCGAATATGACCCCGCATCGACCACACGGTGGAAAGTTGGAACCAGGACGAGCGGTCCCTGAGAGGAACTACGTAGTCTTGTCTAACTTGTCTTTAATTAACAACCGCTGATCTACACCTGACTCGCATCAGACTGGATTCCATCGGTCCGCAGGCCTATAAGATCTCTTTAAAAAGTCAGGGTGCGCGTAGCGCCAATCCTCAAGAGCATGGGCTCAGCCACAACCGGTGCCAGGGTCTGCATTGGTTTGTTGTTCTTCAGGATGGTTATCTGTTCGAGCTTTCCCGTTAAATGATATATAATTTTTTTTCTTCATGATGCTTTTGAAATTGTCAAGATATGATATCCCACCTCTGAGGCATACCAGATGAGGCCGCTTTTCTTCTGTCTGCTCCTAGCTTTGCGGCGCGTTGCAGCCGATGATGACGAAGGATCCGATTCCAACCCCAGATGTAAGCTGAAATGTCTGTCCGTACTTGATCAACGGCTGAACAATCAGGCAACACCAATGTGAACATTGCATCCCAAACAGATGCAGACTCTATCGCCTCCTGTCAAACCGTCCGCGGTAGTGTGACCATGGCGAACTCTGCGAGCGGGACTATCAACCTCCACGGAGTCGAGACAATTCAAGGCCCTCTCACAGCTCACGGAGCTTCGAACCTCAGTTCGTTGATAGCATCGGACCTGAAGACCGTCACTGGAACATTGACCGTGGAGAATAATGATGCGCTCAATCAAATCTCAATATCCAATTTACAGACTGTGGGAGGAGACATCAAAGTGGAGAACAATCGAAATCTGAAAGATTTGTCGTTGAGTGACCTGGATGAGGTCAGAGGGGGGCTGACCGTCTCCGGTGATTTCAATCGGTTCGTTCAAGCATATTCTCCCTGTTACTTCTCACAATATCTGACGAGGCGTAGGATCTCCTTCTCGAACCTTGACACAGTCCGAGGACCGACAACGATCCATAGCTCAGGCACCTTTAACTGCTCAAGTTTGGATAGTCAACGGTCTGGAGAGGACAGAGTATTCCAAAGCTCGTACTCATGCACGACCGGCAAAACCAACAAGTCATCCAGCAGCGATGGACTGAGCACGGGTGCAAAAGCCGGAATCGCCGTGGCAGTGGTGATCGTCGTTCTGCTGATTCTGTTCTTCCTTTGGCTATTCATCCGCCGTCGAAAGCGCCAGCAGAATCGACGAACAGAAAAGACAATACCAGAGGCTGCCCCATCGCCCACACCGTCTCCCCCCGGCCTTACTACCAAGACAGAAAAGCTGACTCCAAAGCTCACGCCGCCCCAAGAGGACGTCGAGAGGAGTATCCCCCGAAAGCCACCGTCCCCACCACCAGCCGCAGACACGAGATCCTCTGTTCCAGCATCCTTGCTCCCCGGGTCCGAGAGAATGTCTGTTCCTGTATCATTACTTCCTGGGTCCGATCCATCAGTGTCCTCGGCCACCGCGTCCCACCGAAGAGTAACTTCCGACCCCACGCTATTTTTACATCATATCCCATCCCCAGTGCCGCGACCTCCACCGTCAGAGATGGATGTTCCGATGCTAGACAGCGGGAATGTATACGAGGTGGGGACCGGCCGAACAAGGCCCCAGACTCCTATCTATGAGCTGGACGGAGGCGGAATGAGCAACCACCAGCAGCCTATCCACCGCGAGTAATGATTGATCATGACAGGTACATAGCTGTATGCCAAGTAGACAATGAACAAATGTCTGCAAATTGTATGCCCGAGCGCGAATCCTTTAATGAAGTTGATGCCATTCATTTCTTCCATATTAGCATTAACTGACGAACTCCATATGCCGTTTCGAGTACATGAAAAATCCAAATCGTCTATACGGTCATATCTAGCAATTTACATGAAACCCTAGGACTTCACCCTCACTGGCTGCAGTGTCTCCCCATTCGCCAAGGGGCCACACCACCCATACACATCACACCGACACTGCTCGAAGCGCGGACAATAGATATCCTCCATACCAAACACCACATGCCAGACCTTCTCAAACACCCACCCGACCCCAAAGCTATCCGTCAGGTTCGTCTCCCCCGCCCACGCCAACATGCGCTCATAGTCCCGCTTCGGCCGCTGCAGGATCCGCTCCCTGCTGACGGCAAACTGCCCGCAGCAGACATTCCCAATATGCTCGGGGACGCGCTCCTTGCCGACGCCAAACAGCGTCTGGTACACCTGCGGGAAGTACGCGCGGATATCCTTCTTATCGATATCGATCTGCGTCGGGGACCAGGGGTGCACGTTTGTCGGACAGCCTGGGTCGTGCTCGCAGCGGAGGTTGACGTAGCCCTGTGCGGCGACGGCCTCGAGGCGGAGATTGCGCAGCGCGACGCTGGTTTTTGGGCCGAAGAGGTCGTTGTGCCACTGGTCTTGGTTGGAGTGGATGAAGATAGTGTAGGGGGAAGTTGGTCGTAGAAGTCGACGACGTAGGAGAGGTAGGCGGCTGCTTCGCGGCCGCGGGTGGTGTGGGGACGAGGAGGTGCGGAGCGGGTTTGCTGTCGGTGGTGTAGATGAAAGGGATGGCGTCGCTGTTTGGTCTAGTATCAGCATATGGCTGGGTTTGGAGGAAGTGGGAGGGACGAGTGTGACGTACTGATCACGGCAGTAATTCAACAGCCAGGTGAGATCTTCCGATTGTGTCGCGGCTAGCACCAGCGAGATAGTGCTGTTGGATGAGTATGTCTTGGTGATGTCGGCGAGTTGCTGCGTGACTGAATGGTCGTTTTGCTCGAATTCTAGACAGTCAGTGTGGCTGCCTAATTTGGCAGGGAATGCAAGTTCACCGTCAGGCTCCAGCGCGAAATCTCCCCGCCGATACAACATTAAGGTGAATAGCCACAGACAGATCAGCGCTGTGCAAGTAGTGACTGCTGTCCGGCGGGCCGGCCATCTGGACAGTCGTCGTTTCGACATTGAATCTGTCTTCTGCGCAAATGTCTGCTTCATAGTAGGACCAAATGAGAAGACGATGCTGCGGACAGGAGATGTCCACGGTTCTACTGAAAGAAAATTCAAATAAGACAGGTCAATTGGCGCTTATGCGAGGTGTCATCGCCATAGCCATCTTGCCATGCAGGGCCAAATATGATTCGTCTTTCTCGAGACCGGTTAGGTAACCGCCTTTGCCTTGCCTTAGGCTAGTCTACGTCTACTGTGTAATACTTGTAAGCTGCGTAGCACCAGGGAAAATAGTTTGGAAAAGCAAACGCCGCACCCGCTAAGTGGAGCCCCCACAGCTGGGTGCCAACCTATTGGTGCAATGACACGCCGGCACCTATATCCCTGGCCAGTCATAGATTTGACGGGTTTGCTCCTTCCAATTTTACTGGCTTACCTTGTGCACTAACCGTTATGACTAGCTGCTATTGGTCAAGCTTATAGTTCAAAGCCGCCCCACCTTGAAGCTACCCACCTGTTCCTGATTCACTCGGATCTGACGGGTTCTTTTCTGTCATACAGCCTCACCCAATCACGTCAGGGCCTCAGCGCCTCAGTACTACGTTAGATCTTGCTGACCTTAGAAGTACAAGAAATGCGTCGTAAATCAATTGATGAGAAACGAATTTTCTAGAGATTTTGAACAAGATATATGCAATCGCTCTAGGTTCGCGATAGGATATTTGATCCGGTGAGCTACAATGATCATATTAATTGTTCCTTAGCGGCGTATCTGGCGACATGAGCTACAAGCTTTTTCCATTTTCGGAATAGGATAGAATGAGTCTCGAACCTTCGGGGCCTCGGGCCCTGTTATTGTCTCCAACATTAATATCGTTAGCTAGCCTCTAAGCCTCTAAGCCTCCTCCAAAACTCTTCCCTAAGTAGAGCCGATGTATGGTATAGATTAATTAAGAAAACTTTTGCCCAGCGAGGCCACGCCTTCTGAGTGGCGACCAGGATAAAAGGCCCTGACAAAGCCACAGGGTTACATCGTTTGTCCAGGTATTTGAGCTATGGATGACGGCATGACACGGATAGAACATTCTGCGATTGTAAATTCCAGGAAACTGTGTCTGTACAAGCTATGAGAAGTGCAGTGGCTTTTTCTACCCAATGATCAAGATTCATGCAATGAGTGGCGGTGGAAGCCAGAGAGCAAAGGCAAAGCCAGAGAGTCGTGCATTAATATTGATCTCTTTTGTGTCTTTAAGTGGAATGGCGCAGGATTTCGGGGCCAGATGCGACCAGTAGAATTAAGGTCTCAGTTCCAGCCTATGTTAACCGGCCGGACCGAGGGAGGCAACTAAGCGAGCTTTATCCAGGATGGTGATAGTCATGTGACATCTCCAAATCTTCGATTTCTTTTATCAGTATCACATGTTGCCTTGGTATAGGTTCCCTGTATTGTTGAATGCAAAGCCTTCCCCTTGCTAATATGATAGTTACCGTGATTGCCGATATCAAACCGCGCTGAGGGGGCAACTAGTTTAGAGGGAATAACCAGCTCAGCATCATATGATTGTAACACGGACAACGTCTGCGGAGATTCAGTTGGAGCGGCCAGTTCAAAGATCCCATAGCCCATTGCTATTAGCAGATGCGAATATCTCACACGTTTTTTTATATGATGAGACTGGTATGTATGTAATGTAATTCTTATTAGCTGTATTGTCCATCTCTCTTCTGGGATAGAAAGGCAATAGGTCAATTTTTATGCAACTTGTCCACTGCAAGAGATAATATTGCCCCTCCTAATCCCTTATAGCGCTATATCTAATAGATAGGGTCTCTGTTCTGTCAATCCCTGCGTTGCCTGGCTTGGATATAGCATGAGCATGCTTATAAGTTACACTGTTAACTTCTCTGTCCCTAGCAATAAATACCGGGTAAAGGGATGAATCTTAAATTTATATAAGCTCTCTTCCCCTCCTGGAGGTGAGATGGGTGACTCTAATTCCTTTAACCCTGTGAATATCATAAGATTAGAAATGCCTGATATAGCATACTGACTCCCTGCATTAGATCCTCTTCTCAGAGATCCATACTAGATGGAGTTCTTTAAACTGCTTATATACAAGCATTCATCTCTCACAGGAGAAGGAGAAGTTGTGTAGAAACAGCCAGTACTGTGGCCAGTGCTATGACCACTGAATTCTGCCATTTACTCTGGATTTACTAGAGAACCATCTAGATTCACCCTGCCACTAATTGCAAAGGTGAGACCATTCTTATTATCCTCTCAAAATGGCAGTTGCCTGGTCACTTTAAGGTCAAAGGCTTGGCCAGGCACTGTGCTGGCTTTATAGAGCTTAGTGGTCGTGCACTATGCATCACCAACCACTGTTAGTGTTTCTGCTTTCCAGCCATTCAAGCCACATCAGCTGATTACTCCTTGATATCCATTGAGGTGATCTAGCATTGGGATTCTCAGTAACATAGTATGATTGACCTATTGCAAGATCCACAATGCAGATCTCCTTCTTCTCTGTTTGAGAGCGAAAGAAATATATACTTTAAGTATACACTGCAAGAGTGCCTGTGGCATTTGGAGTTGGGTTTGAGCGCTTAGGTGCCCTGAGTATTGATTTAGGAGAACTGTTATGCTAAGCATAATCTGAAGGGAAGTATAAATGGTAGACTACTCTGAAATGCATCTCATCGTGACTGTAGCTCAGCTTTGATGACCTCCTGACTCTGGGATAATTAACATAGAGGACGCCTGCAGAGGCGGCCAGAACGGCTAAAGGCCCCTTATCAGTAGCTAGGGAAAAGGCACTAAACTGATGAATTAACTCCTCATTGGTTAATCTATGCTGGTGATATTTGGACATGAGGAGATTATGCAGCCAATCATATATCTCTAGCCTCCGACTCCGGAAGCACTACTTTAAGAGACTGGCTGCCTTTGTTGAAATGGAATGGGCCAGCCACTTGATAGAGGGTCCCAGAAAATGGTCTGGACGAATGCCCTAAACTCCTGGGTGGTAATAGTAATATCGCTCTCATTCGGTCCTGGTGCCCTGTCATACAGGGCTTGGAAGGGCAAAATCATGGGGGCGCTGGTCATCCCGGTTGGGGTAGCGACGACCTCTTGGGCCGTTTAAAGCTGCTGGCTAGCAGCTGACTGATTTTCTAGAGGAGGTGTGTGGACGGGTCGTGAGCGAAGTGCGGCGACGTATGCGGGGGTGCCGGGTTCGGGGCATTAGGCGGCATCAGCATCCATTTTTCGAACGTCGCCCGGGCCTTTGAGCGCCGACGAGAATGACGAACTTGGTTTGGCCATTTGGAATTGTCAAGCCAGAATTTGGCATTGGAACGCAGCTTGGCCATGGACTCTGAGACTCCTACTTCGAGGACTAGAGTTGGCCATCGTCGCGTCTCTCCCTGAGCCACTTGTCGCGATGGGGGATTGAATGCCTGGTCGCCTTCTTTTCCCTTGTTAGCTGGCTTGTATGCAGTAGTCTAGCACACTAGGTAACACTAAACCACAAAGCAAAGGACATACTGGTTCCTACTCCTATGTCAAGGAGTCTGCACTCTGTCGGATTGAGTAGTCCCTGGTGTACCCAAGGTAATGTTGATGGACTGTGAATTTTGTGAAAGAATGAGATTAAGCAGGTGAATTTAACCAGTTTATACAGAAGTTGACGTCACTGCTACTACTATTAACTTCACCAACTAGGTGGTTACTACTCATTAAATTGTACAGGAGTGAGAATGACGAGATAGTGAAAAGATTACCCACCAAATCTATGATAATTCAGACCATTTAAGCAGTATTACTAGGACGACGGACGCATTGCCTCTCAGCCATAGATTTTTATCACTCTGTAAATGTGGGAATGATTCACTGCTCAGGGTCGGTGTCAATCCGAAGGTAATGATCAGTTGTTTCACTGATCCTTGGTAAACGCCTGAGAAATTGTCAAATGCTAAGTTGTTGCATATTGTTAGTGCAACACTGTAACTGAAGTAGAAAATACGTACTTGCTCCCACTCCACCCCATAAGAGGTCCGCTTCAGCACGGTTGATAGTGCTGTTGAGAGCCCATTCCACAACTGAGCGGTTGATCCACCGTTGGTGGACGTCGTGGGTCCCAATGCTTAGCATCTGTCATACATCTACCACTCAGCCAAAAGGTGCCCAGACAAAACTATCTCTAGCTAGTAGGGATGAGACAGTACAGTAGGGTCAACACAGCAGGGATGGCACGACATCATCCACCAGACTGTCGGCCAGTCGGGGACGCTGAGGTGTGGACCACTCAGCATTCACCTTGGCCAATGATAAAATGATGGCTTATGCGGAGTCTAGCACTTTCAAGGTCTATTCCCATTTCCCAAGCTCCCCAAAGAATAACTGGACTGAGAAGGGTGGTGAATATTCTTAGCTCAAGTCTCTTTTAAAGCTTCTCAAAAGATATGAGGGCTAAGAAATGTAGTGAATCTTTTAACTATATCACAAGGTGGTATCCATATAATTGACTGTTGTAAGATATATTGCGTGTCTTCTCCTGTTAATTGGAGTAAAACCTATGGTAGTCTGGCCCTGGTCTCTTCGAATAATAGTGTATAAGGACTATCTTACCTTTAGGTTACCTAATAAATGATCAATGTGCCTCAGCTAAGTTATCTAAAGGGTTTAGTTTTTTTTTCCCACGGACTGGTAATAGAGTCTTCACTAGATGGAGATGATTCCCTTGTGATTAGACTAAAATCTTATTCCCAGAAAAAGAAGCATATTGTAGTCTTTGCCTTCCAAGCTGCTGATAATATATTAAAAAATAGTATATACTAACTAATAAATATGTTGAAGATGTGATTACCATTCCCAGTACTATAATAATTACCTCTCCCAGCTGATGGTATCGCAGTTCTGTTTTCCATTTTCTTCTCTAGTAAAGATTCTTCCTTCTTTCCAACAATGCCCTGGGCACCGCCAGGTGTCACATCGCACTCAATTGCCCTGAATATCGCACTGATTTTGCCGCCCTATACCCATTCTCTTATCTATCAGACGCCTTTTGATCTCCCTAGGTGACTCTGAGCAGGTTTCGCACCACAGGTCGAAGCTCGGGAAGGGTAGCCGCGTTGCTCCTGCTGGAGCAGGCGTTTAGGAGTAGGACCTTGCATTGCCTGCTGTATGAACTTAGCGGTGGCTTAGCCACACAGGGTATGGAATGAGTGCTTATATATTAGATTGTATTAAGCTACTCTAAGAGGTACTACTAGACGCTTTATTATGCTGGTAAGAGCCTATAGCCTTCTGTGTCTCCTGAATAGTAGGAGACTGTAGGAGCTTCTTTAGCCTATTATCCTAAGCCTATCAGCTAACCATCACAGTAGTCTTCTACATGGTATTTAACCGTCATCGACTTGGACCACCCGAGCCCTTCTGTTTTCTTTCCTCGGCCATTTTATCACGCTTTCGTTCTATAAGCGTCTTCACTTAGCACCAGGTTTAGCTCCTGCCTTTGCACACAGTTTTTCAATGCAAATGAAGCAGCCAACTCTTCCAGCTCATCCTTGGTCTTTCCCTCGAACAGCTCCGCAAACTCCCAGGTCAGATATTCACTGACCAGACACTCTCTCACCACCCGCTCCACCTGGCGATCAAACGTCCATACCGGCGGATACTTCTTCTTATGAAGATGCACCGGAATCATCTCCTTCAGCTTCGCAATAAACGGCTCATAGACATGACTTACACCCGTCTTATCCGTGCACCCCCAGAAATCCACGCCAAGGCGCTGCTTCTTCTCCACGAACTCGCCAATGAGTTTCATATACGGCGTGTCCGGATTGACGTAGACCATCCCCTGATACCCAATATCCTTGTATAGCCAAATACTCCAGCTGACATTAGAGTCCGCATAAATCCGCAGCTGCTCACGGAGAAGCTCGGCGCGGGACCGTAGGATCTCTTGCGCATTCTCGCCTCTCCGCGCGTCCGGGTAGACAGGACCGAACTCGCCGTTCCAGATGGGGACGTCCCAGTCACGCATGAACTGGACTTTTCGATCGAACTGGGACTTCAGTTTTGCTTTTTGCTCCGCTGTGCCGGTGTACAATGGCTGCCCGGGGATAGGGAAGCCCATCGTTGCATAGTCGTGACAGGAGTAAACCACGTTGGGGAGAATGCTGTCGAAGTGAGAGAAATCCATCGAGTAGGTGTTCCCATCGAGAAAGAGGATGTGATTCGGATCAACGGCGTGGATGGCGGCATGAACGCGGCTGTACCAGTCCAGGAGTCGAACGTGTGTTGGATCGGCCGGTTCATTGAGAGGGTTGTATCCCGCGACAATGGGATCATTGGCATAATGTTTCGCAATAGCAACCCAAAGGTCAATCACTTGATCTTGAAAGATTTTGAAGTCCCAGAACATGGCGCGCGAGAGCCCAGTATCGCAATGCCAGTCTTGGTTCTGGCCGCCTGGAACGGCATGGAGGTCAAGGATGACGTAAAGGTTATATTTGCGACAGATTCCCACCACCTTATCGAGCATGTCGAAGCCAGCTTGCTTGAAGACAGGTGGGTTCTCCTGGTCGTCCATGAAATGTCTGTAATTGAAGGGGACCCGGATGCAATTCAGACCCAAGGATGCGAAGAATTCGGCGTCTTCTTCTGTGAAGAAATGGTGTAGCAGTCGGTCGAAGAAGTATTGTGCCTTTTCTTTCCCTAGGACAGATGCCATGGCCGCGCGGTGTTCATGCTCGTGGCCTGGGTATCCGGTGATGAAGTTCTCCATGTTAAGGAAGCCTCCGATAGCGGCACCTTTGAGGATGACTGGTCGGCCATGGCCGTCGACTATGTCTGTACCAGACACACGCAGGAAGGAATGTTGGTTTGTGTATGAGCCCATGATGGCCGGCGAGAGTATTTTTCTGAACCTGACGTGGCTAGGAATACGGATTACTCCACTAGCTTAAGACGAGAATATGAGGAACTATTCCATGAAGAATACCGGCGAGAAAACCCAGCAATAAATATTGCGATCTTTTATGTGATCCCTCTATAATACATCCATTTGCTAAAATTCGTCATACAAATGAGCTGCTCTCCGACACTCCCCGACGGGTCAGAGACTCCACCACAGTAGTAACTTTCTCGCCCGAGGTCGGATCGACTACCGAATGAAAACTACGGTGTAAGTATTCCAGAGTACAATTATCGAGGATTAAAGTTACTATACGCGTGCGCCGAGAGGAGGAGGCGTCAACTTCTGCGACACTCCGCGACAAGGGTCGGAAGTGGAACCGTCGGATGGCCCACTTCCCCAGGTTTGGGGCAATCCAAAACCCGCTAAAGGCGATTATCCGTCCGGTGTATCGTAGACTATCGGGGCCGGAGTGGGTGCGTATGGCACGGATATCCTTTAGAATGACAATTCAGGAACAACAGCTCCGAACAAGTCGTTCCTCAAAAATTAGCCTCATGTGTTAGCACCGTTTACTCCCTTCTAACTGTAACAACTCCGCCACATGTAGCCCGATTGTACATATGTGCTCTACAAAGTTGAGAGAAATATATCGACCATATGCCGTGGGCGTGATATGGATATACTATCTGTTTGATTGCCTGAGTATGGATCTTGTATAGATTCCTCTTTTCTCATACAATTGTACTATATCATGTACTTATTACATCCTAAATTTATTCTGCAACAGAAGCTTCAGGACCCTTTGAGCCGTACACACTTTGCATGTGTAGATATGCTACCGACGCCGAACCTCTGAACAGGCATCCATATGCACCGACACCCTTGTCCCCAGAGCAGAGCTCGCCTTGAAACATGGTAACCTGAGACTACATTTCGAACCTTGCCACTTCAACCAATCTGGTACGAGCCCATGTGCCTCGGCGGAACCCGAGTCGAGAACATGATATCGATCTCCTCAAACGTCCGACCCTTGAGCTCCGGGATATACACCCAGCTCACAATCGTAGCAACCGTCGCACATCCACCAAACACAAAACCAACCTTGCCTTTCATATTAGCCTCATCGGGATTAACCATATAAGGAACCGCAACATTCATCGCAATGCCGAAAACTGCCTGTACGGCTGTAGCCAAAGCTGTGGTCTTCGCGCGCAGCAAAGGGGTCGAGACCTCGCCTAACAGGACAAAAGAGATGGCCCCAACAGTCATAAAGTATACAAAAGCGTAGATAACTGTGAAAGATGCTTGGACCCATTTCGCTGCGGTGGAGGGGACGACGTCCATGATGCCGATGAGCAGGAGCAGAGCGGTGAGAGTGGCCATTCCAGAGAGGAACAATTTCCGACGGCCGAAAGAATTGACGATGAACCAGCTGAGGAAGTTGCCAAAAACACCGCAGGCTGTGACACCGACACCTAGATCGAAGGAGTGCGTTGTCTCCAGCCCAGCGAGTTCGAAGAAATACGTGGAGTAACCCAAGACGAAGATGATGCCGACGAGATGCTGGCACACAAATCCACCACAGGAAATGGCGCTGCGGAGTAGATTTGTACCGCGAAAGCAGTCGACGTAACTGGCCTTTGCTTGCTGTGCGCTCTCTTCGACGGATACCTGGATTGTGGTCAGTAGAGCAGAGACGTCAAAGTCCTTCCCCCATAGCGTATGGAGCGACTTCCGAGCCTGGTCCATCCGGTTCTTTCGAACTAGATACCAGGGTGATTCCGGAGCAAAGGGAAGCCCGGCAAGCAGGATCACCGAGAAGAACAGCTGCATCGCAAACGGCCCCGCGAATGCCCAACGATTCTCCCGCTCACCAAACCCCTTAATGACTGCATTAGACAGGAGCTGACCAACGCAAATACCCAAGTTGACACCAGCAGTCGATAAGCCACGCAGCACCACCGGGGTAATTTCGCTGCAAGTGAGCGGCCCGAGTGTCAGATAGAATCCCAAGCCAACCCCAAGAATGAGCTTCGACACGAGGAAGGCGCCGCGGGCGTGCGAAAAGATTTCACCAAAGGTGCCTCCAATGCAGATGATACAACCAAAGAGGAGAGAGCGCTTGCGCCCAACCCTATCCGCCATCCAGCTGCAGAGAAATCCACCAAAGAATTGGCCGATCGAGCTGGCTACATTGAACGCGGACTGCCAGTTCGCAGGAAGGATCGCTTCCCCATCCAAGACGTATCCGTATTCGCGCCGGAAGGCAGGGACGGAGATTACTGCGCCGTTGATTTGAGCATCGAAACCCCTGCATATAGCCGTATAAGTGTTGTATTCAATTGTTTATCGCGGGGAAGCTGGTGGTAAACTACCTACCAACCGATCGCACACATGGCCCAATAAAAAGACCACGCGATAATTGCCTTATGGTGCTCCACAATATAGGAGAATGTCATGGAATCTTCGACTGAATGAACCGCATCTATGTGTTCTTTGTGGCTGACCGAAGTCGCCTGTTCGGCAGCGTCTGCAGAGGGCTTTCCCTCCATGGCGTCAGACATTGTAGCAGAGTAGTCAAATTGATAGATGTAGACAGGAATGGGTAGCAACACCTTTGCTCATCAGTGTCGCTTGTATATCCTGATGATCGACCATCCGGGGTTCGACTATATATCTGCGGAGAACTCCCCCAGATGAGTATAAGTGTATACTAACTACTGGACGCTAGAGACCGCTAAAGTCCGGGGTAGTGAGAGAATCGGCTTAGCCACTTGGCTGGATCTCCGACACTCCGCGAAGCTGACCAAGGTAAGGTTTCGTCAAGAAAACCTAAGTGTGCATTCCATGCTGACACGCTTGCGCGGTACTGGTGAGTGGAACATGAAAAGAGAAATACATTTAGGCTATGGGTGCAACTATCCTATCAATCTTTGTGGATTTTGCTCTCCCACTAAACGAATGGAGAACCCTAGCCGGTATCAGTCGGATTATATTGATCAGAATAGAATAAGTACTCTCTTGGGTCAATTTAAATATCTCTAGCTCTTTACCACAGTAATTAAACCGAATATGATTATATCACAGGAGTCAGAGTAACTCTATCTGGTGGTAATAAGAAGTTGATAGCATGTTGGCGTGGGGGAGATTTCAAACCCGTGATTTGCCTACTAGACTTAAGAAAAACCTAAGCAGGGCTTACTATGGTGTAGTGTTATATAGAAATTCTTAGTTTATCAAGACCTGTAAAGGATAAGCAGAAAAAGGAGGGTCTCGCTAAATATGGACCCCTTCAACCTTCCCCCAGGCAGCCTCGACAACCCGCCCAAGATACGCCGCATCGGCCGACTCGCCCGCCCAATACCGATTCATCTCCACCGCTAAAAGCACGGCTTCCCTCCACCCCAAAGGCATCACGACTGCGCACTGCCCCTCTTTGTCCAACTGCCCCTGAATCGCCAACGCGGCAGCCACGAGCACCAGTGCACTCCGACTACAATTCCGAAGCAGAAAAAGTGTCCCGTGGTGCCGATGCTTACACCCGGCGTGGTTAACCCACAGCCTCTCAACATGCTTCTGTAATCCCTTCAGCACAAGGCTCCGCAGTAATACTCTCTCCCCATCCATCGGAAACCCGCTAATCAGCGCGTCAATGAAGGGCCAGTAGATACTTTCGTATAGATTGAGCAGGTGGCCGCGAAGGACAAATCGACAAATATCATCCGTTTCTGGCGGCTGGTCAAGGGATAAAACCCGTGGAAGCCGGATAGCCCACTCCTCTGCTTGAGACTCGTGGATACGGGTTGCTGTAGCTAATCCGTCGAGGAAATGCTCTCCGGGTAGTGCGGGGTAGAACTGCACGATTCCCTTCGCGATACAGGATGCTAAGCGGCGGAGGGAGATTTCAGAGAGGTAGAAGTACCATGATTGTTCCTCGCGGACGTGGAGGCTTTCGCTCGGGTCCGGAAATTCGGCACCCTCGTTTACGGGGGTGTAGGGAAGAAATGTGGGTATGTGACCATTTCTGTTTGCGAGAGGGCAAAATCAGGGACGGTCAAGTGGCTGCGGAGTTCACGTTCGAATTTCCAGGAGGACCAGTAGATTGCTTGTTCTCGGCTTAGAGTTCGCCCGCCGCTGGTGCGTTCGCTGTGGACCGGATCAAAGACCTGCGTGTCGCGTGAGGAGGGGGAGGACTGGAATTGGAAGGTTTGACAGCATGCTAGGGCATGGAGGAAGAGTTTCCAGGCGGTGTCTAGGTGGAAGAGGGTAGCTGCGTATACACCGGACAGGAAATAGCATTGTGCTTCCAGTACCCTATCTGGGCCGTCCACCGTCAGGGCTAGTCGCTTCTGTGCGGCTTTGTAGAAGGAGCGGGCACTGATGATGGATGCCGAGTTCCTTTCGGGTTGGTCGGGGCCCTCAAATGGGGTAGCGGTTGCCCCAAGGGCGAGAACGAGAAGGGCAAGACATGATTCTGGGGACCAGTCGAGCCCCTCAACGCAGAAATAGGCAACTAATCGGCGCGTATATGTTTCGTCGAGCACAGGATTTTTGACGTGCACGTATTGGAAAAACCGATCGAGTAGCGGTCGGGTGAGTCGCATGTCCAGGTTATCCGGTGATAAGCCACTCCCGGTGTCTGTGTCGGTTGAGGTAGAGGCTAGACCCTCCCCGCGCGGGGAAACTGGGGTTAGATCAAGAACCGGCCACCGGCAAATAGCCTCAATAGATGGAGGCAACAGTCGAGTCCGGTCTACGTCAGAAACTGTCTCGCCTGGAGAGGAGTCTATAGCAACCGATGTAGACCCCCCAGCATGTACCTCCAAGTTTCCTAGGTTTTCAATAGCAGACTGACACTTCCCCATCGCATCTCTAAGCTCGCTTAGTTGCTCCAAGATCTTGATACTCGCGGGATCGTATCTGGATAAGTCGACGGCGGATTGGACGCACCGAGCGCCAACCTTGAGGCAAAAGGAGCATGAGGGCTTCCGATTGTCGCATTTGGTGCGACGCGCACGGCAGACCTGGCATGCGGTGATGGCCCTTTTGCGGGGGTATGCCGCGGCTCCGCGTGGAGTCCGCCGTACGTCGCCGGCTGTAGATGGGCCGGGGAGGTTGAATGGAGCCTCAGTGGTGGAGGAGGATTCCATCAAAAAGGGTGGGGTTTCTGCCATGTGTTGGTGATCTCGGACGCATATGTCGCCTATTTCTGGGAGAGTCGCGGAATGTCGCAGAACTAAAAGCTGTCCGTGGGGGAAAGCTGGCACCTTTTGTGGTCGGTTAAAATGCCGGGATAAGTTGAGTGGAGAACAGGCTAAAGTAAGCACAAGTAAGTTGGTCGATAAGGATTACTAACTTTATTCTTCAAATACATAGAGGTTAATTTTATCAGGGAGGGGATATGGGTAACTCTGTGGGGGTAATACAGTTCCTGCATCCCAGGTCTGCTTCAGCACAGTTGATAATGCCATTGAGAGCCCATTCCACAATTGAGCGGTTGATCCACCGTTGGTGCACAAGGGCTTGTGGATGGGGTGGAGAGATTATCATCAACACTTTGCAAGTAAGATAGCTGAGCACCCTGAAGCAGGTCCTTCCAGCGAGGGGAGGTCCTGTCACCGCGTATGTACAATATGCCGGATGTACTCGGCGAAACTTGGGTTCAGAGGGGTTGAGTATCATTGCAAACGATTGTCTCGAACGGAGCTATCATCCTGTGTAAAGGAATTAACTGCCTCTCTTCTACAGGAATCGGTGCGAGACCGAGACTCCCGGCGAAAGGGTCACCCTGAGAACGTGGATTGAACATTCTCAAAAGCTTGTCCACGAAACACAGACCGCTATAGGTTCTTGCAGGAGTTACAAAGCTTTTAGTATTTTTCGAGAGTAGACGTATCTTGGAACTCACAGAAGCTGTTAGATGCAAAGTACAACGGACTAGTAGTTGTTGGAACAGGGTTACCTCAATGAACTCATACAGGTCAACCGCAACGGGGTTCCGACGTCAGAATAACTTCTTGAGAAGAGATTGCAGGTTCAGCAGCTGCAGCAAGGGAGCTTTATCTGTATCTCTCTTGCATCAGTCTAATGCTATTCATGTCAGGAAGGGGACTGACATACGGTAAACTTACCCAACATAATACACGGATATGATTCTTTGAGTAGTATTGCGGGAAGGGGAGAAAAGGAGGTACGTGAACCAATGAGATGGTCAACTAGTCTGGATATCTAATGTTGAGGTTACAGGACGGTCAACATCACGAGCGCCGTGGTACTCGCCGTGGCGGTAGAGGCAGAGGCCATGTAAGTTACCCAGGCTTTCTGGCACAAGTTCTAGCAAACAAGGCACTGACAGGCATTGATAGAATGATATACAAGCTGCCGCCGTCACAGCCCCTGCTACTGTTGCTTCCCCTGCTACTGTTGCTGCTGCCGGCGATGTTTGTTGCACCTGAGGCGGGCCTTGCTGCCGTGAGTAATGAGATCATAATAGAAGGCTACCCTATTGTGACTGTCAGCTGACGAGCCTGGGATAATTGGTTGAAGAAGCTCCTACTGTTCAGGGCACAAACAAGGCTGTAGGCTCTTGCCAGCATGACAAAACTTCTAGCAGCACCTCTGAGAATGACCCAATACAATCCGATATGCAAGCACTCCTTCCATACACCGAGTGGCCGAGTCACCGCCAAGGTCATGTAGCAGACAACACACGGCCCTAGGCGCCTCCTTTAATAGGAGCCACAACCCACTGCTCTCTTATTATGACATTACCATTTGCACCTACAGGGCCAGGGCAGTGATATCGGCAGCAGCGACCAGTCGGCGGGAGTTAAAAAGGGAGGAGCCATGCTTCGCAGGTGTGTAGTCTTCCTCTTAGCGATCTGGACGGACACCAGCGGTCAGTACACGGCCGTAGTGTGGAATAATGTACAGTTAATATATGCACAATTGGCTGTCCTTTCCGAGCTTCTACCTGTGTTGCAACCCTGGCCAACATACAGCAGCGATGAGTTTGTGTTCTGAGGCATATGAACAAGGCGTCTGATAGGCAAGAGAATAGGTATCAGAACGGCAAAAGAGTGCGACATTCAGGGTAATGGAGCACAATGAGACATCTGGTCTTGTCTAGGCCCGGCCAGGGCATTGTTGAAATAAGGAAGAATCATTACTAGAGAAGAGAATAGACAACGGAACTGGATGCTATTATATGAAATGACTGTTGCAGTATCAGGAGTAGCAATTATGTCTTGAACATATTTATCAGTCAGTGCATATTATAGAATGAGTAGTCCAGGAGGTGTTCATTCAGGATTAGAATAAGGCTCCTCTATATGTTTACTTGTGCGAGTTAACTCCACTAACATGATAGTCATTGTACTCTTAGGTTATACTCTATGTTATCACCATCTTGCTCACTTCAATCATCACCCAGCGACTTCAATATCTCTCTTATACTTATTCAAATCCAACATCGGTCACTCCTTATTTTGCTACTAAATACTTCGCTTGGTCTCTGTATCAATTTGTATTTTATACCATCCTTTCTCTTATTTCTTGCCCAGAAGACTCGCGCTGGTTATTGATCTATCATCTGTTCTAGTCCTACAATGAGTCTGTGAACAACAAGTGGCAATACAATATGGTCATACTCAGACAAACCTGAATTGACTCACTGTCTGGTGTTCTATAATCTCCGCCACCCTCCTTTCCGCACTACTATAATACAGCCTTAGGTCGTAATTATACTCCACACCCGAACTGGTCTACACTTACAACTCTAAAGCACCACATCCTATTCAACAGCAGGGATTGTTCCAACTTTTTTGACCCTGATTTATTCTCCTCTCTTTTGACGATCTTGCCTACGCCGCTGAGCACAGACAGCTCGACATACCCTGCCACAATGCAGTTACATCACATTTTCAGTTTGTTCATCGCTCGTCTCACATCACCGCTATTAGCTAGCGACCAAGCTCATCAAGTCCAGTGCACTATTGATATTGGATCTGCGTAGGTTGCTGGTGAAGCGGAGTTTCAGGAGGCGAAACTAAACTAGGCGAGGGACCGGAGTCGGTTCGAGCTTTTTTCAAAGACCAGCACTTATTGACCGTGGAGGAGTTCCTTCCAAGTTACTGCAGCAGGGCCACTAGAGACCGCTGCCCCCTTAACCTGGCTTATCTGGTTGGGTACCAGGATTGTGTTGACGGGGATGCGTTGCCCATTTCCCGGGCGGTGTTGGTGGCTAAGCATCCAACTTGAACGCTTGACAGGGACGCATCATGTATTTGATTGTAGTACTTTTCTCTTTGTCTCCTTCCATCTCCGGTCTGCTGCTGGGCACACAGTAGTACCATCTCACTCGCTCCAGGATTGCATGCACCCCCGCCGGAGAATCTAGCTTCATACCCAAAACAGAGCGGACTCATTGCTCTAGATTGACTAGGATCATGTAGGAAGATGGGCAGGGGATAGTACCGTGCGATGCGGTATCCATCTATATCTCCAGTAGCCTCGGTAGAAATGGCTACGACGGACAAGTACACCTGGATAGATCTGGGATCCCACAAGCTGGCCTCTCCGCGAAACTAGCCAATAGTGATCTGTGGTCTCCCAGATGTATATGTTGGCGTATCAAAACCTGACCGTCTCCACCCGGGACTAGACGAAGGCGTCAGCTCATTTGTTGTTGGACTGCAGTCATTCTGGTGCAATGCCGTGTACCAATGCTTTGTTTAATTTTCAATAGAATATAGCGTACGTGTTTCATCATGTTGAATTTGTAGCAATGTTAAGGGGTGTGCTTCAAGTCAAAACTGACCTAGTAGCAACATTAATTCCATTACATGGACCCGACAGTTTGGGACAGGGTGTGATAGCTATACATTAGCGCGATGTGGTATTTAGCCTTGAATCCAGTGCGGTGCTTAGCATTTGGTAAATGATGTGTCTCAAGAGTGGGGTGATCCAGCTAGGTACCCCTCATTTGTTCACATGTGGGGTTACATCAACTTATAAGCCATGAGGTAGTATGATTTATTTAGACCCCTGTCTATAATTTCAAATCTTACATGGCGGTTACGGTGAAGATGGTGGTTACAGTGCGTATGGCACAGATAACAAGAAACTGGGGAAGTGTGAATGGCACGGAAGGCCAGTCGCAGGAGAGCCCAGAGGGATATACATCTATTCACTTTGGACCTTTATATTCCGACGAATTTAGAGCCTCGTCAAGTCCTGTGGCGGCCTATGTGCCTGGTATTCTGTTCTGCAGCCTTTGTAGTGGTTGGTTTCAAACCTTCTGGGATGCGTCAGCATTGTCCTCCCAGCTTATTCGAAATTATATTGAAAGCATTCTGATTCGAAGCATCCTTGTTGAAGTAGGGTAGAAATCGTCTAACGGGTTTGGGCGGTAAGAATTGACTAGGGTAGAACAGCACAGACGGCCAAGGATGTGACAATTGTGTAGATACCTTATCTGTCAGCCAGGTTTTGGGCTCCCAATTTCATTCAACCTCTGACTGCAGTAAAACCAAAAATAATGCAAAATCTTCCGCCGTGAGAAAGGAGACACATGGATGAGGAAAAATCAGTGATGCACCGTTTCATCAAGCTGAATTTGGATCATTGTCCTGATCCGAAAATTCAAAACCGTTGAATGATTATCCAGGAGTCTCCAGGTACTTGTGCTCGCAATCAATCCCAGTCCTTATATCCTTGATCCGCTACAGAATATTAGCTGGCGATCAACAAGTTTTAGAGGTTTGACTCACTATAAGGAGGGAATTTGAGAAGCTCATCCCAGTTTTCCTCTTGTAAAAGGTCGATAGCTTTTTGAATAGTACCCTTGGGGAGATAAATCTCATGACGCTCGCCAGATTTGCCAAAAAATACCAATTTGTTAGGCTGAACGCTCTTGTGACAAGAACTGAACTGCTCAGGTGCCTGGGTTGTGTCACCGTCACCCGCTATTCCAGCTAACTCGCCCTTTCCTCCATCTTTCCCCTCTGGGGCCGGCTGACTCAGTGCAATAAGCTGCTTTTTTAGAATCGCCATTGCCCTCGGCGCTATTCCTTTTGAACCTTCAATCTCATCATAGACAACGTCAAACCACAGACCATCACCCTTTGCTCGCATTTTCATTTCGGTGGCGATAGTCCTAACCAAAGTCATAACATCCCTCAAAGGGACACCGAGACTATTCTCTTCCGGAATATAAGTGTCCCAGTGTACTTTCTGGAATGTGTCCTTGCAATTTTCAGTCTCCTTAGGTAGAGTGAGGTCGAATATCAAGTGTGAAAAAGGCGGGGCATTCATTATTGCCTGTCTCCACGCCCTACTAACTGGTTGGATATCAAGGAGCTCATTACTGGAAGTAAAAAGGCAATCATTTTTGAGAATCCTGCGCGATTGCGGATTACGGCAGGCTTGAAGCATCTTAGCATTGGCTAGAGGCTGTAGCAGAACCAGCCTTGCTTTCCGCGTCTGCGATGATGATTTTGGTGGGCCCTCAGCTGTTCCGATGCTGAGGCTAGAGAGCCCTGATATAATAAAAGATTCATCAAGGGCATTAGGCTCAATCATACTTTCTGCCTCTGACATGCTGAAGATCAAAAGTAGGTGAATTTGGCATCTAGGGAAGATGTGAAACTAAGTCGAGAACAATTCATCCATAAATATCATTCTATATGATTATGATGTAATCTTTAGAGTAAGGCGCCCATGAAGTTTTATAACTATACTAATTTTATTGCTTTCCCCTGTTCAGATCAAAAAATATTATAGGTGCCTAATAGTTGCGACTATACTAATTTTATTGCTTTCCCCTGTTCAGATCAAAAAATATTATAGGTGCCTAATAGTTGCGCAATCGAACTGACCGAGTTTGCATTATTCCCTGTATTAACCGCTCACTAGATATCTGCCTCTGCCAACCAGATCGCCTTCCAGCTTGCAAGGTTGCAACTGATGCAGGGATCATTACCTGATTTCCAAAAGCCCCTTTTACCATATAAGCGAGGTCGGATGCACTTCAACCACGCAATACAGACCACTCATCCTCTGGCCTTTCGCTGTCGCTATGGCGACACGAACTGCAACAACGACGACAAGTGCTTGCGAAGATGAAGCTGCCGTCCAAATGCGTAGGTTAGGAGTGGCCAGTGCAGCTACGGGGACTGAAGGAGATACTTCAGGCTCAGGCCCCGGCTCGGATGAAGAAACTCAAGAGTATCCGACTGGGTTGAAACTTTGGCTCATCATTCTCACCATGAGTGCCTTAGTTACTCTTGGAGGGCTGGACACCAGCATCGTCGCGACCACTGTGCCCAGGTGTGTACTGGAAAATTGATGTCCTCTCTAAAGCTTGAGTTGTTGAACAGCTAATCATTCTTGCCTGGGTAGTATAACCAATCATTTCCACACCGTTGCTGATGTTGGCTGGTATTCTTCCGCATTCCGGCTCTGCTCCTGCGCATTCCAGTTCATCTTTGGCAAGCTATACAGGCTGTTCTCTATCAAAGTTATATTCTTGCTTGCGCAGGCCATATTCCTAGTAGGCTCTGTGCTCTGTTCCACAGCCATGACATCCTCTATGTTTATTATAGGGAGAGCTGTCACTGGAACAGGCTTTGCAGGAATCATTGGAGGATTATTTACTATTCTTATGTATATCTTGCCTCTCCGTCGACGCCCATTCTTCTGCGGCGTGTTAGGCATGGTTGAGAGTCTGGCTATTCTTGCTGCACCGATTATTGGTGGAGTTCAGACTGAATCACTTGGCTGGCGGTGGTATTTCTGGATCAATCTACCAATTGGATCTGTCTCACTCTTGATGACTATATTTCTGTTTTCAGATCCAAAACCCAGTGATATGAACAAATCCTTGAAACAAAAGCTGATCGAAATTGACCCAGTCAGCAGCCTGCTATTCATTCCTGCGCTGACCAGCCTTTTCATCGCCCTTTCCTGGGCCGGGACGAAATACGCCTGGGATGATGGTAAGGTTATTGGTCCTCTTATCACCTTTACTGTTCTGCTTGTTGCCTTTGCATATAATCAATACCGACAAGGTGATGCTGCTACTTTACCTCCGCGTCTCATCATGAACCGCAACGTCATTGCCGCCTCAATCTTTACGATGTGCTCTAATAGAGCTACTAATATACTTGAGTATTATTTACCAACCTACTATCAGGTTGTACGCAGTTACCCTCCCAGCACAGCAGGTTATATGATGTTGCCAGTTGTTATTGGCTCCACCATTGGAATGTTCGTCTGCGGATCTGGAACTAGCATAATTGGTTACTACACGCCATTCATGCTCTTTTCTTCCACCCTGCTGCCTGTCTTCGCGGGTCTAATAACAACCTTTGGTGTTGATACAAGCTTTACACAACTTATCCTGTACCCTGGCGCATACGGCTTCTCAAGTGGAGTAGGCTTTAATGCTCCAATTAGTGCTGTACAGACAGCACTACCCACTAGTGATGCCTCACTGGGCCTATCTATTGTGCTCTTTGCCCAGCACTTTGGTCCTTCTGTGTGTGCTGCCATAGCTCAGGTTATTTTCACAAATAAACTCTCAGCAAACCTGGCCCGGGTAGTCCCGGGGTTGGATCCCGCAACTATTGACTCCAATGGGCTGTCGGATACCGTGGGACGTGCTCCCCCAGCTCAGCGCGGACTGGTTCTTGCAGGCGTTGGTAGGAGCTTTGGTGAAACTTGGTATCTGGCAGTTGGACTGGCATGTGCGACGTTGATTGGGAGCTTGCTCATGGAGTGGCGATCCGTCAAAGCAAAGAATGCTTAAGCGATTAGAGATGGCGTCAAGACTATCGTACGGCTTGAATACAATCACCAACTTCTTGGTTTAGGGGCTCTAAATTCTCTCTATCGTATCATTCCGAGACAACGTCCGAACGATCAAGCGTCGCACGGTATTCAGCAGGTCTAAACTGAGCCTCCGAAACAAAATCGCTGGCTACACTGCGCAGGGCGGGATAGAATCCCCAGCCCAGCGCGAGGATCGACAACCCGATGCTAATAATGCGGGATGGGGCGCGAAACCCATAGGAGTGAATCCAGCCAGCGACGATTAAAGCGGCGCCGACAAGGGCGATGAGGAAATTTCTTCTTGCTGGCTGGAGACGCCACTTGAGCAAGTTTGCTTCCCTGCCACGGGAGAAGGGGGTGTTTTCGTGGGCCATTTCATGGGTGTCTTGAAGAAGGGCAGGTGATGATATCTTGGGTAGGAAGGCAACGGCACTTATCTAGGCAACAAGACAGGAATAATACTTATGGTCATTACAAGATACTAGGTACAGTAGAATGGTCAGTGCAACGAGCGAATGGCCGGTATTTCGGAAAGCCAACCAGGTCCTACTCTCGCTACTCTACGGTCTATTAGTAGAACGCCAACAAAACACCACACGGAGCATCCTGGGACTGGAGAGGCACAACCGTACCGCTGTAGTCCTTCCCTCAATACCAGCTGAACTTGAGGAGAAGACACAGCATCATCCACGGCACTTGGGGCGTTTGTTCACAGCTTCAGCATCGTCTAAGGTCTGTCGCTCTCTGTTGCCATCTTCAATTATCAGCTCGATCGATACGCATCTTCTATCAGTGACCCTGCCGTTCGTAAAGGGGTTGAAATGCCTACTCGTATGCTATTCGCTCCTGAAGAGAATATCAAGCCTGATCCCATATTCGAGTAAGAAGTCCTTGCATGGTCTTCACACCACCGTTACAATACTTCAAAGTCTCTCTGCGGCATAATTCGCGGTTTGGTTTAGGGCTGGAGTAAAGCTGTGCTTCATGACTCCTCACTTTACCATCACTTGTCCAAGATATGGGGGCATTAAGCAAAATAAAAATGAAAGGAAAAAAACATACAACAGCCGGGATTCGCTGGTGGTCACCCACCCAACTACTAACCGGCCGGCGTGTGGCTTCAACGCGGTCAAAAGGTCGGTGGCTGCAGCCATCGCGCGACGCTGCTTTTAGTCGCGCGACCTTAGGTGGCCTTGGGTGAGTGCAGAATAGACAGGGTGAGTGGTCACCTGTAAGCACCTGCAAGCACCCATGGTTGCCCAGACTTAACTAATTAAGTTCCCTTTGGCCTACACAGGTCTTTCTTTCAAAGCTTTATTAGCTATACCTTGTTTCTTGGCGGAGCACAGCTATGATGATCATTTTAGGCAGTAATTAGATGGCCCTCTGTACTAGACCTACTTGGAGAACTTTTCTACTTGATTTATTGTGACTGCTGGTGGCTTATTATTGGGCTGTTTGAGAGGTAGATAGAAGAGACCCAGGCAATAGATACTTGCGCCTTAGTAAGAAAGGGAAAGGATGCAGATGCAATTATAATTTAAAGAGGGTCTAAGAACCAAGTTGAGGCACAATTATTATAAAAATATATACTAAAGTTAGTTATGACTCATCCATCTAATAATCTTGCCATTTTAGCATTGCCTAACAGGGAAATTATATAAGTAGACATGGATAATCTATGTAAAGGTTGTGCAAAGAATAGGCAGAGGTAATATGGGCAAAGAGCTTATGATATTAGCTATTAAGGACATCTGACTCATTGCCTAGTTTATAAATATTAGTGCTACTTGTGTATCGCAGCTTGTGAGGTGGTTAACAGATGCAGAATGTGTGAATGGATAAGTAGTATGTAGTGTATAACTAGCTAGTAGAGTTCACTAAAGCAAAGGGGAATAGATAGCTTGCCAAGGTAAGAAGGAAGAATAGTAGGAAGTAGCTAAGGATATCTTAGCTAAATGTCTTAATTCCTTGATTTCTCTTGATTGCTTAATTAATTGTAAAACTAGGTGAGGAGTGACCTTGAGGACATATTTATAGGCAGTGGGTAGCTAGGTGATATCACTATGCTGTCATAGTGAGATCACTATTTGCCTCTTATTAAGGTTTAACCATACCATGGTTCTCACCAACACTATATCTATATAACTATACTTTTAGAATATACTAGAGCTATAGTATATTAAGTCTTTAGTATCTATGAAGGTCTCTTTAATTATCTTAAAGATTTAATAAAGCTCCTTAAGGGTAAGAGATAGTACTAGAAGTAATAACTCTATAAAGCCCTGCAGGCTGCATATATTAAGCTAAAGGAATACTATAAGAAGACTTATAGCTTTTATAGTCTTATTTATGCTATTAGCATAATTCTTAATCTATATTAAAAACTTTTATTCTTTTAAAGTGCTTCTTAGGATAATAATAGCTATAACTAGGTTAGAGAATATCACTATAAGCTTAGGAAGATCTTTAACTATTATAAGAAGTATCTATATACTTAAGCTCTATTATCTACCTAAGTATTACTAATTAGCCTAAATTATGCCCTTTATAAGTTAAAATAGTGTTGGGTTTCACTATATAAAGATACTATTAATAATAAACTTTCTAATTATCTTAATAAATATAAGTCACCCTTCTCTTACTATCCTTCTATTAATCTAACTATAGTAAGATTTTAGGTTGCTATCTAGATAAGGACTCCCTTAATATTCTTAACTAGTACAAGTAGAATATATCTTAATTTCTAACACTTACCTTAATTACTTAAGACTTTCTTACTATCCTAGTGACTAGTGTTAGGCTAGAGAATCTATTTAGTATAGCTTAGGATATCTGCTACTATTAATATAGCTACCTAAACCCTAATATAATATAGTCTATCATGCTCTTAATGTGCACTAATTAATTTAAAATTAATTAGGAATTCTAGATCTTGCTTAATAAGGTTAGTAAGAGAGATATTAAGAAAGAGAATAATAATTAGGATAATCTAGATATTATACCTAATATTAGTAAGGGTAAAGAAGATTAGGGTGGCTTTAATAAAGATAATAAAGATATTAAAGATAATAAGATAGATAATACTAGTACTTATATAACTCAGTAAGAGGTAGCTGGCAAAGAGGGGTCTAACAGAGATGATATTAATAATAATTATCTACCTATAACATAGACTATTATTACTTAAGCAGCATTCTAAGCCCCTACTACTCCTTAGTTATTATAACCTTACCATGCAGCTCATCCACCAGGGCATTTTAAAGACCTTAATAAGGGGTGAGGGCGAGTTATTTAATAGATTATATTAATATAATAGAGGAGTTCTACTTTATTATACAGTCTTTATAAAATCTAACCATGGTTAGAATACTTAGTTAACTTAGTCTATTTTTTAACTTATAATACCTCTGTAAATACCTTTAAATGGGTTAGGCGGTTTCACCTAACTTATAAAACTGCGAAAACTATAACTAGTAGTTTTCACTGAACCCAAAACAGTTCCACCCTATAGAAACTGAAACCGGTGCGATTCCCTAGGCTAGGAACCGAACCCAAACTGCTGCGAGTTCGGTGAGGTTCGGGTTCGATTTTTGCGGTTCGGTTATGCAACTCTAGGAAGCCCTGTTTTCCACACCCTATGGTTGTATGTGTTAGAGATGAGCAGGATGGAAAATCATATAGGATGATGAGTGGGGATAGTTTGTGTAGCACCGTAGGTCTATGCATCACTCAAATGGGAAATATGTGGTCATAGCGCTTCCAATGAGCGAGGTCAGCATCATTTCTCCTGCTAGAAAAGTTCCAGGTGCCGTTTTTCATATTCCTTGAGCTGAACATGACACCCAGAACAATCCTTGATTGAGAATGAGAATTGGAAAATAATGCTATGTCATCCGGTCACTGATTTCGTTTCTCTGAGCCGGCTGTATCGAACGACAGGTGGCCTAACACATGTGTTGAGATGCACAGGTTTTCAGTCCTTAAATGGTCCCGAACGGATAGCCGGTCCGAGCATCGCATCGGCACGCGCCAAACGACCTCGGAAACTCGTGTCCATTCGGGCGGGCCAGAAGATACTAGCAAGGCCGCCAGTACCACGCCGCCAGCGCAGAGAGTGATGGCCTTGAGACTGGAAGATATAGAACGACAATCAGCTATGTTGCGAGAGATAATCGCATTGAGGATTTGTGGATCAATCCAGTTATTTTGTTTTGTACCCATCCTGGCATCTGTCCCGTCCCTCGTCGACGCCAGCGGGGGAACTGTTCCAACAACCGTATCTCGCAAAGCTGTGTGTGATCGTCAACCGAAGGCATTTGGATATGCGGAGTAGAAGTCTGGTTTCTTGGAAAAGCGATGGATAAATGTCCGCTGGGAACGACTTTTTGCTGTTAGGATTGACCGGAATTAACCGACTTGAGCTGAAGGGGCCGAGAATGAGGTAAGACTCAAGGAAAGCCGAGGCACTGATTGGACCACAGAAAGAGGAAATTATCCTGCGGGCAGGTCACGAGACAGGCACGGTTAAATTTGGTGTGCCTCGGTGACATCATCCCGATTTTCCCCCTCCAACGATGCCCCTGACCTGAGCTTCTACCAGAGAATGATTGTGTCGACGAAGAAAATAACTTGGTGAAAAGATGAGTAGAGCATTGTGTTGTACTGCAAATGCCCACAATAATTATTTTGAGAGCTGCCACTGATCGGACGCTTCTTCGTCTGATGACAACCTAACAACTTAAGACGAGTCCATATGTCATCGAAACACGACATCCCACGCTGGAAAGCTTTAGAACCCCTCAGTGGGGCATGGCGGGGTTTGGGGGTTGCCAATTTGAGGACGATGATAGGATTCTTCATGCCGATTACTCTGGCAATGGTTTCGAATTAGGATTCCATAATGCGCAAAAAGGCCACACTTTCGCGTCTTGTCGCAGGCCAGCCATTAAGGTACCCCACCGGAGTTGCCCCCAGTTCTTAGAGGGCCAGAGCTATTTCTTATTTCTATCCTCTTCTTCCTCTCTGATTCCATCCATCTGTCTCTTCTCCCCTAGTTGCGTCTCTTTTGATACCCTTACTTCACATCGCTACACGTTCAGCCCACACTCCCATCACAATGTCTCTCGGAAAGAAGGTCACTCTCAACACCGGTGCTCAGATCCCGTATGTTTGGCTTCCGTCTCGTCCTTGGAACTGCCATAAGTCAATAACTGACCCCTGAACCAACAGTCAGCTGGGTTTCGGTACTTGGCAATCTGCCCCCGGTCAGGTCGGCGAGGCTGTCTACCACGCTCTGAAGGCTGGTTACCGTCACCTGGTACGTACACATAGCTCCTATAGTACACTATCTGAAGTATAAACCACTAATTTGATACAGGATCTCGCGACTATGTACGTTTTACATTAATCCAGAATCCATTCATACTGACAAGCTGGTCAGCTACCAGAATCAACGTGAAGTCGCGCAGGGTATCAAGAGAGCCTTCCAGGACATCCCCGGCCTCAAGCGCGAGGACCTCTTCATCGTACGTTGAGCTCAATCACCGCAATCGCCTTGACGCCATTTCTAACTATTGCAGACATCCAAGCTATGGAACAGCCAGCATCACCCCGACGTTGTCGAGAAGGCTCTCGATGACTGCCTTGCTGAGCTCGAACTCGACTATCTAGATTTGTTCCTTGTGCATTTCCCCGTTAGCTTCAAGACCGGCGACGAGTACTTCCCTCTGGTCAAGGACAGCCCTATCCCCGAGGGCGATGTGGAAATCGATGACAGCATTTCCATTGTCGACACCTGGAAGGCCATGATCAAGCTACCCAAGAGCAAGGCCCGCGCCGTCGGTGTTTCCAACCACACAGTGGAGCACGTAAGTGACCCGCACCTGAATTGAGAGACAGTAGCTCACACCCTACAAGCTCGAGGCCCTCATCAAGGCCACTGGTGTTGTTCCCGCCGCCAACCAGATCGAACGCCACCCTCGTCTGCAGAGCAACGATCTGATTGCCTACTGCAAGGAGAAGGGTATCCATGTCACTGCCTACTCGGTATGCCATCTTTTTTACCTACTGATCAATTTTCAACAGCTGGCTGATTTTTACAGGCCTTTGGTAACAACATGCTTGGTGTCCCCCTCCTGATCGCCAGCGACGAGGTCAAGGCAGTTGCCGCCGACGTCTCCAAGAGACTCGGCCAGGAAGTCTCCCCCGCTCAGGTCATCCTCGCCTGGTCCCAGGTCGGTGGCCACAGTGTCATTCCAAAATCTGTTTCGGAAGCACGAATTAGAAGCAACTTCCAGGAGATCGAGCTTACTCCCGAGGAAGTCGAGAGGGTGTCTGCTCTCGGCAAGCAGCCCCGCCGCTTCAACATCCCCTACGTTGCCAACAAGCCTCGCTGGAATATCAACATCTTTGGCGAGGAGGAGGAGAAGCCCGCTACCCACAAGGTTATTATGTAAATGTCATGCCTGATGATTGATGTATATATGTTCTTTTGGGAGGGATATAGAGCGGTAGATAAAAATGATATCCATGAGATGACTAACCCAGTAACGAACCGAAGTTCGTATTAGAACAGCACTAAGTATACTCACCAATGGAAGCTTCCCTTGCTCGTAGCTGAACAACTACAGCATCAATTCCATGAAAGAAACCCGGTGCCTACTGGGCTCGCTCAATCATTTTTTATATGTGAACATAAAAGATTACGTTTGAAAACGGGTTACAGTTCAGCAAGGCCTCGGAATAGTTCAACAAGGTCTTAACTTACCCTAGAAATCCGGAGACCTTGCTGAGCTAAAGTGACAAAGGTTCAACAAGGTCTCAGAAAGTATTCAAAACTTTGTTAAACTTTTAAGTTGTTATTTAACACCTGCTTATAATCTATAGACTAGGTGTAATATTCAAATCATCGTATAGTAGGGGTATGAAATGATTCGAATCATCAGATAGTAGGGATATCGAATTATCATATAGTAGGGATATTAAATACTACCATAATTGGATACTATAGTTTGAATATATAGTATTAGGGGTGAGTTCCCATAATTTTCTATATTTATATAAATTCTACCTATACAGAGCAATACCCAAGCATATAATAATTTAATATCCCTATTATACGATGATTTGAATATTACACCCAGTCTATAGATTATAAGCAGGTGTTAAATACGAACCCAGGCAAAGTTCAACAAGGTCTGAAAATATGCAAAGATGAAGTTCATCAAAGGTCTCAAATTCTATGTGGATCACATAGAGTTTCAGACCTTGTTAAAACGTTTTCTTGGTGATCATTTGAGACCTTGCCGACCTTTTCCGAGACCTTGCTGAACTGTGTGCCCGTTCTGAAACACGCTTAGTACCGGTCATGTTCAATTAATGATCTGCCTCACACTCTGGAGACGGGGCATGCTACATCCCTCATTTAAATGGCATTACCTCCAGAGGAGAGAGCTACGGCAGGCTCATGAACAAGTCCAACATCGCCGGATAATTCGGAGTCCCCAACCCGGTCACCGGATCCCATCCCTTCGCAGCCGAGAACCCCTGCGTGCCACAGCCCGGGTTACTCCCCTGCGTGATATCATTAAACACCTCCGGATGCGCATACAGCACAGGGTTCACAAAGCCCACGGTCGACTTGCCAACCGCAAGCCGCTCCTCGTTGATCCTGGTCAGGATGGCCGCAAACACCGGCGCCGCGGCAGAGGTGCCCCCAATCAGCGTCGGCATGCCCTTGTTGAAGATGACGACGTTGTCCCCGATGGCCGCGACGTCCGGGTACGCGCGTCCGATCCGGTTGTAAATGCCGCCGCCCTCGGCGAAGCTGCTGTTGTCCACGCCCTCGTAGAACGGGTACCCGGGATCGGCGCGCGAGAAGTAGGTCTCCACCGCTTGTTGCTGGTAGTCTGCGCGCTCGTAGATGTTGCTGAACCCGCCGCCGGACGGGAACGAGGTCACGGCGACTTCTTCATCCTTGCGGGGGTCCGCGCCGAGGGGGAGGTACGTCCCGCCTACAGCGGTGAGGTAGGGACAGGTGGCTGGGAAGTCCGGGGCGAAGACGTCACCTTCCTCCCCGAGGCACTCGCTAGGAGTGGGGTCACCATTCCTGCCTTCGACGCCGGAGTCGCCGGATGCGACGACGACGGAGACGCCCTGCAGGCCGAGTTTCATCCACTCGGCGCACTGGCGGCGCTGGTACGCGATGGGGAGGTCGGCCTCGGCGCCGCCGTAGGAGATGGAGAGCACCTTCGGGGGCTGGTAGACGCCGCACTGGAGTTGGCCTTTGTAGCCGCCGTCGGCGGGATTGGGGTACGGCGGGTCCAGAGGGGAGATCTCGTTGCAGTAGGATCCGTCAATAGCATCGAGGAATGTGTTGAGGAAGCCAGTGAAGTTATAACTCGCCTCATATTTTGGATCATCAGTCTGAAAAAGGATGGAGTTCTGCGGCCAGATGATCGGATACGAGATTTGAAAGTCCAGGTCAGATTCTGGCCCTGCGTTGGACACGCTGGTTGGGGCTTGAGCGCCGTCGACGGCCTTCAGGATGGGATGAGTGCCCTGGGGAATTTGCCTAGACGGGTCAGCGACGATAGGACACAGCAGGGGCTAACATACTGTGCAAAAGTTGAGAAGAACAGGTTGAGATCCTCTTGACTGTAAACATCCCCTAGATCCTCAAAGATGCCCAACTCATTGCCCTTGGTGGCCTTTGTGCCTTTGCTAATATTATACATAGCAGATACACACGCGGGCGTGATAGCAATATCACACAGCAATGAATTACCCAGCAGCTCGGACAACGGCAGTGTCAGCGGCTCAAGAATTGGCGGCAGCGGGCTTCCC